CTGGTATGAGGCATCAATTCACAACTAGACCAAGAATCACTGCACAAAGTATTAGTAAAACGCGTGATTGTACCTTGACAATGACCAGTGAATGAAAGGGAGAATTGCTTGCTTAAATGCCCACTTCCAACCCTCTTCCACCACCCGCCGTCATCAAATCTATCCAATACAAGCTTTCCTATCTACATGCTTGCCACTGCTTCGTGAATATGATCTATTCCATAACTTGTCATACAACCAACCGCATGAGGTATTAATCCACAATTCCCTGGTTCAATCACCCGCAACGCTAAATAAGACATCAATACAAGTTAGCCGAATCTCGAAACAACATCCGATTCTAAACTGGCTGACCATGTGCTACTGGACTGTGATAACAAACTATTAACAGACCATCATGTTGAAGTCAACTAAATGTTACATATTCCGATCGCAAAATCAATACACACGTAATCTCGACCATGAAATATACTAGACAATCGCAGATTATACACAATTCGTACTATTCAATAGCAATAGTTCTTCCGAAATATTGCGACATCGACAGATAACCCAAAGAGGAAGGCTGCCCTACTCCGCTGAGTCAGCCAACACGTGCCATGTTTCTCCGTACCTCTTTTGCACCACCGGCTAATCGTCTATACTACTGAACTTATCTTTTTCGACCCTCTCTGCTCCTCGTCCCTCCTCCATAGCCCGCCTCTCCACGGCATATCGAGGGTTTTTTTATTATTTTCTTTCTTTTCTTGTCTCCGCGCTCCCTCCCCGTTTCTCTTATCTTACTTCTTTCTTCTTTCCTTTCCTGGTGTTGGATTACTGGCGCTGGAGGCCTGATATTGGTACGAAATGGACGTCGCCGCCCTCCGAGACCGCATACAATCTACGCTCGACCCAAATGCGGATAGTCGACGTCAGGCTGAATTGGATCTGAAATATGTATGTGGTGGTGGTACGAAGGAGCTTTCCGGGAGGCCATACTGATTTCGAAATTTTCTTGGGAAATTTTTAGGCCGAGACGCAGCCTGGGTTTATAAATGCGCTTCTGGATATTTTGCAGGCGGAGCAGGTCAACGCCGTTCAACTTTCGGGTATGTTTTTTTCTCTCTATTTTTTTATTTATTTTTTATTTTTTTTTTTTTTTACCCCCGAACCCCGCTGGGAACCCAAAAATTTTGAGGACCCCTCCGCCCCCTTACTTTTTCTCTTATCGATAACAAACACGGAGTTTATGGCGTGAGTCTAATCGGTGTATAATTTTATCACAGCCGGTGTTTACCTGAAGAACCGCATCAACCGGGGTTGGGCACCCCTCGAAGATAACCCACTGCGCACACCGATCCGCGAGGAGGAGAAACCAGGATTTAGAGAACGGTTGATCCCGGCCCTGGCATCGACGCCCCCGAATGTTCGCGCCCAGTTCGTTCCTCTTCTGCAGAAAATCCTTCAAAATGACTTCCCCGAACACTGGCCCGGGTTCCTCGATATTACGATCCAGCTGTTGAGTGCCAATGACGCAAATTCGGTGTACGCAGGCCTGCAGTGTTTGATGGCCATCTGCCGTGTGTACCGTTTCAAGGGTGGGGACAAGAGGGAAGAATTCGACAAGATTGTCGAACACACTTTCCCTCAGCTGCTGAACATCGGATTGCGACTCGTCGATGAAGAGAGCTTGGAAGCGGCGGAGATGCTCCGCATTGTTGTTAAATCGTATAAACATGCGATCTATGTACGGCAAACCCCTGCGCAAATCGGACGGAAAGTATACAGAGGGCGGCTTACTGACGGTTGTCGTTTAGTTCGAACTTTCGCCGGCCCTCCAGACACACCAGGCGACTGTCGACTGGTGTACACTATTTCTGCGAGTCGTCGCCAAGGACCCTCCTGCCAATTCGATGATGGAAGAGAAGGAAGAGAGAGAGCTCAACCATTGGTGGAAGTGCAAGAAGTGGTCTTACGCCAACTTGAACCGTCTTTTCATTAGGTACTTTCTTCGAATTTGTCGCGCTTGCTTTGCCAGACACAGTGCTAATGCATGTTCTACCCCATCAGATACGGAAACCCATCCACGATGAGCAAGACCAGCACCCCCGACTACACTCCCTTCGCCAAGACTTTCATCAGCACCTTCGCCCCGGAGATTCTCAAAGGATACCTGCAGCAGATCGACAAGTGGGTCAACGGTCAATGGCTCAGCAGCCCGGCGCTTTCCTACACCCTGATTTACCTGGAAGAATGTGTCAAGCCTAAGGTGATGTGGGACCATCTTAAGGCGCACATGGACAACCTCATCGCTCACTTCATCTTCCCGATCATGTGCCAATCCGATGAAGACATCGAGCTCTTCCAGACAGATCCGTCCGAGTATCTTCACCGGAAGCTGAACTACTACGAGGAGGTGTCTGCTCCAGACGTCGCAGCCACGAATTTCTTGGTTGCGCTTACGAAGAACCGAAAGAAGCAGACGTTCTCCATCCTCCACTTCGTCAATGGCGTGGTCAGCAAATACGAATCTGCACCCGATGAGCAGAAGCTGCCAAGGGAGAAGGAGGGCGCCCTGCGCATGATCGGCTCCCTGTCTTCTGTCATCCTGGGCAAGAAGAGCCCTATTGCCGACCAAGTGGAATACTTCTTCGTCCGGCACGTCTTCCCCGAGTTCCGCAGCCCCCACGGCTTCCTCAGGGCTCGTGCCTGCGACACTCTGGAAAAGTTCGAACAGCTCGACTTCCAGGACCCCAACAACCTCATGATCATCTACAGGAACATCCTCGAATCCATGACCGACCCGGACTTGCCTGTTAGGGTTGAGGCGTCTCTTGCCTTGCAACCTCTCATCCGACACGACATTATCAGAACCTCGATGCAGCAGAACATCCCACAAATCATGCAACAGCTCCTCAAGCTTGCCAACGAAGTTGATGTCGACGCTCTTGCCAACGTCATGGAGGACTTCGTTGAGGTCTTCTCTGCTGAACTTACACCGTTCGCCGTGGCGCTGAGTGAGCAGCTGCGTGATACTTACATGCGTATTGTCGGTGAGCTTCTGGAGAGGAACGCTGCCAAGGGTGACGATGATGGATTTGGTGATTTCCTGGACGACAAGAGTATTACCGCTCTTGGTGTTCTGCAAACCATCGGAACCCTCATTCTCACACTCGAGAGCACGCCAGACGTGCTCTTGCACCTCGAGACTATTCTCATGCCTGTCATTAGCATCACGCTTGAGAACAAGCTCTATGATCTCTATAATGAGATCTTTGAGATCATTGATAGCTGCACCTTTGCATCCAAGTCGATCTCTCCCACCATGTGGCAGGCTTTCGAACTGATCCACAAGACCTTCAAGTCTGGTGCTGAGTTGTATTTGGAGGACATGCTCCCTGCACTTGACAACTATGTCACCTATGGATCCCAGATGATTGTCCAAAATCCAGCATACCTCGCAGCCGTCGTTGGCATGGTCGAGGACATTTTCCGGGACGAGAAGGTTGGCGGTGTCGATCGGATATGCGGATGCAAACTGGCAGAGACTATCATGTTGAATCTCCGGGGTTGTATTGACCAATACATTCCTCTCTTTATCGAGCTGGCAATGCGCGTCATTGACGCTGGTGAGACAAGGACCAAGTCCTACAAGATCCATCTCATGGAGATGGTCATCAATGCCATCTACTACAACCCCGTTCTCAGTCTTCAGGTTCTCGAATCCCGCGGTTGGACAAACAAGTTCTTCAGCACCTGGTTCTCTAGCATTGACAGCTTCCGACGGGTACACGACAAAAAGTTGTCGATTGCGGCTATCAGCTCGCTTCTGACCCTGAAGGGTAACGATGTTCCCGCTAGTGTGCAGCAGGGCTGGCCCCGGTTACTCCAGGGTATCACCAGACTTTTCCAGACCCTGCCCTCAGCAATGAGGAGTATGTTTCTTTTTAGACCCACCTGATTGAGGATGCTGTGCTAACGTACTATATAGATCGCGAAGAGTCAACCAGGGAGTCCGACTTCGCCTATGAGGACGAAGGCGAGGAAGATGAAGAGGGCAACGACTGGGATGGCGAGATTGAGTGGCCCGGGGAGGAAGTCGAGGGAGGACTTGAAGGGGATGTTCCCGACGAGAGTGCCGCTTATATCGATTTCTTGAACCAAGAGGTTAGTGGCTCGTCTTCAAAATCTGAAACCATGGCTAACGGATATGATTCAGGCTTCAAAATTCGGATCTTACGGCGATGAAGATGAAGAGGAGCTTGACGAAGAGAGCCTCCTCGAGACTCCTTTGGACAAGGTTGAACCTTACAGCTTATTCAAGAATGTCTTGCTGGGTATGTACAACTCATAATGCACTATATAAAAAGCAACCCTTGCTAACCACGTTGATAGGTCTCCAACAAGAGCAGCCTCAGCTTTATGAGAATCTGACAAAGATTCTCAATGTGGAAGAGCAGCAGGTGCTCCAGGCTGTCTTCCATGAGGCAGACGCGAAGGCCATGGAAGCCGCTAACGCCCAAGCTGCTGCGGCTGCTGCAGGCATGACGACTAACGGCCAATAGATAGAGACGAACAAAAAAGAAGAAAAAAAAAAAAAAAAAAAAAGCGGGGTACTGTCAGCTAGTCTACCGAGGCGCTTCGGTTGACGGTACCAGTTGAATGACATAACATAAAAAGACATGCCATCCTATGCTCAATCTTGGACATATTTCTTTGGGCATGGGAAACAAAAAACACCAACCGATATCCAGCAGTCCTGCTTGTCTCGATTGATTCTAGCGGACGACTGGATTCGTCCATAACGCGATATATGCCCATACTCCTTATTCAATGTCATCTAGATCTTGCCCCCCTTTTTGGTTTACCATTTTCTTTACCCCCATTATCATCTCGCCATCTATATTTTCTCCCCTGTTTCTTCCCCAAAAGTCGATGTTTATGAATCTTTTTTTTTTTTTTTTTTTTTTTTTTCATTCAATTTCAACTTTTGCACTGCACAGATTCCCCTGCCATTAATCATGTCATTGAACGTGAGTCTTATGTATGTTGTGTCATGTCATGATTTCAAAATTAAATCTTTGATCACTTAAATCTGAAGAGTACTTGTAGAGACAAACGCAACAAACAGATGACAATTGCATTACGAGATTATTTCTTGAAGATACGATTCTGTGTTGACTACTCCGTACAATTCATAGCATTCCTTGATACCGTGCGCTCACTAGTACGGAGTAGTAGGTCAAGGGCCAAAATACAACATTCCCAATCCGGTAACCACCCGCCACCCCACTAGCCACAGTTCCAAGGTGGGACGTCTCAACGTCATGATGATGGAGGACTGAATGAAATACCCGGTTTGGCCGTGATGTTCTCATATTCTGGATGTTACTTAAAGTCTTCTCTTTTCGTTCCTCCATTCCTCAATCAGACAACTCTACCTCTGCTATATTCTGTGTTATACTTGAAAGCCAAACTCAAGGTATGATGAACTCCGCTAAACCCTATTTCTACCTTCAGAAACTAACAATTCTACCAGACATCTGAACTACTTCCTACTTCCTCAAATCTATCTATCTCAAATAAAAACGAAAATGTCCGCCCCCAACCCCGGCCGCCAATCCCCCGACCCCGAGCGCCAGAGCGGCGCCCAACAGCGAGACCCCGTCTCGGCAGGAAAGACCCTCCCTGAATTCCGTGGCGAACCTCGTCACTCGCAGGTCGAGTCAGAGGAGACCAAGAACACGAAGTTGGAGAGCAACCCCGTACACCGGTTGGAAGAGATTGAGGCGAAGAAGTATCAGAAATAACGTCTGGCATATAATGTGTTTGGTTTGGGTTTATGATGTATTTATTTCATGGTCATGTATGATGAATTATTTGGAGTTTGGTATTGGTGTATCAATATTTAATTGAAGCTATACACTTGAACTGAAAGGATGCTTGTCCAGAAGCAAAGTCGTCTCATGAATGGAAAACATATACTACGTATCATGAAGAAGCAACTATACACAAATAATCATAATTATCCCAGTCCGTCATCTAAGACTTCTCCGGAGGCGCGGCAGCATAGGCCGGCGGCTGAGCAGGAGCCGCCGTTCCAGGAGCAACATTAGCACCCGATGCGGCAGCAGGGACACCCTCCGACTCAACCTCTCCCTTGCCATTCTTCAAGTCTGCAAGTCTCCGGGCCTCATTGTGAACCTCCCGCACTTGCTTGTCAGTCTGCTGATAGAAGTCCCGCAGCTTGCGGCCGGACGGGGTGCCCATAGCCTTCTCAAAGTACGAGTTCAGTCCACGCCATCCAGTGGAGGCCTTGTTGCTCAGCTTGTAGTTTTGGTCCAAGCCACGAGCACGGTCACTAGCCTGGTACTTCTGGTCGAAGTTGCCGAGCACCGACGTGAAGCGCGAGGAGAATCCATGTTTTGAGTCAAGAGCGATGGCCCTCTGGATCGCGTTGTCGCTCAGCGAATAGCCGTGAGCAAGGTATTCGGCAACAATGCGGGAACGGGGCTTGTCTTCTTGTTCGAGGTCGTGGTGGTTCTCGTCCTTGGCCTCTGCTGCTTGGGCGGTTTGGCCACCGGCGATGTCCTCGAAGGTCTGGGCGGCCTGGACGTGGACGGAGGATGCACCCAATTGGGTCTGGTCGAGGAGGAGAGCGGTCTTAGCAGCACTGTTATTCATTGTCAGTTTGATGTTTCAGATTGATCAGGCGTGATAGGTGCGGGGTATAGTGACAACTCACGCTTCCTTCTCGAAAGTCACGGATGCAGACTTGGGGGCATTGGCATCGCCAGAGACAGGGGTCAGAGAGAGGGCAGTGATCTTTCCACTGTGAGAAATCATTTAGCAAGTTATTCTAGAATAAGGGGCTTAGTGATCATACCAAAAGCTGAAGAAGTCCTGGACCTCCTTCTCAGTGGTACCGGCCGAGATGTCCGAGACGTGAACAGTAGAGCGCTCAGACATGGTGAATATGAATTGAATTCAGGGAATATTGTGTAGAGAATTAAAGAGAAAGTGTCGAGAAGGGTATCAAAAGGGATGATGGAAAGAGAAAAGATCAGGGTTAGATGGCTTTTATTTACCGTAATTGTTCCGCCTGGCCATAGCTGCGCCACAAATGACGTAATGAGGGGCATCGTGCACCGCCATAGTGGGTATTAAGCATGTGAATAAGGCTTGTATTCAAGTTAAATTTGGTCGCAGACCATGGTTGTTGATTCTCGCTATTGTGTATGTATAACCCAAAACCCGCTAAGCTAATGAGATAAAAATAAACAGAATGGAAAAGATCATGCCACGTCAATCACTGCCTGCAGTGGGACGTCTCCGTCAACTCGTCTTTGGAGACGTCGGTCCACCTCCCTGAGATTTTCTGAGAGCCAGCTCCAGATCTCGCACCCGTTGACGCAATGCCTCATTTTCACGCTTGATCGATTCAAATTCTCCACGATACGGAACAGTCTCCTCTAGTCGGGACATGGCAGTCGGTGAAGTAATATGAGGGTGGGAGACTGAACCCCGGCGCGGGAAATGGTCGCCCTGCTGCAGCGACGATGACAATGACGGTGATGCCGATCCGGAGGGTTGAACAGAGTTGAACGATTGCTGTCGACTCCGACCTGGTCGCGAAAACGACAGACCATTCTCGCGTGCGGCGCCAATACCAATGTTCCCGGCTCTTGATTCTTGAACGGCTGGAATATAAGAGGAACTCAGACTGGACGAAGACCGGTGTCTTGTACCAAGGTAAGGCGACGAATGGAGAGTGTCTATCGAGTCATTGAATGTTGTCGAGGTAGATGATGTTGTTGATGCCACGGAGGCTGTTTGCTGGCGAAGAAGGGAAAGCTCTCTTGATAGACGGTTCACCTATTGGAGACATTGTGTTAGCTTCACGAATGTTATGTTATTACACAGGCTTCTAATAAATACCATTGCTTCCTGTTCCTTCTCAACCATGGAGTGAAGGTCGGACGGTGTGAAGGGCTTTGGGTGACGCAGCGGACCTGAGGCAACTGTTAATCGACTGGGCTCTTTCTTTTCTTCGTTTTCTGGCGACACAGAGAGGTTGCGTACCTGATGCTGTTCCTAGGCCACCATAATCACCAGCTGGACTCTGACTGAGAGAGATGGCAGGATGGCCCAGTGGAGTGGTTGGGTGCATAGTTGTTGCAGCACGAGGCCGTCGTCTTGGGCAGGGGGTAAGAGAGGGATTCAATTCCGGAGCCATTATCGTTAGATAGAATAGTGAAAGATGATGGAAGGAAGAAAAAAGTGTGATGGAAAGAGGATGTTGGAGGTTAAATACTGGTGATAGTAGTAGGCAGAGGATCAGGTGATCAAACTGATGGTTGGATAACTGCTCTGCCTATTCAGGCAAAGAGCTTTAATTTAAAAGTGAACAAGATTTCGTCAGGCACAAAAGGTAAAGCAAACCCCTTGATCAAGAATGCAGGGAGTTTCAGAACATAGCAGACATGGACAAGAGTAACGCTAGGAAATATAAATGTCAACAACGGTCACTCATGGTTGCCATGGGACATGCGTAACAAAGTATCTCTTGTAATCCCAGTGTTTGAATGCAGATGAGATTGCGATGGTATTTGTACGATAAAATCAAAAAAGAAGAATCCAAGGCTGAGCTGTCAAAATGATCGATGTTACTATATTCATGCTAATAACAGCGCTAGCTTAATTTATGCCTCAGGCATAAAGGCATACAGGTAGCCCGGAGATAACTGCTGCGCCTTAGGCTTTGGGGCGAGGCACAATTGACGGCTCATATTAATTTCGCTGAGATATTTTGTATCAGAACGAAGAAGGAACATGTCCCTTGCTTAAGATCCGAACACCACTAGTCTCAAAGTCGTTCATTTGACGATGCGCTGCCACACAGCGCTGTTCAGTCACGTGTTCGCGAACACAGGGTGAAGTCATTCCAGACGGAGAAATCCGTAAATAGTCGCTACTAGCATCGAGCTAACATCGCTGGTTTTGTTTATGAATTAACATACTCCCACATTCCACTCTGTCTCAGGTTCATGTGGATCAGGTTCTGACGTCAATAATCTCATTCCCCAAACAAATTGCCCGAGAACTCCTTCCCCATGGCCAGCGAACCTCCTACGACTGACTCTGCGACAACAAGCCACATTCCTCCTTTTGCGAGGCAATTAGCCCCTTACATTAAGAGCCGTCAAGAAGCTCTGCGTATCCGACAAGTCCTAACCTCATACCTCCGCTCGCAAATTACATTCGCCGAAGAGGATCCCGAACGACCAAATCCTCATGCGGAATCCCACCTCGTCCTCTGTGCCCCTCACGATGCCGTTGTTGACGTGAAACGGGCTCCACTAGAGCTGACTGGACTGAGGAAGGAATATCTGGAGGCGCTTCAGGCGAACGTGGCTGCAAAGCAGGAAAACCAATCTGTTTCCGAGAATCTGGCCGCGAAAACGCAGCAGAGGAGCAAAGCCAGAGCAGAGGCAACGACAACACCGGTTCCTAAATCTGAACTACAGACGTATCTTGCACTCCTCCGAGATCGTCGCCGAAATGCGAAACTCGAGGTCTTTCAGCACTATTTGCAAGAATTGAAGGGTCGACAGACGGTTGAACTAGAACAATTTGACAAAACCGAGGATCAAAACCAACATCTCCAGCGGATTGGTGGATACGAGGATGGGGGACAGGGGGGTTCTGGAGAAGAGGGTGTCAAAGGGCTAGTTCACAAACTCGAGAGGGCAGTCATCCGCGCAAGGGCACAATTGGAGAGGGAGAAGAAGCTATTCGAGGAGCTCAAGGCACAACATGATGCTAGGGAAAACACCGACAATGGGGATGTTCCATCGGCAAGCAAGATCCAGGCTTTACAGCGGACACGAGATGCACTGGTGCAATGGGTTGAAGAGAAACTGATGAGTGTTGGCGCCAATGATGAGGGTCCAATAGAGGAGCTCTCACCCGAGGAAATTGAAGATGCGTCCAACTTACTCGATGGGCGTAGGACTCAAATCATGCAACAATATACGACTTATGTAGAGACTCGTCGAGCTCTTCTGGAAACCGCTGCCAAATCTTGCCAGCCTGTCGCTCCAGGCCCTGCCAAACCCCGAGAACCGTCTGACGACAACGACAAGCCTATAGCTGAGGAGCCTCTACCCCTCGAACCTATGGATGCCATGGCTTTTGCAAGTGAACGTATACTTCCGCTCTCCAAATCCCAACGAGGATTGTCTCTACAAAAGTCCTATCTGTCGGCCATGCTTTCCAAAGAGAAATCTACCACCCTTCGCATTCTCAATCGCCTTGCTGATGAGAGCCATCTTCTTCCTGAATACCCTCTTCTCTCTCGTCAACCCCGTTTCAAGCACGCCACAGCAGGTTCCCGAAGTTCCCTGTCTCCTCGGGAACTCGCTCCCCCAGACGAGATTACTTCATTGACAGAAGCATGGGCGTTCGCTGGCGGAGCTGCACGAGAACACGAGCAGGAGTACGTGGCGCAAAAGATTGTGGAAGGCGGAGTAACAGCGCACGAGGCACTGCAGACGTTGGAGGAGATTTGCGACACGTTGAACCAAGACTTGCAGGATGTTTTCGAAGATGCACAGGAGTCCAGTACTGGTGTTCAATCACGGTCGAAGTCGAGTTCCATTGAGAAACAAACCGGGCCATGGAGTGGGCTGAATGGTCAAGTGGGGGTTGCAGAATAGGCCAATGCAACGTCTTTTCTTGTCTGTGACATTTTAAAAACGGTCTTGCTACACAATCTTACTTGACTGACGTTGTTCTTGATCATTGTTTTTTGTAGTTGAAAGAGATCTTGTTGCAAATAGAGTTGCGATATCAACACTGAGCGATTGGCCGTGGACAACCGAGCGCCTATCAGATTGTGGGGACTCTCCGGTGTCGCAGCTTCCGTACCGTATTATACCGTAAATATATTACAGAGAACTATGAAGTATCCACGGGACCCCCCAGGGACAGGACATTTCCCGGGGACTTTTTGTCTTCCCAGCTCTGGGCATCTGGGCAGTCCATTTCTCAAGTCTCATCCCGCTGTCGCATTCAAGTAATGGTATCAGCTGAGCCAGAAAATCATGTGGCTGAAAGATGCAGGGGGGAAAAGAAGAAAAAAAGCTCAACAAATGTTGTTATCATTAGCCCAATTTAGCGATGATCGACTGACTGGAGAATTAGGGTGAGACTCTGGACCAGTCATTGTTGACTCTGATTGCAGACTATCAGAGTCCGCAGAGATAAAGTCAGAATATCATTGGTGGGAGAATTAGGCGGTATAAAACCCCTCCGTGCGCCGGAGCTCCCACTATTTTTTTTCTGCCGTATATCTGTGTATCTGTGTATCAAAATACCATACCGATACATATCAGTACAGATCCATACCGGCCTCAGTCCCGGGCATTGACTCATAGCAGGTCGCTATATTTTTTTTTCTATTTCTCTATTTTCTCTTCTTCTCTTCTTCTCTCTCCTTTTTTCTTCTTCTCAATTCTTCCAGGTGAATCAATCTTTTCTTAATTCCTCCATCCTTCCCCGGATTTTTCTTGGGCGTGTAACAACGGAGCGGAAACACCAGGGAATCAAAGATCTTCCGAGAAAAATTTCAGGTCACCTGACTGGCGGGAAAAAAAGATCCCCAAAAAAAATCACCACCCACCCACCACTGCGATATCACGCCTTTTTTTTGCCTGTCATTATATATCAGGGAGGGCAGAGACAAAAGAGTCACCGTTTCAATTAATTGACTCGAGTCGTCGTCCTTCTATCCCTTCCTTTTCTTTCTTATTCTCTGCCTTTTTGACTGGCAGCGCAGTGCGCAATATGGTTCTCGCTGCTCGTTGTGGGCAGGCTTCGTCCGCCCTCCTGCGTCAGCGATGTTTTGCTGAAACCCGCCCCTCCGCTCGCGCATTGCGCGCCTTCACCTCTCAAACCCCTACGGTTCGTTCGACAACATCGACTTTGCGTCCGCAACAGAAGACCGCTTCGCTGCGGTCCCAGCAGCTGAGGAACTTCTCGAGTACCCTCCGCCGGTTGGCCTCGGAGACCTCGAACCCCCCCTCCGCCGCCTCTTACCTCAATAGCGGGGCTGTGAAACCCGGTAGCAACTTGATCGATGCCAAGAAGGTCTTGGTTATTGGTAGTGGTGGTATCAGCATTGGACAGGCCGGAGAATTCGACTATTCCGGTAAGTCGGCTCTTGACATGCCTTGTGGAGTTGGTGGGGGAGAATTGGTACAATATCTGGAGGAAAGCAGGGATGGCAAGACTGAGAGAAGGAATCTATGGCTAACTTGGATGTCTCATGGAAATAGGTTCTCAGGCTCTGAAGGCTCTCAAGGAAGCTGGAATCCAGTCCGTCCTTATCAACCCCAACATCGCTACCATTCAGACCGACCACAAGCTCGCAGACGAAGTCTACTACCTCCCTGTCACACCGGAATATGTCACCCACGTCATTGAGAGGGAACAGCCGGATGGTATTATGCTTGCCTTCGGTGGTCAGACTGCTCTGAACTTGGGTGTGCAGATGAACCGCATGGGTACCTTTGACCGCTATGGTGTCAGAGTTCTGGGAACCAGCATCCAGACCCTCGAGACCAGTGAAGACCGTGACCTTTTCTCCCAGGCCTTGAAGGAGATTGACATCCCTATCGCCGAGTCCATCGCTGTTGGCACCGTCGATGAAGCCTTGGAGGCCGCTGAGTCCGTTGGATACCCCATCATTGTCCGTTCGGCCTATGCCCTGGGTGGTCTGGGTTCCGGTTTCGCCAACAACCCGGAAGAACTTAAGGACTTGTCTTCCCGCTCCTTGACCCTTGCCCCGCAGATTCTGGTTGAGAAGTCGCTCAAGGGCTGGAAGGAGGTCGAGTATGAAGTTGTCCGGGATGCGTCCAACAACTGTATTACTGTCTGCAACATGGAGAACTTCGACCCCCTTGGTATCCACACCGGTGACAGTATCGTCGTCGCCCCCAGCCAGACCCTCTCAGATGAGGAGTACCACATGCTCCGTACTGCCGCCATCAAGATCATCCGTCACTTGGGTGTCGTTGGTGAATGTAACGTTCAGTATGCTCTGCAGCCTGATGGTCTTGACTACCGTGTCATTGAGGTTAACGCCCGTCTGTCTCGTTCGTCTGCTCTGGCCTCCAAGGCTACCGGTTACCCTCTGGCCTACACTGCTGCCAAGATCGGTTTGGGCCACACCCTTCCTGAGCTCCCTAACGCTGTTACCAAGACCACCACTGCCAACTTTGAGCCCAGTTTGGACTACATCGTCACCAAGATCCCCCGTTGGGACTTGAGCAAGTTCCAGCACGTCAACCGTGACATTGGAAGTGCCATGAAGTCTGTCGGTGAAGTTATGGCTATTGGCCGTACCTTCGAGGAGTCCTTCCAGAAGGCCATCCGCCAGGTCGACCCCAGATACATTGGCTTCCAGGGCGACACGTTCGAGAACTTGGATGAGGTCCTGAAGAACCCCACTGACCGCCGCTGGTTGGCCGTTGGTCAGGCCATGCTCCACGAGAACTACTCGGTTGAGAAAGTCCACGAGCTGACTAAGATCGACAAGTGGTTCTTGTACAAGCTCCAGAACATCGTCGACTGCCAGAACGAGCTCAAGGAAATCGGTAGTCTCTTTGGCATCCAGGAGGAGATGATGCTTCGCACCAAGAAGCTAGGTTTCTCTGACAAGCAGATTGCTCTCCTTGTCGGATCTACCGAGGATGAGGTCCGCGCCCGCAGGACGGGATTCGGTATCAGACCCTGGGTGAAGCGTATCGATACCCTGGCTGCTGAGTTCCCTGCTGACACCAACTACCTCTACACCACCTACAACGCTTCCTCCCACGATGTCTCCTTCGATGACCACGGCACTCTAATCCTTGGAAGCGGTGTTTACCGTATTGGAAGCTCCGTTGAGTTCGACTGGTGTGCCGTCAACGCAACTCTCTCCCTGCGGGAAATGGGCAAGAAGACCGTTATGATCAACTACAACCCTGAGACCTACTCCACCGACTTTGACACTGCTGACAGACTCTACTTCGAGGAACTCAGCTACGAGCGTGTCATGGATATCTACGAGCTTGAGAGTGCTAGCGGTGTCGTCGTCTCTGTCGGTGGCCAGCTGCCTCAGAACATTGCTCTTCGTCTGCAGGAGACTGGTGGCGCTCACGTCCTCGGTACCAACCCTCACGACATTGACCGTGCCGAAGACCGTCACAAGTTCTCTCAGATCCTAGACAGCATTGGTGTCGATCAGCCTGCCTGGAAGGAACTTACCTCCGTCGTTGAGGCCGAAAAGTTCGCTGAGTCCGTGGGATACCCCGTCCTGGTCCGCCCCAGCTACGTCCTGTCTGGTGCTGCCATGAACGTCATTTACAATGCTGGTGAGCTCAAGGAGAAGCTCCTGAACGCCAGTGCCGTCTCCCCTGACCACCCTGTTGTTATCACCAAGTTCATTGAGGGTGCCCAGGAGATTGACGTTGATGCTGTTGCCTCGGGTGGTAAGCTCTTGGTGCACGCTGTCAGTGAGCACGTTGAGCCCGCTGGTGTCCACTCTGGTGACGCCACTCTGGTCCTTCCCCCCACTGCCCTTGAGGAGTCGGTCATGGAGCGCGTCAAGGTGATTGCTCAGAAGGTCGCCGACGCCTGGAACATCACCGGTCCCTTCAACATGCAGATCATCAAGGCCGACGAGGAGGGTGCTGAGCCTCAGCTGAAGGTCATCGAGTGCAACCTCCGTGCTTCTCGTTCGTTCCCCTTCGTCAGCAAGGTCCTGGGTACCAACTTCATCGATGTTGCTACCAAGGCCCTTGTTGGCCGTGACGTCCCTGAGCCCGTCGACCTCATGAAGACCAAGCGTGACTACCTTGCCACCAAGGTGCCCCAGTTCAGTTGGACCCGTCTTGCCGGTGCTGACCCCTTCCTCGGTGTCGAGATGTCCAGCACTGGTGAGATGGCTTGCTTCGGTAAGGACCTGGTTGACGCCTACTGGGCTTCGATGCAGTCCATGATGAACTTCCGCATGCCTGAGCCCGGTGAGGGTCTGCTTTTCGGTGGTGACATCAACAGCCCCATCCTTTCCCAGATCGTGGACCTTGTCAACCCTCTCGGTTACAAGCTCTACGCCGCCAGCGCCGAAGTCAAGGACCACCTCGAGTCTGCCACCAAGGGCGACGTTTCGGTGCAGGTGATTGAATTCCCCAAGAATGACAAGCGTGCTCTCCGTGATGTCTTCGAGAAGTACGAGATCCGTGGTGCTTTCAACCTTGCCAAGACCCGTGGTAAGACTCAGCTCGACGAGGACTATGTCATGAGACGGAATGCCGTCGACTTCGGTGTCCCTCTCTTCATGGAGCCTAAGGTATGTAACTGCTTGCCTTGATTTCTAGCCGCATTTACTAACCTCGCCTTCTAGACTGCTCTCCTCTTCGCCACTGCCATGAACGCCAAGCTGCCCCGTGCTGAGGGTATTCCCTCTGAGGTCCGCAGCTGGTCCGAATTCGTCGGCACCAAGGCCCTGTAAAAGCATCAACGGTCCATAAGCCGATAAAGCAAAAATCTTTCCTATATTTCATTTGGTCTAATTTTTTTTCATACGATTTTCGTCTGACGGTCGAGAAAAGTCGCCCTTGTTCGGCGTAACGGATAAGGATTCATGTCTATAGATTATTATACGTTTCTTTTTGGGGACCATGGCATTCAAGTGCTGCTTGACTGCAAAAATTGGTTTTGATTTCTGTTTTTATACTCTAGTAAGATGATGTTACGTGTTTGAGCGACAAAAGAATTTCCTTTCAGCTTCGTGTATTTTTTGCATGTTTTTGTCGATATATCCAGATCCAATCTCAAATTCCATTTCGGTGTTCATATACACTCTTCGTACTGTCTAAAGTCCTTGAATATACTGCCATTCTCTACACACAACACCAATTCAATGCACTCTATGTCTACTTTTCTGTCGAGGCAAAATTTTATAGATGACTAATCTTCAATGGCCAATCAGAATATGCTGCAGACAGCTTCATCTGGCAGCAAATATATCAATCCATCGCAGAAGAACAGTCGCGTGTTAGCCAATAAGCCAAGTCGAATCAAGGGAAGCATACAAAAAATATAACCCTCGAAATATCTCAGACAACAGAGCTCCAGCATGTCTGCTGAATCTCCCCTCCCCTCAGTTCATACAAGAACAACACTCGGCCCTGCACCCAATGGCTTGGGGAATGGTCTGTTCGCATCAGAAGACATCTGTACCGGAGAAGACGTCTTGAGGATTAGTGCACCCTTTGTGGCAGTGCTGGATACGCCGCGGTTGAGCGATACGTGCTCTGGGTGCTTTGGAAAGAGGCAGCTAAATGTGGGTGCGGATCTGGATTTGAGGGCGTGTACTGGGTGTCAGGTGGTAAAGTATTGTGATAGGGTAAGTTTTATCTCTTCTTATTTACCGTGACATTGTTGAGCTGACTCTTCCTAGGCATGTCAAGCCAAAGACTGGAAATTCGCGCATTCTCATGAATGTCGGATCTTCAAAGAACTCTCTCCTCGGGTTCTCCCTAATAACGCCAGGGCAATGCTCCGGATGTTACTGCGCAGTACGAAGAAGAAATATAGCAATCAAGAGGTTGATCTCTTCGTCCAGCTGGAGACGCATATCCGGGATATTCGTGAGCGGAATATGGCGCAGTGGGAGCGGATTTCACTGTCTGCGAAGGCTGTGAAGATGTATTCTGGGATTGATATGAAAGAAGAGCTGATTTTGGCTTTTGGTACAAAGGTATGTTTTGCTATCCGTCTCCCTGTTTTATCATTGTAAGTGTTGACTTGGTTAGCTGGACCTTAATGCGTTCAATCTTACAAACCCATTGTATGACCGGATTGGGCTGTATTTGCACCCATATGCGGCCCTTATTAACCATAGTTGTGATTATAACTCGACTGTTGGGTTCGACGGGGATGAACTTTTCGTCAAAGCTGTCCGGCCGATCAAGAAGGACGAGCAGATCTTCATCTCGTATATTGACGCCACTAGTCCGTACGACGTTCGTCACAACGAGCTGTCAGAACGATACTACTTCGACTGCCAGTGCTCGAAGTGTTTAAAGGGCACAGATACGCCCGAAGATAAATTCCTAACAACAACGCTCGACAGTGCTGCATTTGCAGCAGCAGAGACAAAAGCACAAGCCTTCATGGGATCCGCTTCTGCCCCCAACTGTGAACCAACAGGAGCCGTCCGCAAACTGGAATCAGCCATGCAAGTCCTGGACCAAACCTCCGCATGGCCCATCACCAGACAGCCCTATATCTTCCTACGCGACGAGTTAATCGCATCCTTACTCTCCAACGGACAGTTCAAAACAGCTTTCGTTCAGGCCGCGGTTCGCTATATACGCGTTGATCCAATCGTCTACCCCTACGACTCTCACCCCATCCGCCATGTACATGCATGGGCACTGGCGAGGCTTGCTATCCACCTGTCTCAGGGGATAGAGACAAACACAGGCGACGATGTTGCGCTTGAACGCTTCGAGTTAAACTTCAGTCTTATTATCTGGTCTTTATTGAATAAGCTAATTAATAGGGAGTCAGAGAGCTGTACTGTGCCTAGCTTTAAAAGGATGGTGCAGCTGGCGTTCTATGAGGTGCATAAGGAGTTTGTTTCGAATGGACTGGATCCTTCTAATATGGCGGATGAGATTGAAAGGGAGTGGGAGAAGATGGATGGCGTTGTTTTTTCTATGTCGGAGAGAAAGTGATAACGAGAATGAGGGAAAATTTGGCGGTTCTGACATCCGTCCATGGAAATGAGTCGCGGTTTCCTAATTTGTCGTCAGTGTCATCCTTCCTCTTTGGGACATCGAGAGACCTCCAAAGATCTTTGGAATGCCCAAACGAACTTACACGACACTGCGCATCGCCAACAGTCGCACACGCGAAGAGCACCGTTTATTTACTTCAACATCGTTATATTCCGTGACATTACGAGCTTTGCTCTTCTGGATACTACTGTTCTTTATTTTGCGGACAGCCTTCGACAATAAAGCCACAGCTTAAGCAAATATATCTGACTCGACACTCTTCTATCTTTCTACACTGTCAATCCCAGTCCCCGCGAGTCGACGTCTGCATTGATCACGACGCGAAGCTGTCAAAATGGCACATCCGTTACCATTCGCATCATTCCCATATCCTCCATGGTATCACTTTCCACACTGGCCGTTTCTACGACCGCAGCCAATGTTTGCACCACCTCCTTATCCTCCACGGGGATCGACTCTTCCAACCACCTTTGTCTCCCAATATCTGAGCAAGACGGACCCGCTTGTTCTTCTCATTCTCGTCCTCGCAACGCATGATGTCAGCTCCAAATGGGAGGAAATGGTGGAGGCGAGCCGCCTGCTACCCGACAATCGCCTGTGGATGAAAGATCGCGACGAGCTCGCTCTCAACCTGGTCTCTCATACCGACATCGCGGAGGAATTGCGGAGCCTCTTGGATCTGAAGGGCCGGGTCAACCCCTGGGATTGGTTGCATCCACCTGGACAACCAGACGTGCGAGACCCTAGTCCTAGCTCTCCGCATGAAGGAAGTGCGATACTAGCTGAGCGAGCATGCCTCAAGCGACGACGTAATAGCGACCCGGGCAGTGACAGAAGCGGCCTTTGGATGAGGAACTTGGTGGAAGCCCAACGAGCCGGCAATATATATTTTTTTGATCGGTACTTGTCCATGACCAGGGACGTTGAAAACTGGAGAGAGAACGTCTCCCCCATTTCCCCTACGGGCCCGCCCACCCCACCAAGTAGTGCCGACACGAGCGCTTCGAGACGCAGATGCAGAAGACGATCTCCGTTGGCGAATTACGAAAGTGGCATGGGCGTCATCCAGAGCATAGAGGAAGATTACACCATGGGGTCGCAGAACAGACGGGCTTCGGCGAACGGACAGTCTTCGAATTACGAAAGGGTCGAGGTTTCACCCGGTGATTTGGAGGACGAGCGCACTAGACGTTTACGGTCCTGCACTCCTCTTGAGGAATTGTTGGATCAAGCTACGCGAGTTCGATTTGAGCCTGTTCATTCGGCCCCGGAAAGTGTGTGCTCCATGGAAACTGTGACTGTGCGTCCAAGGGGTCACTCTGATCCGTATAAGTGAAACTGGAGGAAAGTGAGGGACATTGGTTGGCGCTGTTCGGTTTTGGCTGTGTTCATATTCTTATGTTCCTCGGATATTTTAGAGATAGAATAAGTTAGACTCGATTGGGAAGAGTACTTTGGATTATGCAATATAATGTATGGTCACTCGTTTGCCATCGCCTTGTATAATTCATGTTCTCAAAAGAAAGTCGACAAGGGAACCCTAAGATGACGACGATAGACGCAGTAGGCAGCGGACATGGACGCTATCTCCAAAAGCAAATTACTGTAGTTCTTGTTTGGGAGGCGTGGGAACGATGTGTTATGATACCTACAAGTCATCCGAATAGACAAACATTACAAAGCGCCATAAGATGAACTTCATTCGTAAAATTAAAACACCCATCCCTACCTAACCTAGAAAACAACAGGAAAAGGTGAACTTTTTGACCCCCTGACCCATATGCAGAAACACACAAGCCAGGGGGACCAAAAAGGGCTCATCTTTCGTCATCAGAGTTGTCAAAGATCCTTCATGGCCGACAAGAATCTTTTTTTATATTGAGATGGAAACAGCTGACCCGCACTTGACATACAAGTAGAAGAACCCAGGTATATGTAAATGGATTCCACCCATTTTGGTTTTTTCCTTTCCCAACATCCGTACGCCGAACGAATCTCCCACGCGACACTCCAAAAGCGACTTGTTTACTTGAGGGGAATGAAACGGGAAGAGTGGGTGGCACCAATACCGGGACGACCGTGCTTGACGGGCTTGCTGTGTGGTTGTTAGCCATCTGCAAACACCTTTTTCCATACCAGATCTAGATTTCAGAGGACGTACTATGAGATGGAGAACTCGGCGAGGTAGTGGCCAACCATTTCGGGCTTGACTTCGATCTGGTTGAACTCCTTACCGGAGTAGATACCGACGACAGAGCCGATCATTTCGGGGACAATGATCATGTCACGGAGGTGGGTCTTGACGAGGTCGGGCTTCTCGTTGGGGCGGGCCTCCTGCTTCGCCTTGCGGAGCTTCTTGATGAGACCCATGGGCTTGCGCTTCAGACCGCGGTTGAACCTTCTGCGGGCACGGGCGTGGACGACATCACGGAGCTGTTCCGAGGAAAGGTCGAGGAGCCTGAAAGTTGTCCATGTCAGATAAAATCCTTCCCAACTGTGATATGCTGTCCTCCATTCCAACATCCGACTCCAAAGGTGACAATCTGATCGTGATGGGAGTTGTTGGACGGTGTCGTTCTTTCGGAGTCGGATGTCGGATGGTTCAGAGCATGCGAGAGGAGAAAATGCGAACGTACTGGTCGAGGTCAATACCACGGTAGGTAAACTTCCGGAATTGTCTTCTCTTCTTGAGCTCTGTTCGGCGACAAGTTCAGTCAGCGACTTCATTCTTTGTGTTGTCCCTTCGATATCGATCCTTTCTTCCATCATCGCATCCCCATCACATATCATATCTTTCCAATCCAACTCCATCGAATATCGTTCCATCAAGCATCGTTCGTGGTCAAGGGTAGGAAAAGGTTTTCAGTGGTAACGTACCGGCAGCTTCCTCGGCGTTCTGAGAAGGGATCAACAATTAGTCTTCTTGCATTGATAGAATAACCATCGCAGACAAAAACTCACGTATTCGGTGTCAGCCATTTTTGCGGTTTTTTCCTCTAGGTCGCTTTTCGATCGTACACTCGAAAAGCGAAGGGAATATGGGTTGTCGGGTCGTGTCTGTCGCTGAAATGACAGTCGTCGGGCTAAGCGTGGGCTTCTGCGCTTCGAGTTTGGAGGTGGGCTGGAGGGCTCGCCTAAGCGACCCACCGGGGTCAAGCCCTAGATCTATTCCTTTTCGGGTATAATTGAATATAGGGCTACCCACTTCGAACCCTGGTATCTTATCATTCTGATTTGATCAATCAGAGCGCATAGATTTACTGAAGGGGAGCAGTAGATTTATTGGTTACTGATTCAACTTGAATACGGGGTAATATGCTACCAAGATTTGCGAGAAAAAGACGAATACGCTCCGGTGAAATCTCAATGCGAAACAAATCGGTGTCTACGTACTACTCAGTGAACAACTTGTGGAGGTCAGATCTGTATTGACTAAAGGCTGTTTCCAGCTCACATATGCGTAATTCGTAACAGCATCCCGAACCATCCAGGCTTGACAAAACCAGTGGGCGAGATTACTCCCCAGGCTGAAAATAACTGTCCGATTCTGTTCCTCCACAATCCGTAGCAAATTTTTTTACTCTCCAGGCGAATGCGCTTAGTCGAAGAGACCCAAGCCCATGTCGTCGTCGGACTCCTCAGCGGGCTCCTCCTCCTTCTTCTCAGCAGGAGCGGCCTCACCAGCACCACCGGCGGCGGGGGCAGCGGCAGCGCCGGCACCGCCAGAGGGAACGGAAGCGAGCTTCTCAGTACCCTGAGCGATCAGCTGTTTTGAGAAAAAAAACTCGTCAGTATACAGTTTCTTCCATAGAATCTTTTTCGCAAGTGAAACAAACCTCGTTGATGTCCTTGCCCTCGAGCTCAGAGATGAGCTTCTGGAGACGCTCCTCGTCGGCGTCGACACCGACGGAGGAGAGGACACCCTTAACATCGTCGGCAGAGGGGGTCTCGTTGCCGGCAAGGGCGATGAGGAGGTAAGCTGCGAGGTGCTTCATTTTGAATAGAGTTCTATAGTGAAAGAATTCTCGTCAGAATCGGTCGCCGTCAAAACTGGGATTCAAATCGCAGAAAATACATACCTGTTGGTTTTCTGAACACGAGAATCAATCGATTTAACCGCAAGTTGGGCGGAGACTGAAACGTCGAGTTCGCTGGGTGATGGTTGAGCGATGTGGAAAGAAAAAGTTCAGGATGGAATTATCGGCGAGAAAAAGTGCGGTGCGGCTGCCAGCTGTGGCTAGTGTATTTCGGCGGGCTTCTAAGCGAGACGCTGTGGCGCATGTAGGATTTGCAAATCAGCCGCTCACGGGCACGTGACATTCGAGACTTCCAGAAGGACAGGATGGCGCTTCAGGCTTAACTCTCTTTTCTCCAATCTCTCTTTCGTCCCTATCGCCCTGTTTTGTCTCGCTAACACCACTGGAGTCGATTTCTTTGATTCAGCCGTTTTCTGCTCCGCTGGAACGTGCGGGCTATCTCATTTCGCGCGTCGAACTCGGGATTCGATAGTACTAGCATCGTGATGAAGTTACCTCGTCGTTTTAACCACCGACGGTGAACTTCCCTTCTGACTTGCTCTGTTTCTTTAACGGAAATACCATCTTGCTTCTGCTTTTCTTTTGAATTTGGAGTGGCAATATGAGCGTAAGTACATGTCTCCTATCGGTCTTTGAGTGTTTCAGGTTTTTCTAACTCTCGTTTTCTTAGTTCCTCGATTCTGTGCTTACGTCCATCGAGACGGGCAAACCGTCTGCGATCCCGCCGACAACATCTCGTCCGGAACCTCCCGTCTCATCCTCCACGGCGAAGTCTGAAGTTCGCAAACCTAGCACGCCATCCCGTGATGCCTCTTCCGATAAAAAGGTCGCCACAGCAGGGACGAAGCGGAAAGCTGAAGAGCAGCTGCAGCGTCCACCGAAACCAGATAATCGAGCACTTGGTAAATCAGTGCCCACGAGGCCTGCATCCACGAAGCCTGCACCTACAAGGCCTACCACATCTACAGCATCGAAGCCTCGCCCGAATCCCGCTCCAAATGCGGCCAAATCTGCGTCAAGCGGCAATACTTCTTCAACCCCGAAGACCGCGCCTGCTTCGTCCAAACCTCCTCCAGGATCATTCGCCGATCTCATGATGAAAGCGAAGGCTCTTCAGCAAACTGCGCCGACGCAAGTGGGAATGTTCAAACACCAAAACAAGACAGCGCCCAAAGAAAGGCTCAGCAAAATGGAACGCAAGAAACGGGCGATAGAAGCACAGGCGAAGGAGAAAGATCCACGACTGGCAAAGAAAGGCGGTACCACCGCTGGAACTCCGGCGGGCGCCAAACTTGGCGATGGAAAACCGGCGAGAAAACGAGATCCTGATGAGCCCACCTACAGAGGCACTGCCAGACCGACGCAGACGCCCGCGACAACTGAATACCGAGGAACAGCCGGTCTACCACCCAAGCGTGATCTCGCTGAAAGACAACAATCTAAAGCCGGCAACCGATCACGGATGGATGACTATCTTGGTACAGATGAGGAAGACGAAGGTGAATATGCGGACGACCATGACGACTACTACTCGGACGCATCATCGGATATGGAAGCCGGCTTCGACAATGTGGAGTCGGAAGAGCAAGCGGCTCTTAAGGCCGCCAGACGAGAAGACGAGGAAGAATGGCAGGCCGAACTCGCAGCCAAGCAAGAGAAACTGGAGCGGAAGAAGAAGCTTACTTCGTTGGCGTCAAGGGCCAGATGAACACTTATCATACTTTTTTCTTTTCATCACGACTCGATACTCCCTTCCGGCAAGTCTTTTTGTTTTCTTTTGTTTTCTTTTGTTTATTCCTCTTCTTTGGTTACGGAGCATCAGCGAGGGGTACTTTCGGGGGTGCATTTTACAAGTCATTTATATTCTACTCGTTCTTTGATTTCGCTTTCTTAAGTTGGAGTTTTTCTTTAGGTGTCAATAGATGGTGGCCTCGTTCAATTACATACTAGCTTTATCATTATGAGCGGGCGTCCTGTTTATATCCTTAGCTTAGTACAATTAGCAAATATTCAGCATCAGTATACGACTATCCCAAATCATTTTCTTGTTAACTAGTTAACTAGTTAACCAACTCCTGGTTGCCATATCCTTCAGGCCCACACGTAGGCGGTGACATCACAGCTTGTAACGCTCACATTTCCAGCCTTGCTCTTACGCCAGTTCTTTTCTAATTCTTCTTCTTCCCTCAATCGGCGCTATATTGAATTCAAGAACTCATTCTGTCAAGGAATTCTACCTTATATATAGAACCACCACCATGGAGCCGGTACATGTATCCACTTCGTCAAAGGCACTCTTCAATAAGGTGCGCCGAATCGTACCACCTCTGCTCGAGAGATTCCACAAAGGTTTGGCCCCAAGGCTAGTCATGATTGGGAATGGTAATTGACAATGGGGTGTAGGGCAACAAGGACGTGTTGCTGTCATCGGAGGCAGCCTCGAGTACGTCATGTTTCTCGTTCGACAAACTATCAGATGAATCGCATTCTAACAGACTGGGTGAAGCTACACAGGAGCTCCATACTTCTCATCGATGGCATCTGCAAAATTAGGTATGTTGTGTGAATATCTACTAGTCGTTCCATTGGCTGACATTATACGCAGGTTGTGATATGGTGAGGATATCTTGTCAGATACAACTACAGTTCCCTCGAAGCTAACTGTCACAGAGCCATGTAATCTGTGAAAGATCCGCCGCATCTGTATGTCTTCTTACTTGCCAATTGGCTAGTACAAGCCTAGCTCATGGGCTAATCTGTTTAGGTTATCAAATCCTACTCTCCAAGCCTGATGGTACACCCACTGCTTCCAAGCAGCGAGTCCGTCTCAGATCCCAACTCGATTGACGCCCCAGCCCTCGCCGGTCCCATAATCTCCATGCTCTCCCGACTTCATGCGCTGGTTATCGGCCCAGGACTTGGTCGCGACGGTGTGACGCTCAAGGTCGTCAGAGAAGTTATCAAAGAGGCACAATCACAATCAATTCCGTTCGTCCTGGATGCAGATGGACTCCTCTTGGTCACGGAAGACCCGGAACTCGTCAAGGGGTACAAGGAGTGCATTCTCACACCTAACGTCAACGAATTCGGCCGTCTCGCAAAGGCACTGAAGATTGAGGTCCAGAGCCAAGCACAGATTAAGGGAGATGGTGGTGACAAGACGAGCAAAGAGTCGGAAGCTTGTGAGCAGCTGTCGAATGCACTTGGGGGTGTGACGATTGTCCAGAAGGGGCCGCATGACATCATCTCGAACGGTGTTACCACCCTCGTCTCCGACGTCACCGGTGGATTGAAGCGAAGTGGGGGCCAAGGTGACACTCTTACCGGATCGCTAGGCACGCTGTTGGCATGGAGAGCAGCTTATCATAACAAACTGTGGGATTCAGGAGAGAAGGAAAACGACAAGCAAGCTGAGAGCCGACAGGATGTCAAAGCTGAACTCGAGACGGAAGGCAAGAGGATGTCGCCAACGACGACGTTACTTCTTGCTGCTTGGGCTGGCAGTAGCTTGACCCGGGAGTGCTCAAGACGGGCATTCAAGGCTAAGGGAAGGAGCATGCAAGCTGGTGATCTCACAGATGAGGTCTACCCAAGCTTTTTGGAGCTGATTGGTGAGCCCGATACGCCTGAGAAGTCTAGTCTGTAGACTATTGGGTTGAGCTGGTTGTTTGTAAAGCGTTACATCTATAGCTATACCTAACATGTTGTTTACTTGGATTTGACGTAGCTCGGCTCTTACATGCGTAACTGCACTCAACTTCCGTAAAGGCATAGTATTATATCTTGCATGACCCATGATAAGAAAAATTACACCATAACACCTATTCCCAGGCTCGGCCAAATTCCCAAGAATTCTCACATAAATCCCAATGCACACATCTTTCAGGTATAGAACAGCAGCAGCAGCAGCAGCATGAAAGATCAACAAGTTATGATATACCGTAAGACATCTATTACATATCCTCCATAACGTCATCCTCAGCTCCAATGAAAACAAGACGAGTGCCGTTGGCGATGACTTGCCAGACCTGGAAGGGAGACATGTTAGTACCTGTGCATATATGATACAGAGTAATGAAGGACTTACATCGACGTTGGCGTACTCATCAATCGCCATCGTGAGCTGATCTTCCGTGAAGCCTTTGGCCAACACTCGCTCACGGATACGTCTCATGCTGAGAGCACCACTCTCATCATCTCCAACCGCCGCAGCGCCGCTTTCCCACATGCTGCGGATGAGAGTGTAGATCTTGCTGGTAGGGCTCTGGTCCACACCCATCTGTCCGTCGTTGGACAGCGAGGCCTTGCTGACCTCAATGAGGCGAAGAGCCTCGTCAACGTCCTCCGGAGCAACAACATCGCTGAACCGAAGACGCGCCAGGGATTGAGACAGACGAACAACACCGAGCAGTGTACGAGGGGTAACGTGGGAGAACTGCCTCTTGGATGCTTCGTCGCGCTTCTGGTCCTTTCGCATCCGCACGTAGGCGCCGACCATGTAATCCGAGATGGACCGGGGAACGACGGGTCTGTAGGTTCGTGCCTTGGCGATGTACTGGCGGACCTCGTGAGGAGTGAACACGACGCCCTGGTCTTCGGTCTCGGGGTGCTTGTTGTGCATGTGGACGTAGGTGACGTGGTGTGCCAGTTCTTCGTCTCCGTCGCGCGAGGGAGTATCGAGGATGAGGAACATGACATCGAAACGAGACAAAAGGGCGGCGGGAAGGTTGATGTTCTCGACGGGAGAGACACGGGGGTTGTATCGGCCGTACAGAGGGTTGGCGGCCGCGAGAATAGATGTTCGTGCGTTCAGGGTGGTTGTGATTCCTGCCTTGGAGATGGAAATGGTTTGCTGTTCCATGACTTCGTGGATGGCGGTCCGGTCTGCGTCTTCCATCTTGTCAAATTCATCAATACAGCAGATGCCGTTGTCAGCCAGGACCAGAGCACCTCCTTCCAGGACCATCTCGTCAGTCACAGGGTCTCTCATGACTGCCGCCGTGAGACCGACACCGCTGCTTCCGCGACCGGTTGTGTATACACCTCGAGGAGCAACCTTGGCAATGTACTTCATCAACTGAGATTTAGCAACACCAGGGTCACCCATAAGACAAATGTTGATGTCTCCACGGATATGCATGCCGTCGCCCATTTCCTTGGTAACACCTCCAATAAGAAGCAAAAGCAGGGCCTTCTTCACATCGATGTGACCGTAAATCTCAGGGGCGATGGATCGAGCCAGGTACTCGTACATGTTTCCAGAGTTCTGGTACTTCTCAATCTTGCGGAGCGTCCGACCGTCCATTTGCAACTCGTTGTAGGATTCTTTGTGTTGGGTGATGTACTGGGCCTCCAAGTAGGTATCAGTCAGAAGACCAGCGCGGATGGCTCTGAAACCCGTGTAGGGAGTGGGAAGGAAAATGCCTGCCACATCGACGAGGTCACCGGGGTTTAGCTGGCGCGTCAAGCTTCCGTGGCAGTGGATGGTTAATGTCCGCGGGATGTGACCGACAGGAACCTGGTCGGCCATCTCTTGGATCTTCACTTCTTGGAACGGAACGAACTTCGACGCACGGGTGGAGAGGAACAATTGGCCCTTGGAGTTGTTCTGTGTGCACTCATCCGACATACATTCCGTCATGGGAAGGAACTGTTTCGTTGTGACGGGCTGGAAGACTTCGCAACCGCATCGGTCACAGGTGTAGGCGTTGATCTGGACAGCAGGCTTGACATCGGACACACGAGTAGTTATTCCCCGGACTGTAATGAGACTACCAAGATGCTCTCCGCGCACGTTCCGGACTGCCATTGCCTTCGAATCACGTTCGGTGCTGGAACCAGAAGGAGTAAGTGGCTTGAAATTGAGAGTGTATCGGCGAGTCAGCTCAGGCGGGAACATCGAAGGAGCTGCTGCAGTATCCATGTCTGCTTCCATGGCCATGGCCAGGTTCTCGTTCCGCCTTTCACGCTGGGACATGATAACATCAAGTACATCATCTTTGAAACTGTTCGCATTTAGCCACCAGTTTCCTGATCCCTCCAGAGCTTTCAGAATATACATACGTGACTTCTCTGGTTTCTCTAGGCATGACAGCATCAACGGCCTGCGAAAAGATCTCAATATAGCGGTGCGTATTTTTCTGAACAGACTCGACAAGCTTCAAGTCTGTCTCCTCTGGAAGCGATTTCTCAAACTGCATCCTCATCAGAAATTGTCACGGAAATCGGCATGATGGGCTCGAATTCATACGGTATTCAAGTCGTCCAAATCGATAACGACGTTCATCCGTTCCCGGTTCGCAGCATCTTGCAGCATTTGCATATATTTCAACTTCGGTTCCCGGCGTGTGCGACCAGCTCCGGGTCTCTGCGCGCCCTCCCCTTCCTCGGCATCATCCATAAAATCATATTCATCGCTAGTCCGGTCGCCGTCAATGTGCAAATCTTCAAGTGCCTCTGTCGCGGCCGATTCGGAGGCCGACTCGAAAGTTTTGAAGTGCTGAAGAAAGTCTTTGAAGGTATCCAATTGGGCCGCGTAGTCGACGGGCGCGGGGTACTGAAGCAAAGCCATGATGCGACGACAATAAAAAGCCCGATCCGATTGACCGTCGACTGTGTTTCGGTGGTGGTTGACAGTTCCCCTCAGTGGGAGGAAAAAGGAAGGAGATCAAAGCGATTCAGGTGTCGGGCGGCGTTTAGCAGCTTTGGCGCCGAAACGCGTCGCGTCGCCCAAAAAGAGACGCGTCTCCTGTTCTGACTGTTTCTAGTCCTAATTGGGACTAGTGTAGTTCCACGTGACACGGAGAGGAACAACCCTCGGTCCGGAGACCTACGGCGGGCCGGCTCGGCGAAGAGCACTCGGGGAAAGTGAACGATGGCCTCTGATTGTGGAGTCAACAAGCTGAGGTCCGGGGGAGATGCTGAATTCTAAGCTTCTTCCTTCTTTTGTTTTGAAGATCACACTTTCTCTCATTGTGCCATAGCGCCTGAAAATGGCGCCCAGAAAGCCCTCCTCGACGGCAGAAGTTGCCCTCGTGCCTCTGAAGAACTGCTTGGTCAACTTGCCGCCATCACTGACCGCGCTTCTGGTTAACGCGAATGCCGTATGTCCTCTCGCGCACGCTTCAATTTGGTCGCTTTCGAGATTTAACTCAGACATTGTCGTTAAGACGGAGGAAGCTAATCAACCATTACTCCAGACCGCGCAAAATGTCATTGTTGAGCTACAATATCGACCTTCTTCCGGGAGGGCCAACGGAAGCCCATCGCAACGGTCGCTATACTTGGGATGGACGGGAATGCCCAGCAAACGGAAGCTTGCGCCGGTCGTGGGAAGAGACGGCATAAATAGGGGTTCCGCCAGAGAACAAGAGGCGTCGACGGTGGAATTGGATACCACATTTGGAAGAGTCCTGGGCCTTGCAGAAGGACAACCGGTAAGGCACAGCAGTTCAAAAGCCGAATTGGCTAAGGAGTTCTGACAGCGTGTCAGGTTGCGATTTATATACATCTTGATCCTCCGGTGGCACACACTGTTAATATTGAGCCCATGACTCCAGAAGACTGGGAGAGTATGTTTTATTCGTTGCCACGGTGGTCTGAAGTACGTTTGCTGACGTTGGTGTCTATAGTTATTGAACTTCACGCCAACTTCTTGGAGCTTAATCTTCTATCGCAAATTCGCGCACTTCCGAATCCAGGATATAATAATGCAGGACAACTCGAGCACATGCACCCTCTGGCTTTGCATCTTTCTCCGACATCTACTGCGAACATCGTCATCACCTCACTTACACCGGCTCCGTCTGACACGTCGGCATTCGCAAAGATAGCCCCAGATGCGGAAGTTATAGTCGCACCCAAGGTCCGTCCGAAGAACGCCGCAGGCTCTCGGGCAGACAGTCGTAGCGTTACCAGCAGGAAGAGTGCCAGTGGGAGGAGTAGCAGCGGCACTACGCGACCCAAGAGTAGTGCAAACAGAAGCGGGCTCTACTTGAGGGGTGTCGATCGCAAGTCTGCTGACCAGTGGTTCGATGCGGAATGCGACGATGACAATAACGAAGGCTTCCGTGTATGGGTTGACCCCGATCTACTCGCCACAAACGAGCTTCGAGGTGCCGGCTGGGTGTGCATCTCCGTTGTCCAACCTGCTGGCCTCAAACCGATGCCCGACCCTCAGCAGCAAATAAACCAAGCGGAGCAACAAAAGTCAAGCGAGGCCGGTTCTCCCGCGACGAAGCTCGTTGCTAAGCTGGTACCATGGGTGGATGCACCAGATACCCAGCACGTTGCCATCTCCACCTTGTTGTGCAGCACGCTGAGCGCAGAAGGTATAGTTGGGGGGGTCGTTCGCGTTGAAGCAGCGCCTCCGCAAATGCAACGGTCGACAGTGAAGTCGCTTAAGATATATCCATTCATGTCCGATCCGTCGAAGAAAAGAGATGGATTGAAGTTCGGCGCTGATACTGCAGCTGCGAAGGACGCGCTGCTCGAGCGGATCAAGGTGATCCATGGGGCCCCTGGGTCTGACATCGGTCTTTTATCAGGCGCATTGACAGACGGAATGGTGTTGCCAAGGGTGGAAAACCCGGGATCGGTGTCTGCATTCGATGGTGCGATTATCCGCTTTGACCCTCCACTGAAGGGCAACGATGCCTCTAAACCTTTATTCGGGTGGCTCTTGGGGTCAGAGTCGAAGCTGTTTCTAGAGGTGCAGTCCGAAATACCTAGACTGTCGGAAGGCTCGCCCGCACTACCCACCGATGATCCAATCCCAGAAGTTGCTCCCGAACTGGTGGGAATTGATTCTATCATCTCGCAGTCTCTTGACGGCCTGACCAAATCAACTTCTATCCTGTTGACTGGTGGTCTCGGGGCCGGGAAAACAGCTCTTACTCACCTCCTTGCGCACCGGGTTCAGAAAGACTATCTGTTCAACGTGAAATACTTTTCTTGTCGGAAACTGGTTACTGATGAGACTCGAATTTCGAACATCAAAGAAACTTTGAACCGCCTTTTCATGTCTGCTGCTTGGTGCGCCCGCTTGGGTGGGCAATCAGTAGTTATTCTGGACGACCTTGATAAGTTGTGTCCTGCGGAGACAGAATTGCAAGTTGGAGGAGACAACGGCCGCAGTCGCCAAAACAGTGAAGTCATCTGCTCGATGGTCCGAGAGTATTGCTCGATGAATTCCCCGGTTGTCCTCCTGGCCACTGCGCAATCTAAAGAGTCCCTGAACAACGTCATCGTTGGTGGGCATGTGGCACGCGAGGTTATTCATCTCAGGGCACCCGACAAAGATGGACGTCGCAAGGTTCTGGAGAAGCTAACAAGCCAGGATAAGGCTGCTGACAGTATCAACGGCCGCGCACGGAGCGTTAGCGAGTCTACCCATGATTCATGGTTGGACCCTTCAAATCCTGAAAGTCGACCTGGTTCTTCCGAGAATGATGGCTTTGTTCTTGCACGGGACATTGATTTCCTCGAGCTGGCCGGAAAGACCGACGGATACATGCCAGGGGACCTCGTTCTGCTCATTTCTCGTGCTCGGAACGAGGCTTTGATACGTTCGGTGCAAGATCCATCGGCAGCCTCGAAAGCGGTTACTCTTGGAGCCGATGATTTTGAGAACGCACTCAAAGGCTTCACTCCAGCATCTCTGCGTAATGTCACACTTACCTCCTCTACGACGACCTTTTCTGCGATCGGTGGCCTGCACTCGACCCGACAAACTCTAATGGAGACGCTGCAATATCCCACTAAGTATGCGCCTATCTTCGCGCAGTGTCCTCTGCGTCTGCGGTCTGGGTTGCTTCTCTACGGTTACCCCGGATGTGGAAAAACAATGTTGGCCAGTGCAGTAGCGGGCGAATGCGGCTTGAACTTTATCAGTGTCAAGGGACCTGAGATCTTGAACAAGTACATCGGTGCCAGTGAAAAGAGCGTGCGAGACTTGTTCGAAAGAGCACAGGCTGCGAGGCCATGCATTCTGTTCTTTGACGAGTTTGACAGTATCGCACCGAAACGTGGACATGATTCCACTGGTGTCACGGATCGTGTGGTCAACCAGCTCCTTACTCAAATGGACGGTGCAGAAGGTCTCTCTGGAGTCTACGTACTGGCAGCAACCTCGCGACCTGACCTGATCGATCCAGCTCTGTTGCGTCCAGGACGGTTGGACAAGTCCCTCCTCTGCGGCATGCCATCGCATTCGGATCGAGTTGACATCATTGAAGCCGTTAGCAAAAAGCTAAAGATGAACCAAGAAGTCGTCAGCCGTCTGGACGAGGTCGCCTCCAGAACCGAGGGTTTCTCAGGAGCCGATATCCAAGCCGTGGTATACAACGCCCATCTCGAAGCCGTGCACGACGCTCTGGGCGACCACACCGCAACCAACGACAAAGCGCCCACCCGGGGCAGCGCCAAACAGTCTTCTACCAGCGTCAGCAGCAAATCCTTCATCCAGTTCCTGTACTCCAACGAGCAACAAACCGGACCAGTCCCCATGCCTTCTCCCGCCATTGTCGCCTCCAAGCTCGAAGCAATCAAGAGCACGCGCCGTCGCCAGCGCCAGCTAGAACAGCAAGGTACTGCCGGCGCTGCTGCACAGTCGACGCCCATGACCAACGGCAACGCATCTCAAGAAGAACCGCGCGTGGAGGTCATCGTGCGGTGGGAGCATATTGAGCGATCGCTGGATAACACGCGGCGGTCGCTGAGTGAGCCTGAATACAGACGCTTGCTGGCTATCTATCGGGAGTTTGTGATGGGACGGAATGGAGAGATGCCTAATGGTGAGGGAGGGAGAGAAGTTGGAGGAAGGACGAGTTTGATGTAGGTTTATGTATTTCTGGGTGGATTAAGTAGAGTATATATTTGCATATAGAGACATTCTCTGTAATAATTAAGCTATTTACTGTGTACTTGGAATACATCGTGCCGCTGTAATTTGTAGTCGTAGTGAGCAACGTTCTACTGTAGGAGCCGACAAAAAAATAAAAGGCCGCTCCCCGCGAGTCTCGAACGCACCTCCCACCGCTGCAGCCTACCAGGCCGAAATAGGCAAAAACGTCAATTTCGCCCTGTAACCAATAAAAAAAAAACTGGTAGCTTCTCTTTGATTGAGCGTGTCATCCTTAGTGCAGGGGCCATGCTAATCTTCTCTGTATCGTTTCAAATTGACCAAATGCCCGAAGGCAATAGGATTACCGTTAAAGTGGTTTATATGCCCTTTTAAAGCGGGAATGGGGAACTCTCATTGGTTGGGCTGGCGAGGTGGCAGGGTTAGTCATATTCTGTCTGTGCGAGGCATAGTGTGCATAAAATTGAGCATAAAGTAGGTCGTAGTGATAAAAGTTATAGATGTCGCAGAATAACAACCAAAATTTCGATCTCGAAATCGATCAAAACACTTCAGAATTGAGTTGAAACAGAATCCCACACGAACTGAAAAAAGCGCAAAATTGGCGAATGCTTGTCAGCAAATGGATCCCAATGAGACTTGTTATTGGCCTGAATTAGATGACTTCAATTGGCTGTATATTCCACCACACTCTCCCAATAGGGTAACGAGTCCCGAGGTTAGCGGTCAAGACGTTAGATGTCAGGATGCGCCTCTCTGTACCCCGGCTTACTCCGGAGTACAGTCCTTGGCATACGGGGTACGTGAACGAGTGCTATATAATTCAAATTTACGGGATATCTAGAGCACTATTCTGGAAAGAACCATATACCTTTTATAGTGAGTAACTACTTGTACCACTCCGTACTACTAGGCCAGTGCTCCTCCTACTCGGCAATCCGGTCCATAGCCGAGCCGATAACTCTTTATGCGCCGGTACCTCTCTGAACCGAGGCTCGCGTCACAACATAACCGACGCCACCAGTAGTTGGAGAAGGCAAGATAAGCAAGATGGGGTATAGTGTGGGTGGCGCCGGTTTATCCGTCTCCTGGGAGCTTTCAAAAGAGCTCGTGTCTCGTTTCTGCTTTCTTTTCTTTTGCGTTAATTTGTGAGCATCTTGCTAGAGTGTCTATTTTGTTTGCATATCACCATGCCTGTTACATCGTCATACGCTCCGGTCCAGGTACCGGATGTTGATATCTGGGATTTTCTGTTTGAGAGGAAGAATAAGCCGTTCCCAGATGACAAGGGTATGCCTCCCTGTTCCTTTGTCTTACGTTACAAGAAAACTAACAACCAAAAGTCATCTACCAAGATGCCGACACACAACGCATTTACACCTACGCCGGTGTCAAGGAAGGCGCCCTTACCTTCGGCAAGGGCCTAAAAGCCATCTACAACTGGCGCAAAGGCGACGTCCTCGCCCTCTTCACCCCTAACTGCATCGATACCCCCGTCATCACCTGGGGCACCCACTGGGCCGGTGGCGTCGTCTCCCCCGCAAACCCCGCCTACACTGTCGAAGAATTGGCTTTCCAGCTGAAGAACTCGGGTGCGAAAGCGCTGGTTACGCAGATGTCTGTGTTGGGCGTTGCAGAGCAGGCAGCGGCTAAGGTTGGGATTTCGAGGGAGAGGGTGATACTCATTGGAGATGAGAGACATCCTGAGGCGAAGTTTAAGCATTTTACTTCCGTTAGGAATATCTCTGGTGCGACGAGGTTCCGGAAGACAAAGATTGATCCGAGAAAGGATCTGTCGTTCTTGGTGTACTCGTCAGGGACGACTGGGTTGCCAAAGGGAGTGCGGCTGTCGCATCGGAATATCGTGGTCAATAGCCTCCAGTTGGAAGCCGGGGACGGAAACCTATCCTGCATTGGAGGCGAAGATGGAAAGGGAGATCGGATATTAGCCTTCCTCCCATTCTACCACATCTACGGCCTGAACTGCCTCCTCCATCAAACAATTTACCGCGGTTACCACCTCATCGTCATGCAAAAATTCGACATCGAGAAATGGTGCGCCCACGTCCAGAATTACCGTATCACCTTTAGCTACGTCGTTCCTCCCGTCGTCCTCTTACTGGGTAAACACCCCATCATCGACAAATACAACCTCTCCAGCTTGCGCATGATGAACTGCGGCGCCGCACCACTTACCCAAGAACTCGTCGAAGCGGTCTACGCGCGCATCAAGGTCGGTATCAAGCAGGGCTATGGTCTCAGCGAAACGAGTCCTGTCACGCACACACAGCCCTGGAGCGAGTGGCATAGCAGTATTGGGTCTGTCGGGAAGATGGTGCCGAACATGGAGGCGAAGTATATGACCATGCCGGAGGATGGGTCTGAGCCGAGCGAAGTTGGCGCCGGGGAGGTCGGGGAGTTGTACGTGCGCGGTGAAAACGTGTTCCAGGGGTATCATGAGAATCCGACTGCGACGGAAGAGTGTCTGTCGGCGGATGGATGGTTCCGGACTGGTGACGTTGGGTATCAGGATCCCAAGGGGAACTTTTACATCACGGATCGGGTTAAGGAGCTCATCAAGTACAAGGGATTCCAGGTGGCTCCTGCGGAATTGGAGGGTATCCTGGTTGACAATGAGGCCGTGGATGATGTTGCGGTGATTGGTGTGGAGAGCGAGGCGCATGGCAGTGAGGTGCCTATTGCGTTTGTTGTGCGGAGTGGCAAGAGCAAGTCCTCTGGTGCGAGCGCTGAGCAGGAGGCCGAGAACATCATCAAGTGGCTGGACAGCAAGGTGGCATACCACAAGCGTCTGCGCGGTGGTGTGCGGTTCGTGGACGAAATCCCCAAGAGCCCGAGTGGAAAGATTCTCCGCCGGATGTTGAAGAAGCAAGTCCAAGATGAGACCAAGGCTGCTAAGCCCAAGGCCAAGCTGTGATCATTTCTTCATCTGCATCTGTACACAGATTCTGTACGCATATATCCATCATTCATATTATTCAAGAGAACCGCTTAACCATCCCCTCAACATCCTCCCCCTCAACCGTATCAACCTTCTCCTTAACCACCCTCTCAACAGCCTCATCCACCGGCTCCTCCCCATTCAACAAATCATACCACCCGTTCGTATCATTCCTCGCCAACAACTTATCCGCCACAATAGCCACATCCTCCCTCGTAATCGTCCCCTTTCCCGCTGTCTTCCCCAACTGCACCTTCCGTGTCGCAGGCGAATCCGCCAACGTACCCGGCCGCAGATTAATCGCCTGGAATGGCTTCCGCTGCTGCTTCGCCGCGAGGGCGGTCATGTACTCGTCCGCCTCGAGCTTGGCTTTCGCGTAGGCGGGGAGGACGTTGTTGGAGACGTGTTGGAGGTGCGCCCATTCGTCGTCGGAGAGCCAGGAGGGCTGCTTGCGGCGGCTACCGATGTGCGAGACGAGGAGGAATTTGGTGATTTTGTTGTTGGCGAAGGACGCGGAGATGAAGTTCTTGGCGGCTACCTCGTCGATGGCTTGGGTGCGTGCTGGGCCGCCTTTTCCGCCGGCGCCTGCAATCATTCAGCACTTGTGTACAAATGTAGCGTTGAGTGAGGGTGGGGACATACCAGCAGACCAAACAACGTAATCCGGCTGGACACGGTCGATGATACCCTTCGCATCTGCTTCGGTCTTCACATCGTCGAGACTGGAGAGAAGGATGTCGAGGGAGCCCTTCTTGCCCTGTCCCAGAGCGCGGATTTCAGACTCGTGGTCGGGGTTGCGGATGACGCTGGTGACATTCCAGGCGCGGGAGAGCAAGAGGGGAGTCAGATGGAGGGCGATCTTGCCGTGGCCACCGAGGAGAAGAACGTGCATTTTGATGTTTGTACGGAGTATAATATACTAGTAGTATAGATGGTTATAGTAAATTGTTGTTGTAGAGATTCATGAGGGGTCTTTGTATATTCAGCTGAGGGGTTGCTGAATAATTATCTAATGTATGGCGTCACGTCATTTGCACAGTGCATTGTTGTGCATTGTGCATTATGCGGTTGTCGACAGACAAAGACATGACTGCGAGCGCTCCCTTTGCTTTGTCTCATTGATAGATCACCAAGTAAGGCATGGCACATCGATGCGGATCAATAGGGCAGCCCCTAATCAGGTGGTCACGTGCCACGTGTCTTCACCGAGTAAACACACTTAATAATATATTGCCCAGGGATACGAGGACGGAGTGCGGAGTATTACTCCTGAGATTACTTTATTATTATTGTTTATTGGGGTCCTTAATATCAGTAAGGATAGTGCTAACTAGTTGTCGGTGACAGCCTTACTCCAATTATGGTCCTGTTCTGGACTTCAGCCTGGTGAAACGATTCAGAGGTGAAACAGTCGAAATTGATGAATAGAAGACTCAAAAGTTTGTTCGTCTCATGTTTGTCCTGGCGCTTATATCTCCTATCTTGGCCTGTATTACATTTCTGTATGAGAGTATAGTGTCACATACTCGATATATTCTCTCTCTGTACTTCGTACCTGCATACAGTAAGCTACTCGAGGATTGAATACGGTCTGTGCTGACCCTATCCCATGGTACGGAACCGGTTCCTGAGATTACTAACTGCCTGGGTGGAGATACTAGATTCTGATTGGTAGTAATGATGGGGTCTGCAAGGGGTGCCGTTACTAGCTGTATTATAAAAACAATACATACAAACATACGGTACAGAGTACAAACAGACAAGTACTTCCACAATGCCTCTTTGTCCAGATAAATACCTACTCGGTACCTATTCAGGTACCTATAACAATGTCTTCAAGGTAGAACCTATATAGCCTATTAAACAAGATATAATTGACCAGTTCTGTACGGAGTAATGTAATCTAAAAGATTAAATCAAACGAACCAAAAACCAGCGTCGATCCGCCCCGAAGAACCAAAACCGAAAAAAAGTGATCGAATCCAGATCCTTTTCCGCAATTTCCTTCATTTCTTCTTTTCTTCTTCACTGCTCGAATCCCAGTTTTTTCGTCTATTCATCTCTCTGTCACTCGTTACCCCCGTGTTTGTCACTGATCACAAACAGACGCGCGCGACCAGTCACTTTAGACATGCAGCCATAAACTCCTCTTTCCGCGCTGTGCGTCCCCCTGACAACTGCATTGCCCATGGCCTCTTCACAGTACTGACTCGATGTTTTCTCCAGACTTTTCAATAACCACATTCGTTTTGTCCGCCAAACAGTCCATCATGAACCGCCTCCGCAGACATAAAAAGGAAAAGGCCGCCAAGGAAGAGCTGGCCCAGTCCGAAAAGGCGGCCTCTTCCACCACCACCATCATCTCCTCCATCACACCCACTAAAAAAGAAAAGGAACCCGCCAGCAAGAAAGATGACGACCGGCAAACGACTTCTCCCAAGGTCTCTGATTTCGACCTTGCCAATGCCCTCCCGGCCCCCGATGATTTCCGTACCAGTCTGCTCATGCCCAAGCTGTCCGCGCGCTTCAGTATGCTCAAGGAACAGGATGATCCCGAGTCTTTGCTGGGGAAAGCTAGCGATGATAGTGTTCTGTTCTCGAAGCGCGCGTCCAGATTGAATATGTTTAGTCACCCCAACCAGCTGGCAGATATTGATGAGATGTCCATCAACAGTCGTCCCTCCGCCTTCGGGCAGGCGGAGTCTAACGATGGCTACGGAACTGATGACGATCGTTCTCAGGCAGGGGGGAGCATGATGAGCAGGGCTCGTCGTGCTGAAGTAGGAAATAACCTGTTTGGTGGTCGTCAAAAGGTCTACAAGGTTCCCGCCAGATCTAGAGGCGCGTCTCCTAATCCTGGACCTGAGGCCGGTCGCTCGGGCCTGGGACGCGCTGTCTATGAACACGACGTGACCCTGTCCGCCTTTCAGCGTCTCAGACTGAAGGAAAAGGAAGAGCGCGCCGCTGCTGAAGATAGTGCCTTGAATTCGCCTACCTTCTCCAACGAAGATGCCTTGTCCAGTATCGGGTCTACCAATCGCACCACCTATTCTTCTACAGCTTCCGGTCCACCCCCTACCTTTGGTCGTGCTTCCACCGCAGCAACCTCAGTCGACGGGGAGCCCATTACACCGCAATCCATCGAGGGCTCGGCAGGCAAGCAATTCCCATTCCCTGAACGCGGTGCACCCAAACCCACTCGTCGTTACGGCCAGGGCCTGGTTCAGTCGGTCCAGAACCAGCAGAATCTCACTCTGAATCGGCTCGAGAGTCTCAGCCGTCAGCGCCCGGGAACTCCTGAATTCCCTCAGATGAACCGGGCCTTTTCCCGGAGCGCAACCAGCCTGCGCGATCGTCTGCAGAGACTCCCTCTCGTTGACGCTGCTCGCCCGTCCTCCCGTCCGACGAGCCCTCCTTTGTCGGCTGCATCGCCCAGACCTCAATTGGCTGAGAGCGAATCCAAAGATCCCGTTCCGTCTGGCTACGGCACTCCCTCTGGATACAATGCCCCGCCCCTAAGCCCACCTATCAGCGAAGTTGAGGAAAAACCCGTGCCCTTGGCGGCTGCTCTGCAGCCGGAAGACCATGGAAAAGCCACTGCTTTAGGTCTTTTCAACAAGCCCCGAGCGCCATTTGACGAGCAACAGTTCACCCGACGCCAGCTGCAGATGCATCAGGGCCGAAGCACCCCACCATTACGACAACCCCCATCACCTCCACGCAACGCTCCTCCTCCTGCTCCCACCACCCTCCCACAAGAACGCGTTGGACGCTCCCGCGGTATCTCCAACGCTAGCAGCTACCGCTCGCGGCCAGGATCCGCCTCGTCTCACTACAGCGAGGCCTCCAAAGGCATGAACCGCACTACGTTCTTCAGCAATTCTAGCCCCAGTGACTCCGGTGACGAGGATGATGAGGAGGATGAGGAGGACATCCATCCCGCGTTCCGCTCCCGTTCCCGCTCCCGCACCCCCTCGAAGCCGTCGACCCCACCTGGAGAGCCCCAGGAGCGCCATCCTCTGCCCGAAGTACGATTTTCGGACTTGGGAGACCTTAAGCCCATTGCAGAAAACGAAATTGCAGAGAGCGTCGATTCGCAAAACAACGCCCAGGCACCGCAGGAGCCTGACTCGCCTACTTTGGGGCCATCTGGTCTGGGACTCAGTGGATTGGTTCGTACACACTTGCGACAGGAGAGCGACAAGTCTATCCAACTACCATCGCTGGGACTTCCACCCAAGCTTACCGACAATAGAGACGTTCCCGAGACCAAGCAAGACACTGCTGATGCCACCCCCACGCCTCCTCCCGCCGATGAACCGTCATCCCAGAGTACAATTTCCGCAGAATCCACGACTCCCGAGGAACTGCCGGAAGAGAGCCAGGGGAGGATTCCGAATGACTCTTCGCTCGACGACGAATCAGGGGACAGCAGCAACAGCAGCCACCGGCGTAACGCCAGCACTGAAACGCAGCGCGAACGCGAGGAATTCGCCAATGAGCTGGCTGAGCGACGGAGAAAGGTGCAAGAGAAACTGCAGAACTTCACAGACATTGAGAGTCGGTCGAATAGTCGAGCGCCTAGTCGAGCGGCCAGTCGATCGGCGAGTCGATCAGGTAGTCCGGCTCGCTGTGGAACACCTGATTCTTCTTCCCAGGTCAAGCCTGGTAATGCCTTTGCGCTGCTGAAGAGCCGCGCCGGCAAACACCATCTGTTCCAGAAGTCGGGTAACTCTTCCACGCAATCCTTGGTTAACTTGGATCAGAACGATCCATGGCGCGAGGAGGACGAGAAGGTTCCTTTTCCCAGCTTGAGCACTCAGCAATTGAATTCGAGTACCCCACAAATCCCTGGTGACCGACCGTCAGTGCGGTCGCGAGTCGCTGCTTTCACCCGTGGTAATCAGGACGCTTCTCGCGAGTCGAGCCATAGCCGTAATGCATCGCCCCATTCGTTCACAGGTTTCCGGGCTCGACGCGATCGCTCCCGCTCAGATGCATCCTGCCGATCCAAGAGTCGGTTGCGAAACGACGATCTTGGAACTGTGGACGAACGATCGGTCGCTTCGCACGAAATCCATCTCCCAGATTCCACGTACGACCCGCGCGCCAACACCTCGGTTCCCTCATCCACTCGTCCCTCCGTAGAGGGCGATGAACGTTCCTCATCGCGCAGCTCTGGCCGCTACCGTAGCGGTAGTCGCTCAGGGACCCCAAGCTACTTCGACCTGCCACCGCCACCACAGCACCACCCGCCCTCCGTGTCTGGCCCTAACCCAGCGATGATTGGAAATGCTCCCCGGCCTTCTCCAATTGCGCCGTATTCTGCCAACGCCACGCCGCCTCTTGACCTCACGCCTTCTCCCTCATCCCCACCAGCGCCAACCTTTGCTGCCGCCGCAGGCCACGTCGTGCCCCAGCGTGCCCCCGGCCACACAGGCCTGCCAAAGCGCCCAATCAACAAGCTGCAAATCTCAGAACCCACCCTGCTCTCGTCCACATCCAACGTCCCCACGGTCGGCCTGCCCCCAAGCGCAAGCCTAACCAACGGCATGGAAACGCCTCCAGTACCACCCATGAACCCCCGCCGTCGACGACAAACAACCACGCAAACAATCCTAGGCGCATTGAAGGGCGAGAAGCAGGACACCCAATCATCCTCGCCTAGCGAATACGCAACCAGCGGGCGAGGAACGCCCGCCGACGAGCGCAGCATGTTCGAGGACGAGCGGCCACTTTCGCGGAACCGCTTGCGCAAGACTTCGAGTGAGGGTGGTTCGTTGAGTATCAAGGCGAGACAGGAGATTATAAGTGGTACTGCGCCGCCGCCTATGCCGTATCCGCCGCCGTCGTATCCTCCGCCTAAGGTTCCTTTTGACGGGAGGATGTTCTAAATCTTTGATTTCTATTGTTTTTTATTCGTTATATACCATTCTGCCTTATTATGTTTTAGTGATGATTGATACCTTTCTTTTCCTTTTTTATTTCTCTTTTATATCTGATGATGTTCAGTTATATACCAGTGCATTTGTTGAGCGGGTGGAATGGTGTCTTTCCTTTTTCCTTTACTCTCTTCTTGGATATGTGTATTTACATGATAATGGAATTTAGTCTCAATACTGTCCAGGATTATGGATTGATTATCATAAAACAAAGTAAATACCTCCTTCGTTATATACACGATGTCAACTCATCCTCATGTCAACATAGTATAGCGTAGACAGCGTAGCACAGCATCGCATTGCCATACCCATTCACATACTCGTTCCCGTTAAGGAAATCTTAAGGAATTTCAGATTCGCAGGGAGTCGGGTCGTCGACGACACAGCGCTTGGTGAAGGCGCCCTTGATCTTGTCACCGGCATCCTCGAAGCCATTCTTAATGTCGGAACCGATGTCGGCTTCGGGTTCACGCTTGGTGAAAGCACCCTTGATCTTGTCACCGGCATCCTCGAAGCCATTCTTAATGTCGGAACCGATGCCGGCTTCGGGTTCACGCTTGGTGAAGGCGCCCTTGATCTTGTCACCGGCATCCTCGAAACCATTCTTAATGTCGGAACCGATGCCGGCTTCGGGTTCACGCTTGGTGAAAGCGCCCTTGATCTTGTCACCGGCATCCTTGAAGCCACTCTCGATATCCGACCCAATACCAGCTTCACGCTTGACGTTACCGGAGCCACACGAGGTCGGGTCGTCGGGAACACATCGCTCGACAACACCCTTGATCTTGTCCCCGGCTTCCTGGAAACCGCTGGAGATGTCCGATCCGAGGTCGGGAGCGGCGGCAGCGACGGGGGCAGCAGCGACGGACTGCGCGCCCAGAAGGATGGCGGCCGTGGTGGCGTAGATGGAGCGGAGGAGGACCATTTTCGTTTCTTGTCTTTTTTTTTTCTTCAGCCTTGTTTGGTTTTGTTATGGCCTAGTAAGGTATAAAACAAAAGAGAAGTGATGTGTATGAGAAAAAAAAGTTGCGTTGTCAGAGGCACAAACGGTATATATACAACCTACGCGCGTCCATCCATTAACGGCAGGCCGGACCAACCGACAAGAGGGGGGTCCAGGGTCCAGGCCTCCACAAAAAACGGCTCTGTCTCCAATGTAAGTGGCAAGGGGACCCCGATTATCACTTAACGAAGATGTCATGGTGTCCACTGATGTGCGGTGTCGGGGTCGGGGAAGATACTGTACTGAGTAAGTCGGCGTTGCCCAGTAGGGTTAGATATTGATAAGGGCGGTTGGATCCTAGATTAGATGGACGGGACGGCGGAGTTGAGGTCCGGAAATGGAATATGCTGTAAGATATTAGAGATGGGAAGGGGAGGTGAGTACTGTATATGAATTGCGTGGGATGGTAGAGTAGAGGTTTAGATTGATGTAGTCGTGAGTCGTGGTTTTGTGTATGATTAGTCAACAGTATGCATAACTAAGTGCATTGAAGGTTATGCTTAAGGTTACTTCACTGTTTCTATTTCCACAATGATTCAGCTCTACATGTCTCCTGCTGTAAGCGTTGCCGCTGAGCCAGTCATCTTGCTAATTAATCTCCGTTGCAGTCCTCTACTATGAGCGCTCCATAGGATACGCCACCCGAAATAGGTGGCTGTAGTTCGCTACTCCTACTTACCGAAACACCAAGCCGTTGAAGCACATGTGTTGGAATAATTGATCTTATGTCGATCTTACGGCGCTAAAAGAAATTGACAAGCTACCCCAATGAAATCTCTTGTGGAAGCCAGAGTTGAGGAGCTAGAACTTCTTATCGATAGCCCACTCATTAAGGACCATGTCGTCAAGGCCACTAGCATACCTTTGGCTACCAGTCGGAGTGCCTATAATGCTTTTGTTTAGGCTGTTTGCAAAGGTTACGAGGTTGCAATCGGCCTGTTCCTCGAGAAGCAAGCCCTATTCAGGACTCGGCTCTTGGCCCCGGCCCCATCTACTCTGTGTAGCTGCCATTTGGGATAATCTCCTTCCAACTCCAGCCAACCCCCCTCCATGGGTCTCATTTATCCAAATAAATGTGGCCTAGTAAAGTCTTCGTACACCCCTTATCGTCGTGGTTGATAGTCAATTCGCATCGCAAGCGGATACCGAGAGACCGACACCGGGAACCAGCAGCCAACCAACAAGGTCACAACACTGTGCATGAGATACTTGGAGGAAATGGAGAGAAGAAGGGAGGATTAAGGAAAAGACTGTATAGTCGGACGGGATTGGGGTCCTCACCTACTACGTAGGCATTACGTCTCTCTTCCCTCATTAGAGATCACTTATATTCCTTATATTCGCTATTAGAAAATCTACAAGTACTCTCAAGTTACTTGCTTTTTATCACTCCCAACTATCGAAATACCTAGTAAGCCATGGCAGAAAAAGAGTAAGTGTCATCTGAGACAGGAGTCACTGATCATCCTTGCTAAGCACCCTTTAAAGAGGCAACTCCGTCTACCGCCAAGCTGTCGAGTCAGACAGGCGTTCCGGCTCAATTGATGCTGACGCCGCTACTCCCTTACCTCCCGAGTAAGTGTCATCCGAAGCAAGCAGAAATCATGCCATTGGGTCATCGCTGCTGAGTGCACTGTAGGAGCAATTCCAATTATCGCCAAGCCATCGATGCGCACAGACGTGCTGGCTCGATTGATGCCGATACCCCGAAATCTTCTCAGAGTCGAGGACCCTCTCGCCAATAGCCGGAAATAGTGGAAGGGAAGCTTGCTGTCAATGCCGCTGTCTTGGGGTCTGTCGGGATGGTGTCGGCATTCGAAAATATGACCTCTGAACTTGGACATCGTCAAGTATGCTGCAATCGACCATAAGATAGCAACTTGTTAGCAGTCTAGCTTCGAATTCCATTGCGAAATATGAATCTGTCTAATAAACTCCAAAAAGTAAATATCATGACAGGACCAATGAATTTATATGGTACGGCAGGATTGGAGAATGACGAGATCAATCTCTTCAAATGAATTCAGGTATCATCGATCAAGAAGCATAGAGCGTTAAATGATGTTGTAGGACATCCGTAGTTGTTCCATCACTTCTCTACTTCAACTTGACAACGATGGTAAAAGGAGAACCCGCACCTCCTCCCCTACCTTCCGAGTAAGTCATCCGAAGCAAAGCCAAAGTTAACTAGCTAACAACCTCCAGCCCCAGCACCCCAGAATTCCGCCAAGCTATCGAAGCACATATACGAGCCGGTACGATCGACACCAATAACATACTCAAAGAACTCGACAAATTCCCACCCCCACAATATCTATCCCCTGGAACGCATGATCGAGGAGCTCAAGTTCCTTCTAAAAGGTCAATTGATCCACGAACGGGGAGGGGAGCATATCGCTAATGCCACTGCTGTACTGAAGGGGTACCAGTCAGGGAGCTTGGAGTGGGCTCTGGGCCATTACTATATATTCAAGGAGGGCAGGAAACTAGCAGGTCCTAGGCCTATGCCGGAGTTTGATGCGAGGAAGGTTTTTTTTTTTTTTGAGGTATTTGCTGGTCCTAGGGGGGGGGGGGGGTTGGATTGAGAAGGTGAGCGCTTTAGGCCAGACATATGGTTTAACGGAGATCTAACATGGTTTATCAAGATGCGGTCAACTTCTCGAACATTATAATCAACGGGCTTTAGTGTACCTACGAGTACTGCACATGCTAACACTTAAGAGGCGAACGCGCTCATCCGTGTCATGGCCGATGGAAGAAATCACCTTGATGATAATCCCTGGTTGTACGATGACTTCGCTTACTCAACGTTTTTGTGACCATCTACCACAATCTTGACTGATTTCTCGACGTACATCTTAAATCATTTTCAATACCTAATGGCTTTGGGAGGTGCAATTGCGTACATAGATAGAGTGGACAAGCTGACACTCACTGTTCAACCCTTTGATCGATTGCTGTGCTTGCAGCGGAAAAAAAAAAAAAAAAAAAAAAAAAAAACCTGGTTCCAGATGGTGTACAACCAAGGATCAGACTCAAAAGAATACAATACAAGAGACAGCTATGGTAATAATATCAATATTTTTGTCTCAGTGAGTTCATTATTCAGTGTACAGCCCTAACACTTCCTTTCTCCCTCCTGTACAAAGAGATCCAGGGAAATGGTGTTATATAGTAAGACTTTATTCACAGATCAATACATTAAAAGAAAATAATAACAATTATTCACAATTTATATAAAAAGTATCACCATATAAAATTCACAGTAGTACCTTACTGAAGTAAAACTACTACCACAATGAATGTTCTCATTCAGCGATCTGTTTTCTCCTTTCAAAAAATTTCTTCCCTCAGAATCCTTCCCTGTCAGCAACCTCTCTTCTCTCTTCCTCTTTCTCTTTCTACTCCGCTTCTTTCCCCCATCTACACCAACTATGCTCAGACGCCATTCAGTCTGCCTCTCCGACATCCCCTCCTTCGCAGATTCTCTCGAACAGGATCCCCTGGGCGAATCTTATCCCCAGACCTCCAAATACGAAAACCCAGACGAAGATACCACCATCTGGACTATACGCAGATCCCCCACTCCGACGATGACGGTAACGACAGCATCAGCATCAGCAACGCCCGCGAAGCCATTTACGAACACGAACACGACCGCTGCGGAGGACAACGAGCACGAGAAGCAGCCTCAAGACACTCCCCAAACCACGTCAGCGAAAAAGAAGAAGAAAAACAAGAAGAAGAAGCCCAAAAGTCGGACTAAGGCAAAGGATAAGCTGGACCAGGACCAGGAGCAGACTGAAGAAGGCAGCACTGTTGAGACTGAGACTGAGAGTCTGCCTCGGCTGGTTCAGCCGATGTCGTTGGGTTCTCCTACGCCATTTATCGTCAACAGTGCGAGTTGGCATAAAGTGGATGAGGTTTGTTTACTTCTTTCACCCTGCAAACTTAGTTGGTGCTTTCTGACCCCTTCAGGCCAAGAATAACGAAGATGGCCTCCAAAAATTCCTCAGCTCCCAGCGTCTCTACACAGGGGACTGTGACAGTCCATCAATAACCGAGTTGACTCCCTCCACGACGACAGATGCTACCGTTCGCGCTGCTAGCATCCATGGCGACAAACCAGCCCAGCAGGAACAACCACAGGAACAGCCGCAACAGCAGCCTTCCAACGTGCCAGAGCAACTTCCTGTTCCTACTGTCTGTCCTGAGCACACACGGATGCTGTGCCAGTTTGTTCCTGGATGCTGCGTGCACAAACCTCGACACTGCCAGTATTGCCCTTTTCCGATGTCGTGTTGCTGTGCCCATCATTCTGGCGATTGTTGCTACTGTGCTTTTTCTCGGGAGCAGGCTTATGAAGGTGGCAGTGGAAATAAGGAAAACGTCAACCCAGAAATGTTTGCTCCAGCTGACCCTAAGCCTGAGACGGCTAGCCAGAAACCTATTATTGTCCTGGAACCAAGCACCAGTGCCAGCGACGGCAGCCTGAGAACGCACACCCTAGCCCTCCTCGAAGCCGGATCCTTCACCGACAGCCGCATCATTCTCGAATCCCCGAGAAACAGCTTCTGCCTCACTTTCCCCGCCCACAAAGCCCTGCTCGCGCGCAGCCCCCGCCTGGCCGCAATTTTCAGCTGCCTCGACCACCAGTCGTCTTCCAACGACAGTAAAAACACAGGCGAGGTCGACATCGAAGCCCTTGTTGGCGAGACCTTTTACATGGTGAAGGCATTCGAAACCGCGCTACAGAATCTCTACGGCCTGCCATTGCTCAACAGGCAGAACCTGCCGCGGTTCACCATGATGGCGATGGGATATACCGACGAAGATGTGCACAGAACGGTGAAGTTTGGAATGAGCGCTGCAACCGCTGATTTTGCAATCTGCTACGCCGTTTCCGGTGCGTTTCTGGGCCTCCCCGAGATCATGGAAACAGGCATGAAGTTGGCGATGGAGTTCGTGGATTGGGATAATATCGAGATGGTGCTTTACTTCGCGCTGTCCGTTTCCAAGTTCATTATTACTTGTCCTGGACATCCGATATCGTTGTCATTTTCAGCGGAACAGGAACTCGTGAATACTTGGATTCCTCGTCTAAGGACGTACCTCTTCACTTTCATAGCCACTTACCTACAGCACCTCCAGCAGAAACAGGAGCCGTTCGAACTTTACGTCTCCGCGCAATCTAAAGGCATGCCCGACCGCATCCCCGAACACCTCCGCAAAGTGCCCGGGAGTATCCTCTCAAACCCCAAGCTAGCAGAGGTCAAGTTCGGATCTTTCGGTTCTGTCGAGGAACAACAGAAACCCAACCCTGAGGTAGTCCTCGTATCCGCCATCTTGATCGGATTACCGTACAAACTCTTGCAAGAGGCGTTTAATATTATGGTGGAGAGAAAAGTGTTGAATGAGAGCCAGGCGAGCACGATTGTTATCGAGAGGGAGGCGAGGAGATTGTACGCGTTGAAGGTCTGGGGAGCGCAGCGGATGGATCATGGTGGCGGTGGTGTTGGAGGTGATGAGGAGGTGAAGGAGTTGGGATATCGCGAGATTGTTACAAGGAAGAATGGTAAGGTTCTGCTGGAGCGGGTGTGGGTTGGTTTGAAATAGATTGTCCTGTCATGTGCCATGTTTTTTATGTATGTGTATTAGATCATCTCTTCTTTTTCTTCTTTTCGGTGTTATCTAAACATTAGATCAAGTTCATCATATCAATGATATAAAATGTAATGCAGCTACACAACAACACCCCCCGACTTCCTCTGCCTCGGCTCCCCCGCCGCCTCAAACCCCCCATCCCCCAACACCCTAATAACCTGCGCCGTACTCTTCCCCAACTCCATCCACGTCACATTATGTCCCCTCCTTTGCATATCTGCCACCGTCGCATTATCAAACGTCCACTCAAACGCTACCTGATTCGGAATAAGCTGGTCATGCAATCTTGGCTGCGCTAGTGCCTCCGCCGCCGAAAGACCCTGATCGACCACGTGGATTATGTTCTGTACTGTGGCTGTGATAATCCGGCTTCCACCTGCGGAGCCTGCGATAAAGAAGAGGGTTCCGTTGCTTGGGTGGGTTATTATTGTGGGAGTTGTGGAGGAGAGGGGGCGTTTGTGTGGGCGGATGTAGTTTGCTTCCGAGGGGATATAGCCGAAGCTGGAGGAGGAGCCGGGGATGGAGAAGTCTGCTCTTTTGTCAGCGGGTTGTTGGATGGGAGAGGAGAGGAAGGGGAAGGGGGGCGTACCGTTCATTTCATTATTCATGACGATGCCGGTTTCGGGGACCATGACTTTTGATCCGAAGAGGGTGTTTACTGTTGTTGTTGTGGAGATTGCAAGGCCGGTGTGGTCGGCTACGGAGATGTGTGAGGTTCCGGGGCTAGGCTTGTCAGATAATGTATTTCCAGTGAGCCAGTTGGAGTGTGGTGACATACGTTTCGATACTCTCGAGTCCTTCGGGGTCATACACGGATACATTTTGTGTCTGATAGTCCAGTATCTTGTTCCGGATTTCGTTGATGGTCGATTGTTTCAAGATGTCTGCTTGGTACTCTGACATTCCATCGACGAAGAATGGATCGCCAAGTAGTGTTCTCTGCGCAAAGTCAGTGATCAACTCACAAACACGGACCAATGGGTCAACAAACCTCTCCATATCCAAACCGAATAGCCTCATCCAACCGGTGCGTACTAAGATTAACACTATCCGGCGCAAAAAAGTCCCCATAACCCTCCAAGATCTTCAAAATACTCAACCCAATAGCACCACTAGTCGGAGCCGTCGTACTAGTCACCGTAAAATTTCGGTAGTCGATCTGCGCCGTGTCGCGGGTGACAGCGGTATAGTCCTGCAGATCATCCAGGGTCATCGTGCCGTTTGCCAATTGCACGGCTCTGATGGTCGCCTCGGCTATGGGTCCGCTGTAAAAGACGTCTGGGCCTTGTTTGGCGATCACTTCGAGGGTGTCTGCGTAGCGTTTGCGCGTCATTGTCTCGCCAAGGACGAGGCGGGTCCCGTGCGGGCAGAAGTCGATTGCCCAGCTGGGGTCGGTGCAGAGAAAATCGTTATTTCCGTCTTCTGCGATGGCGGTGTCTATATAATGGAGGAGGTCCTCGTTGACGGTGAAGCCTTCACGTGCGGTTTGGATCGCGGGTTGGAGGACGGTTGACCATGGGAGAGAGCCGTATTTCTTGTGCAGATATTCGAGGCCTCGCAAGTCACCGGGGACGCCGCTTGCTAGACCCCCTTTCGTGGATGCATCTGTGTTGTTCTCGAACATGTCCTGGAAAGCTGCAGCAGGAGCCGTCTCACGATAGTCAATGGACTCGAATGAACCGTCTGGAGCCCTGACAAGCATAAAGCCGCCTCCACCAATGCCGCTGTGGTACATAGCTACTGTTCCGACGCAAACCGATGTTGCAACCAACTACATAGTCAATTAGTGCCTCGATTCGGACCAACGGACCGGAACGAGATACTCACAGCATCAGCAGCATTCCCGTCCTTCTCTAGCATATCGGTACCATAACGACTACACAGTGCGCTTTCGCTTGCGACTGCTCCCAACTTACCGGCTTCGATTTCACCGGATGCTTCTCCAGAATGCTGCCGGTCGCGTGTAAAGACAGGCGAAGTGTACACGGTTGGCAAGTACACAATAAGCAATACCAGCGATAGAATCGCCGCAGTAGCAACTCTGAAGATTGCCATCTTCGATACGCTTCTTTGTCTGCCGTCGACCTGGGGTTGAAGCTGACCCGAATACAGCGGGAGCTACGCGAATTATATAGGTAAATACCATAACCAAGAAAACCTGAAATGTTCGGAATTTATTGATTACCTTCTGTTTCTCTAGTGAGCCCATTGTCCCTGAATCCCGAACGTGATGATGGTCTTCTGGTTGATATGGACCTTTCCCCACAAATTTCCGGTCGTAACCTGTTGTGGTTCGATGACCGCTGTTTAGCTATGTCTGGTTGTTGATCATAAAGTCAAAATAACCAGAGCTTAATCATTCGACAGGCTAAGATGAAAAAGAAAAAAAGTCGCAGGATGAAAAACCCAGAGCTCATCTCTGGATATACCGGAAGGTCAGGTCTCCGGGACAAAGAGCAAGATAAGACGGTGACAGCGCAATGATAAGCACACCATGTGCTAGAAATTCGCAACCAACTGGAAAGCCGCCCGCATCATGTTCAAACATCCTCGAGCTCACAGTGGTTGAAGAGAGTCCTAGCGTATGATCCCGTGCCTTCGCGCAGGTATGAGCTTATCTGCGGATGCCCAACTATTTTGTTCGGCCTCAACCGGTCCCAACAATCACGTGTCTGTGGGTCATGGTTTGTCAGACCTGAACCTGCCCGGTTTTCAGCAGGCAGATTGATAATAGCATTTATCGGTTCGTCAGTACCGATGGTCTGGCTCGGTTCACGGCACAGCAGCATTTAGCCCGACTGCCATTCTCGCCCACATCACGACGTTCACCCATTCAGGTGGAATCTCGCTTTCCATAGATTCCAGAATCGAAACCACCAGGCGTCGCCCCCAATCGCCAACATACCACCGGTCTGAGAGGAGCTGCAGACCGACGCCGTAGTGTAGAAATAGGATACGAGCCATCCAATCGTCCTCCTGCAACAAGGTGAGAAAGGAATCGCTGACATGGATCGGTAATGCGATAAAACCACCCCGAGCACCGTACATTGGCCAACTGTGAGCGGAATCACTCAACAAGTCCCATGTATTCTTGTAGGGACTTCTCCGGGAATCGCTGCAACTCTCGATGAGCGGATATAATCGTTGAAGTGAATCACTAAGGGCACTTGAAATGTGTCAGCTCAGTACATTGTACAAAATTAGTCAGGAAACAAACCTGTGTATTCGGTGCATGTTTTGATCTTTTATTCTACTCTAAATATTAGCATTCACGCTACAAATCAGTCCACCAGAGGATAAAAGAACTCACTTTTCTCTTGGAGAATCATCCTTTCGGACTGAACCCTGAACATTGAACCACTGCATCATTTCAGGTGAGGGGCTATTTCGCAGTCTCTCCATCAGAAGTGAGCATCCGGTTAGTAACCGCCGCATCTCCAGCACCTGAGAAAGCGCGTTGAAGGCAATGTTGTCCCGCGAGACACTGGGATAGGCGGTTGCAGTTAACATGATAAACACCGAGCTAAGAAAGGCCGGTCCAAAATGGTCAGGCGTCACGTCAACTGTCAAAAGTCGACTAAGCGAAGTGCAAGCACTGGTCTGATACTTCAATCCAAGCTCCAACCAGTAATGAGTCTCGTTGGTTTCGGAGAAAGCAAGATGCATAGCCGACAGGGCCAGCATAGCATCCAGCAAAAACGCATGATTGGCCGCAAATTTCGGAATAACCACTTGATAGTGATAATGGGTGAGTCTACCCTCCGGCATCGAGCGGTACGTCTCGACCATATAATGGTGGAATAGGCGCATCTCCAAGCATCGTAAGTGGTCCGAAGCAAAGGACGACGGCGACTCACTCGTGCCAAAATGTGCATCGCTGCCATCTTTGGGAGTGGAGGATTCCTGGCTGTGAGTGTCATTTCCGGAGCCAGACGGCCAGGTACATTCTTGCTTGCGTTTCAGGCACAAGCCACAAGTGGGCATCACCTCATCGCACTGTCTGAGCGTTAGTCGATTGCATTCACGAAATACGCGGATCCATTAATATGCAGCAGAGACATGTGAATCTGTGAACGGGCCCGTCTGTCATTCCTCGGTGTGGGTATTTCTGGGGTGTACACGGGATGGGATACGCCGTATTCGGTACGCCCGAAACCGCGCCCGCGGAGTTGTCCCCTATATAAAGGGCCACGACCATCCTCATTCCTGTGCAATCCTGCAAAAAAGACGAAACTATGCAATATAACCGACCTTCACATGACCATTCTTGCACTGCACACAGCCCTTCCGGGACTTGGTGTGGCTACGGCGCACTTTGCGCATCTCTTCCGCGAATCCCACGGGGACGGAAGCTCTTCTGCCCAGCAAAAACAGAGGGTCCTGACACACAGTGGGACAGAACTCGATGCGATAAATCCGACCGGAAAAGAGGCAGAGAATGGGATGAGCTGAGAACACGACAGGAATCACGAAAGAAAGCAGCAGCTGAAAGATACTCCGTACTGAGGACTCCCATGTCCTGCAAATGTCTTGCTGCCATGGCATTGGTCCGACTCTGCCGGGCGGTGAGTAGCTGGGACCGATCCCGGTGTATGCGCTTAGTAAGCGGGACTATTGGCTGCAATTGCATAGTAGGGGCAATGGGCATCGCCTATTTGGTGTAGTACGGTGAGAGCAGAAGTACGGGCCTAATGGCTGTCAAGCTAGGTTAATTTATATTAATATATAAGTACGGAGTACGGAGTACGCACAGCTGCACGTCTAGCTATTGGTCTATGTTGAGCTGCATCTAGCGCGGATTGTTCCGCGCTCTTTGCTCCAAGAGCTCTTCCACGTATTCTTGCTTCACGGTAGGACTCAGCCTAGTAGCAGGCTGGTATGTCTGAGAAAAATCAAATCCAGATGATAGAGGTGAAGATTCTGGTCTCAATTCCGCTAAGGCATTGTCAGGAATTACCACGAGAAGGAGCACAACAAGACTCGGAGTCACTTACATTGAGATACCAGGTAAAAAACTGGATCCTGGTCTGGTTTAGCTTGTAGCTGTGAGTTCAGCGCACCCCGCCATTGACTCGGGGTGCGCATGGGGATTGTAAACGGCCGGCCGATCATCGAAGGCAAGATGATGGTAGCTGACGGCCGATATTCCAACCGGTGGATAGTATAGTCGTAGCTACAATGGGCCTGCACAATCAACATCCAGTGATCAAAGTCCAGGTCCGAGAGTTGAAGATTGTTCTTATCACAGTCTTTCTTGACGAGTTCGATGACAGGACAGAGGCCGTGACTTTCATTGTCGACCTCATTTACCACCCAGATGTTGCGAACTGATAGATCATAGCTCGGTTTCTGATATTGAGGGAAAGACGGTAAAGGTCCAGAGAGAGGAGTCGGTGGTGCCAGTGGTTCTGATGGTCTTATGCGCTTGTTCGGGGGTCCAACCGCAGAACTTCTGTCCACGACGACTGCCGGGCTGCTATAGTTAGCCCTGCTCTGGCTTCTGCTATGGTCACTTCTAATGCCATGGATCCGCTCATGGCCTCTGCTTTCTGAGGGCCTGTCACAATTTCCGGTGCCATTGACTTCGGGCCTTGGTTGCTCGTTGGACCTGTGTATCCCCGGGTCATTCCCAGTGCTGCTATCGTCGTCGCTTGAATCCTCCTCTCCACTTTCCTCACTGCTACTTTCGTCGTCATCGCCATTGTCATTATCGTCATTATTCCTAACCTCGGGCTGCTTATTCGTGATCATCGAAGCCATCTTCTCGCGCCCATACTGCTTATGCGCATTGTTGACCTTGTACGCCAGACCCATCAACCCCTCCATGCGAACGTCATTCGTGCGCGCATCTCGGACGAGCGCTGGAAGTTTGTCGAGATTTGACAGCAATAGCTCTTTTAATTCATTCTTCGCTGCTTTGGTCTTGAACGACTTGTGGATTGCGTCGTAGGATTTCATCAACTGCACGATGCCCCGTCTCACGGTTGCGATTTCATCTTCGGATCCGCCAAGGTAGTTTGCGAGGGCCGCTTGGTTCCAGTGTCGGGGTTTTGCTGCGAGCATGGCCTATGTTGGATGGAGGGATAGAGGGAGGGGGGAGGTCGTAGTGGATGGTTGGTGCTACTGTTACTCGAGTATCGGCGGTTAGACTCGTTGCGCAGACCCGGAGGAGGCATTTACCAAATCAGAGGATGAGGATGCAAGGCGCGATCCAAGATGGTATATAATCGAACTGTATAATATGCGACGCGAGATTGCACTACGGCAATTATACACGGGGATCTGTAGTCTTCCTTGCCATTGAGGTTATCGGTTTAGCCTCATCGCTGTTTCGCAAAGCTTCTTATTCCTCTGTGAGGTTATATAGATTATCCTCTCGAGTAGTCAGTGATCGCGTATCACTTGTGAGTGTATAAAGATAATAATATGAAAGAGATCAAAGAGTTGGGTCGTACTGTAGTAGAATCAATGTCGGCGTTGTCGCAGTCGAGATTTGACTTAGTTGATTGATTGCTAGGCCTCGGCGGTGAGTTGCCGCTGTCATTGTCATGGACTTTTGTACTCACGAAAGCTATGCTATGGGACTGGTCAGTATGAAGAAATCTAGACTTTGAATCTACCTGCTCTATTATATGAGAAAGGTCGATGTAGCTGAGTTAAAATCCTAAAATACAGCAAATATATATCCGAGTGTACAGCAGCTTTAGCTTCTGCTTTGGTCGATAAGACAGCAAGAAACACAGCCGATATTAGTTGGAAATGAATGTCCCCCATCAGTAAATAAACCATCAAGTTCCACGGAGTACAAACAGCCAAGTATCGCTGGAAGGAAGGGAAAGGCAAAAAAAAAAACAAAAATATAATTCCGGTACGGGGAATCGAACCCCGAGCTGCCGTGTGAAAGACGGCGATGTTTACCATTACACCATGCCGGAAAGAGTAATCTGTAATGCATTTTCCATAAGTGCTATATAAGCCACATTTATAGTTAATAGCCACAAAAAATACCGAAACCACACCTCGATCTTCCAACTATTAGATAAGTATTATTGAATGAAAAAAATGCCAAAATACAAAGCATTATATAATTATAATAAGTTTGTTTTATTATTCGTGTAATGCATTCCAAATATCCTCTACGTATGGTCAATACTCGAGAACCTGCAAATCCCATAGTCCGCAGATCATGCTCAACCAGAAAAGAACCATTCACCGTTTAGAACCAGTCAGGATAACCCTTCAATGGAATTCCGACCTGAAGCCTTCCCCGTGGAGAACTGGTAACTACACTGTACTCCGTAGTCCTATCGTGGAAGCCCTTTTCCGAGGCAATCCACCAGCTGGCGGTCTGGGCCCGTTACCAATTCCGGGGTAGCAATGGCAACGTCGCGATGGATGGCTTTGATCCCTGAAGCTCTGTACAATGGTTTCCGATGAAGCGGTGTGCCCAGATTTTTAAATAGGGAGGGTTTTTATTTGTTACTCAAACTAGTCTCCCAAGTCATCCCCCTTCCTTCTTTCCTCCTCCATTCACGACATCTACATCCACCATGTCCGTCTCCAAGCTTCGAATCGGCTGCGCTGGTCTCGGCCGCATGGGAAAGCGCCATGCCCTAAACTTCCTCGAACGCACTCCTCGCGCAGAACTGGTCGCTGCAAGCACGCCTGATGATACTGAGATCGAATGGGCAAAGGAGCACCTTGCTCCGTACGGCGTCAAGTTGTACAAGAACTACGATGACATGCTGAAGCACGAGGGATTAGAAGCTGTGGTTGTCGCTTCTGCGACGGCCGTCCACGCCGAACAAGCTATCAAGGCGATTGACGTTGAGAAGCATGTTCTTTGCGAGAAGCCCCTTTCGACGAATGTTGAGATTGTATGTCTTCACCACCCATATTCCCAGAGTACATTGATCAACCGCTAACGGTACACGACAATAGTCGCAACAAGTCCTCGACGCAGCCGCCAAAAAGCCCCATCTCAAAGTAATGTGCGGTTTCTCCCGCCGCTTCGACGCCTCCTACCGCGATGCCCACCGCAAAATGACCACCGGCGACCTAGGCTCCCCCTCCGTCCTGCGCAGCCAAACATGCGACAAGCTCGACCCGTCGGGCTTCTTCGTCGCCTACGCCCAGTTCTCCGGCGGCATTTTCGTCGACTGCTCCATCCACGACATCGATCTGGCACTCTGGTTCTTCGGACAGGATGGCAAGGTCAAGTCCGTGTCCGCGGTGGGCATCACGGCCGTCGAACCAGACCTGCGCAAGCACAACGATCGCGATAACGCCGTCGGCCTGGTCGAATTTTATAACGGCAAGATGGCGTATTTCTACGCTTCACGGATGATGGCTGCGGGGCAAGAGGATACAACCGAGATCATCGGGACGAAGGGCAAGGTTACCGTCAACGCGCAGCCGCAGATTAACCTGGTCAACACTTATGATAACGGGGGCGTACATCGGGAAATCCCGCAGCATTACTACGACCGGTTCGAGTATGCTTTTGTTACGGAGGCGAATGAGTTCACGGCGTCGTGTTTGGAAAACAAGCCTGTGCCGTTGAAGTTGGAGGGTGCTGTGCAAGCTGTTCGCATTGGAGCTGCGTTGCAGGAGTCGTTGATTACGGGGCAGAAGATTTTCTTTGAGGAGGATGGGAGTCGGGCGAATAAATCGAGGTTGTAAGCTTAATAGTCTGTTGATAGACTTCGTGCACCTTTCATACCCTACATCATACTGTATGATCACCACCTACTACAATATCTTACGCATAGCCATAGCAATATTCTACTGCAATATACCCGTTCTATCCGATAGAGCATCAGTTATTGGTTATCCTGCACTCAAGCTCTACTCTGTAGGCTCTCGGAAACTCGGTGCCACTGTCGGGAACCCGATTCCGAGAGCCGTTGCCGTCACAGATAGGCTCATACAGTAGCACGATCGCCAAAAGAAGATGTCAAACTTAAGATAATCTTAATCAATCTACACTGTCTACAATGGTACTCCATGGAGTACAGGAAATAAAAGAATCATGGAAATCATTCATTGAAAACTCGTAAATCATCGCTTATATCATGCAGAAAGAAACCGTGAACAGTAACGGTAATCTGAACAAAAAACAAAAGCCATCCCTATACAAAAACGATTCCAAACCAAGCATCTACCACTTGAGAACCTTCGTGGGGAAGTACTCGTTGATGAGCTCCATGTAGTAGGGCTTCAGCTCCTCCACACTGGGAATGCCATCGCTCTTGCTGTAAAGGTCATACGGGTTAAATGCCTTGACAGCGCGAAGCATATCCTTGTCATGGTCGTCCATGAGCTCGTAGTACGCACCAGTGTTGTGCCAGGGGTAGAACGAGTGGTAGCGGATCATGGCGAGCGCCTCAGCGGGCAGGACAGACTGCTCCTTGGCAACGTGGTAGAGGTACTCATCGTGACCCCACGAGAGCATGACATTGTCCAGCCCGCAGCCGGGGGTGTAGATACCGAACTTGGAGCTGTATATGGGGTCGTAGTAGTCCGGGTTGTCCTTGAAGGACTCGGAGCCGTAGATGATGCGGTCGTCGAAACCAAGACCGACGGGGAATGTGTCACCAACGACATCCCACTGGCCCTGTGCGTCGAAAAAGTAAAGCAACTTGCCCAGGTCGTGGATGAGGCCGGTCAGCTGCATCCAGCGGGGCTTGCCGTCGCGGCGGATGGCTTCTGCGGACTGGAGGAGGTGCTCGATCTGGGAGAGGCTGGTGTCTGGGTCGGACTCGTCGATGAGGGTGTTGAGTTTCTCCATGGCTTCCCAGATGGTCATTTCGGCGCGGGTCTTGGAGTGGAACATGTTGCGAGCTTTGAGGTTGTAGGCCACTGTTTGCTTGGTGTGTTGTTCCTTGTAGAAGTTCTTGACCCGGTCACAGGCGTCTTCGTATTGGCGGAACTGGGTCTTGTCCTTGTCCTGGTCGAACTCGGATTGTTCGTAGAGACCCTTCTCCTCTTGTTGTTTCTTCTCAGCGGCTTGCTGCTTCTTCAGGGTGTCCTTGAGGACGTTGACGTCGTCGATGGCGTCGGACAGGTCCTCGAGGGCGTGGCCGTCCCGCTTAGAGAAGACGGGAGTGGCGGGGGGTGCGTCAACTGCTGCTGGTGCCATTGTGATTATATTTTGTTCGCAATGAAAAAGACTTTTGATGGATCGTGTTTAGTAAAAGAGTTGATGTTGTTGATGGAGTCAACCTGGGGTCTGACTGGTGATATATATGACAATAGATCTCCCACCAAAGCACGACTCATGCAAGAATTTCACACACAGGAGTCGCCACGGGCCTCAGAATCCGTTAGAGTAACGAATCCCACGCCCGGAGATCCCTTGAGGCTTCATTCCTCCAGATCGACCAGCCCTTTCATTCCCCGGATTCAAGATTCCGCCGCAGTGGAACCGCGGAGGGAAAGTCTCTCCATGGATGCAGTGGCGGGTTTCGCCTGGATTCTGGTTTCCGAGGGCGCGGGATGGCCGAAAGGGGAAATTATGCTATCTTGCATCAGTTTGAATCTTAATTTGAGTTGCACGGGATGATATCACATACTCACGGACCGGGTCAATCAGGACTCGGATTTCAAATCGAGAAGGCATCTTTCGGCGAGTGTTGCTGAGGTTCTTGACGGCTATCCAGAAGGAGAAAAGGTACCCGACACAGTCGGGATGCTGAGTAAGAAGTGCATGGGTTGTACTAGACCCTCGTCGACATGGGGGAATTGCAATAGCGGGGATGAGGGGATGGAGGGGTAATAGACCGTCCTTTTCAGCACGTCTTTTCTCTTCTCTTTTCATACTCATTCTTCATTCTTTCCACAATAATACTATTCTCTAAGATATCCTCACAATGACTGCTGCTGCGGACGTGCGATTCAAGCTCAACACTGGAGCTGAGATTCCCGCCTTGGGACTGGGTATGCGATAGCAGAGACCATTGTTTTTTGCACCCTCTAATTCTGTACAGGAACTTGGCAATCCGCCCCCGGTGAAGTCGAAAGAGCCGTCTTCCACGCTATCAAGGCTGGTTACCGTCACATCGATGGCGCATGCTGCTACCAGAACGAAGAGGAGGTCGGAAAGGGTATCAAGGATGCCATTGACGCCGGCCTCGTCAAGCGGGAGGAGTTGTTCGTGACCACCAAGCTGTGGTGCACATTCCACTCTCGCGTGGAGGAGGCATTGGACGAGAGTTTGAAGAAGCTGGGCTTGGACTACTTGGACCTGTACCTTGTTCACTGGCCGTTGGCTATGAATCCTAATGGTGAGCTTGCCTTGTCACTCTACGAGATATTTGCGCAGTTTCTAACGACGATGACAGGAAACCACCCCCTCTTCCCCAAGCACGAAGACGGTTCCCGCGATATCGTTCACTCGCACTCCCATGTCACCACCTGGAAGAGCATGGAGAAGCTCCTGACCACCAGCAAGGTCAAGGCCATTGGTGTCTCCAACTACAGTGTGAAGTACCTCGAGGAGCTTCTGCCCCAGGCTACCGTTGCCCCGGCTGTCAACCAGATCGAGAACCACCCCTCCCTCCCACAGCAGGAGATCGTCGACTTCTGCAAGGAGAAGGGTATCGTTATCACTGCATACAGTCCTCTGGGCAGCACAGGTAGCCCGCTTTTCACGGCAGCGCCGATTGTCGAAGTGGCCCAGAAGCGAGGCGTTACTCCGGCTACTGTTCTCCTGAGCTGGCACAGTGAGTGCACCAATTTCCATCGTCATACAATTCAAAGAAGTGTGAGCAATGTTAACAATTTCGATCTAGTTGCCCGTGGTTCCTCCGTCCTCGCCAAATCCGTCACCCCCTCTCGTATCGAAGACAACCGGAAACTGATCCACCTGGATGACTCGGATATCGCAACCATCGCCAATTACAGTGACGACCTTGCCGCAAAACAAGCGTTCCAGCGTTTCATCTTCCCTCCGTTTGGCGTTGACTTTGGATTCCCCGACAAGGTTGGCAAGCTCTAAGCGTGTAGATTGAAGGGCTGTATTATGACTGCTATGGAATTGGAAATAGACCAGATGTAAATAGACATGGCTTATGAAAATACCAATGAATATTGCTGCATATGTTTTGTGAATGGTTGTAGAGCATCTCAACTCTACTCTGTACTGTCACTGTACCGATATGGCAATTGGCCTGTGCATTCTCCACTATTTTTTACCTTCTCCAATTCACGTCCCGATTTTGACAGCAGTCAAAACAGTCCACTGGGCATGGTGAATACAATTGGAGCTCAATTTTAGAGCTCAAGATTCACTTAATATATTGTGTTATAAGCCTGCTGTGTTATCCCTCTGCAGGCATGTTCCTTTGCTGAGCATGCTGAAGCAAGACCCGGATGGCGTTGGAATAGCTGGGTGGCACTAACGGATTTTGCCTGCAAGCTGGTTTGTCTTTCCCTTATTTTTCCTATGGTATACCTCAATTTTGAAAGAGGATATCGCTGACCCTGAGCCTTTTCAGCACCAGCAGATTCAACACCTTCCTCTTCGCGACCTAGCTTTACCATGCCGAATACCGCGTACCGCGAATAATCAACATAGTCGAACAATCGAATCGAACCGAATAAAACGCATAAGAACTTAGATCCCAATCCCACAAAAATGCAGACGCGCAGCCAAAAGCGGAAGATGGTAGCTGCCGTCAACACAGACGCATACCAGCCATTCAACGACGAGATCTACCTAAACACGGTCGAAAACATCCTCTCCGACGAACATACCTACAACACCAGCTTTGACGAGTACAAGTCAAGTTTAATGGGAATTGGCGAAGGTGGGGAAGAAGTGCAGATGCAAGGGTTAGACGGCGCGCGCGACGATGAGCCTACATATGAGCGGTCTACAAGTACGTCGGAGGAAACGGGTAATAATGATACAAATAATGGACGGGCGCAGCTTTCGGGGAAGAGGAAGTCGCCTTATTTCGCGTCGGGTCGTGTTACACGCGCAAAGGCTGCTGCGGCACAGAAATTGACTACAAGGATTGTGGAGGATCAGAGTGAGAGTGAAACTGAATTAGGGGTAGAATCGGAGTTTGCTACGCTTGTGCATGAGCCAGAGCTTGCACCTGAACTTGAACCTATGCCCGAGCGTGAGCCAGAACCTGAGCTTGCACCCGAACCTGTGCCTGCGCATGAGCCTGGCCCTGAGCTGGAGCCAGAACCGGAGCCGGAGCCGGAGCCGAAGCCAGAGCCAGAGCCAGAGCTTGCACCTGAACCCGAACCTGAACCTGCGCCTGAACCCGAGCCCGAGCCTGAGCCCAAGGCAGATGCCATGAATCTCGACAAGGCGGATTATGACGGCGAGATGGAAATAGACGCTGTTCCTGTTCCCCAGAATGACGGCGTCCACGAAACCGAGCCAAACAACAATCTACCCGTCGACAAAGCCGGTCTCGCGGAAGACAGAATACTAGCATCTCTCGGACCGGACCAGCAATCCGAGTTGCTTGGATTCATAGAGTCGCATCCTTTTATGAAGGGACATGGATATCCGGTTGGACGGTGCGCCAGGCAGCAATTCGTGGGCGATGTGCGTGGGAAGGCGTGTGCGCTGAGATTAAACCAGTCTGCCGTCGACGAGCTAGTGAGGTTCATCAGAAGGATCTATCTCGAGACCTGGGCAGAGGGACATGGTGCCGACGACTATCTTTCGGAGTTTGGAGAAGAATTTGACGAGGAAGATGAGGCCTTGTTCAAGAAGGAACGGAAGAGGAAGAGACGCGCCGAAAAGAACAAGGATAAGCCCAAGAAGAGCAAGAAGGAGAGGCGATCGAGGCTAGAGAACGGCACGATCCAAGCTGAGGCCGAAAAACCCGAAATCATCAATATTGAAGATACAGCGAGCGTTCTGCCAAACCACGCGCCTCAGGTAATCGTGGATGATGATCTGATAGCTATTACTCCGCCCAAGTCGCCTGAGTCTACCAAAAAGGACGCTGCCTCAAAATGTGAGTCCAACCACGACAATATTGCTCCTGCTACGTCGACCCACAGCAGCCCCAGCAAAAGCAGATATTCTGATCTGGGATCAGAAACGGATCCGATTCCTCTTGATGACGAGGCCGAAAATGAAGATAAACGGACTGTCACAGAAACAGATGCCCAGAAATCTACTGCCGCACAACCAGCTCAATTGACAGCTCTCCCCGAGAGGATCCGTGTGAACGGCAAACCTCATGAAAAGAACTATCTTGCCGACTGGGACCTAGGCCTACGGGATCACACAATCTCGCTTGACAATGATGACAACGATAATGTGGACGATGCCGACGAACCGGGGGCCACTGAGGAAGCTATTGCTTCTCCCAAGCCACCGAAGTCGACGCGGAAACCAAAGAAGAACGAAAGAAAGCCTCGTGAAGGCATGCACAACGTCAGCGAGAAAAATACTCCCAAGTTTTATCTTAGCAACGAAGCGGTCACTGTTGTTGACCCCGCGCTGTTTGAGCCGAAGACGAAAAAGACACGAGCAGAAAGGGAGAGACAAAGGTTTCCAGATGTCGACGAAATTCTTGCCACCACGACTCTGCCCGGAGTGATGTCGGCGGAGGAGAAGAAAAGAGAAAAGAACCGGCGCAAGCGTCAGAAGCGAAAACAAAAGAAGCGAGATTTGAAGAATCAAGAGCAATCTGAACAGCAGTCTGGGAGGCAACTTGAGAAGTTCCAACCTGATCCTAAGGAGAATGCTGAAAACCACCGTCCGATTCCGGACGACCCTGAAGACGAATCAATGGATTATTCAAATATCTTGGAGGATCCACATTGGGACTTGGATTTATAAAAACCGAGGATTCGCACCGTGTAATTGCGGGCGAGGAGGTGAGATCCAAATATTTTGATACTTCACAGAAGAAGAAAACTATCAAAAAACCGTGCATTTGCAACAAACCCGAATACCACCCTACGAAACAAAAGAATACAATGCCAGAGGAAACACGTCTTCTTCTGGAAAAGCTCGATTTGTCTTCCGACTTTCTTTGTTCCGACTCAGATACGTGTCTTAGTGATGTGCATAGTTCTATTGCTGGAGATGAGGAGACCAATTCCCATTCAGCTGTTGTCCCGAGAACTCCAACCAAAAAGAGTGTACCTCAGCCTGTTAAATTGTCGCGCTCCAAAATCCCCAAGATATCGCCTTATTTCCCGAACCCTCTTATTGAGCCTGAATCGTGTCTTCCATTTCCGCCAATTGATGCTCCATCGTTTGGCCTGATCCAGGAGCAGCTCGCCCACGATCCCTTTCGACTACTCATTGCTACCATTTTCCTGAACCGAACCAGAGGCGGAGTTGCTATCCCGGTTCTTTTTCAAGTTTTCAATCGGTACCCTACAGTGGAAGCCATGGCCGCAGCAGAGCTATCTGAACTGGTGTCCATGATGCACAGTTTGGGTTTCCAGAATCAACGTGCAAAGAAATGTATTAGTCTAGCACAGACATGGCTTGCCAATCCTCCCACCAAAGGAAAACGATATCGCGAACTCCACTACCCCCGCAAAATGGACGGAAGAGACATTAGCCAGGACGAGTGTATTGACGACAATGACCCCAGAGTAGCCTGGGAAATTGCACACCTCCCCGGCGTGGGCGCTTACTCCTTGGATAGCTGGCGGATCTTCTGCCGAGACGAACTACGAGGGCTTGCACGGGACTGGAACGGAACAGGCGCACAGACATCGGACTTTATACCGGAATGGAAATCGGTTCTACCCCACGACAAGGAATTGCGCGCATATTTGACCTGGATGTGGCTCAAGGAGAGATGGGCCTGGGACCGGGAAACGGGGGAGAGGACGAGGGCGAGTGAGAAGATGATGCGAGCGGCACGGAGAGGAGGGGTGGCGCATGAGGAGGAGGGGAATTGGGTATTGGAGATGTCACCGATGAAGAAGGTTGCGAATGGGCTGACATGACATGACTTGCATCTGTATTTTGCATCTCGTTGGAGTTTTTTTTTGGTCATTTACCTTGGATTGATACCCTGTACAATAGTTAGCTTAAAATATCTTGATACCTGAACCACGGAGTGACTGCCTTGGGCATCAATATGGCCGCCATCTCGCCAATCTATGGTTCTGTCATGATTCATATGCCCAGAGATTAATCTACCTGTGAGATCTATTTCTTCTATAGCAACTTCCTTTATATAAAACCTGTGGAATACTTATACGTCCACGTCAGTTGCCGCGGCGAAAGACATCGAAGCGCCTCACCGCCAACATCCCACGATACTCGCGTCTGTTCTTTTCTTCTCTCTTCTTTCTTCTTTCTTCCATTCTTCCTACCTTCATCACTATCGTTGTTTTTCATTTGTATTTCATTTTATCCTTTCATTTCTTATTCCTGCTTTATCCTGCCCTCCCCGACGGGATGTCGCACCCTTCGCAGCTCAGCAGCAGCGGCATCCGAATCAAGTGACTCAATACCACCCCCGAGCGCCTTTCATCCGGCCAGTGAGATCCCAGTGTCCTACAGAACGTCTAAGCGCCAAATAAGACTGCGATAAAGAGAGACAAGAGTGGAAGACAAAGAGACGGAAGAGAATTGAGTATAGGGAACTTCACTTTGCACTGCTGGAGTGTGACCTGAGTGCTCGTCCGACCTCTTTCTCTATTCACTCTTTCTATCTGTCTTCAGCAGCAAGTCTGCTACCCGGAATCCGATTTCGAATCCTCCGAAAAGAAAAGCACGCCTGCGTTTTTTTGTTGATTTTGATTCATTTCTTGTTTTGATCATACGAGGTAACTAAACGGATCACACCAAACCGATCCCGGTGGGATAGAAAGATTTTTTGGAAAACAGGGACACTTCGTTGTTCATCTTGTTGCCCATCATGTCGAACCCACTACATATCATGCTACCATTGAGACTAAATGAACGTGATCGCGACAGGAACCGCCATAGAAAACACCGAACCTCCTCTTCCTCTTCGTCCCAACCCACACATCGTCATCGCAAACACCGTTCGTCCTACGGTTCCACCCGTTCGTCAACCAGGGATCCAGAACGGGAATATTCCACAGCTCAGTCCTCCACACCGTCCACTTCTCCCACCAGTTCACGCAGATTCTCGATGCCGGCCGTCGACAATCCAGCGGCCTCGTTTCTCGAGTCGAGAACGAGTGTGCCGTACCCGAACTTCTCCAAAGCCCATAGCAAGGAATTCGTTGGAGGTCCGGACCCTCCTACGCCCGATCCGACCGATTTGACAGAGACGCCGCAGAAGGAGGATCGCCATCACACGGAGAACGGCAACAGCAATAACAATCATCATCATGCACCTCCCAGCCCTCCGTTGACAGGCCTGGATCAGCAATCGCGGAAAGGGAGCTCCGTGGGCGACAAACAGGAGAAGAAAGAGGAGAGCACAGAAAGACCCAAGGCCAAGATCCGCATCCGAACCGGGTCGAATCGATCGTCGTCAAGCCTGCGCTCAAAGGAAGAAGAGGGCAGACCAACCAGAACGATGCGACCGGAGACCCCGAAATCTAAGATGTCCAGCAGTTATGAAAGAGATATGCCTTCTAGGACAGCCAGCCATAAACCATCCAGATCTAAGGTTACGGAGGAAACTACGTTGCCCAAGCGAGCGTCTACTCATAGGGATGTTAGGTCTCCGCCTCGATCGCCAGCGGCAGCTGGGTCCGCCAACGGCTCAGATGCTACCATCGGGCCGCAGTATAGATCCAGCGGTTCTCGGAGAGTGAAGACGCCAGACAAGCCACCGTCTCGGACTCAGAATCGGTCGTCGACGTCGTCACCCTACCACCACCGTCATCACAACAGTTCAGGCTACCGCACCCCGGCCGATGCTGCGTACGACCATGGACGACCTCCTACCACTAATTCCGGCTTTGGTGCTCCTCCCCCACCTCCCCCGCCGCCGGAGATGCCTGCATCCATTCCGAGAGTGGACTATCTGCTTCAGAACGGTGGATTGGATCGTCACACTCACAAAACCCTCCTACTGGGATCGCACTACCGGGATATCGCACCCCCTCCATCGTACCAACCGCATATCGCAGCACGCAGGATTTTTGAGCCATTTGGCAGCCTCTTGGATGAGTACCAGAATGTCATGACAAAGAATGGATCGCTTGCTGTGGCGACTGGATATCGATCGGTCGCTCGTCGCTTGCTAGACCGTCTGGAGGCCGTCTTTGCCCGTGATATTTCGTGTGAATCGTGCAATTGCTTGATGTGTGAAAACGAAGATATAACAGAGCCCCATCCGGGCGTCAGTTGGGGAGAAGTTTTGGAGCTGGTCTCGGGCCGCAAGGAGCTCCCTACGTGGCCACCATTTATGATGGCGCCGTCTGTCGTCGATGCTGGAGCCTCAGGCGAAGAGCATATTCCCATGCAGAAGATGGACATTGACATTCCGGAGGAATATCGTGAGCACTACGTTCGGCAGTCTCGCAAGACCAAGCTCGCCGTCGACAAGTGGCTCGGTGAGCAGGCAGGACAAGCTACCAGCGCACCGGATGCCGTGGACGATGATACATTGACGTTTGCTATGCTGACGCACCTGGGATCTGAGCAGCGTCAGCTCTTCTGTTCACTCCTGGGCATTTCGTCTATCTCGCCGGCTCCCAGTGCTGTTGGCGGACCATCTCGCTCGCGCCCGCACGCCCTGGTCTCATCTGCGTCTGCTATTCAGCGACTATATCGACTTTCATCTCTTCCGCGTGACCCTGAGACGGCCATCTATATGCTCAACAACCCAGGCATTCACCACGTTTTGGCAACGCTATCCGCTATCAGTGACGATGAATGGGACATTCTGATTTCTGGTCGTTTTGATGGCTTCCTCCGGAGCGGCGCAGAAGATGCGATCCCGCCAGTCTCAGGCTCTACCCCACGTTGGGGAAGTCGCTCAAACACGCCCTTCAGTGCGTCTCGGGGACCGACTCCTGGTATGGACAGAGCAGCCAGTCAGCCGCACAGCATGACCTCTAACCCTGCATTGTCCGGCGGACCCATCACTATAGACGAGGAGATGGAAATTGCTGCCTTGGCTGAGGTGGAACGTGAAATCTATCTTGGAATGGAAGCTCTCGAAGATGCGTTTGAAGCCCTGCACTGCAAGGCGGAGACAGTTCGACAAACGCTACGGGAACGAGGAGCTGGTCTGTCTGTCGCCAACCAAAACCGTCGTGGATCCTACGTCGAAGCTCGCATGGGCACGCCTTCCGCAGTGGGCAACGGATTCGATAGCGGACCGGAGGATGAATTCCTGGACGATGGCATCTCGCTTGCACCGGATGATTCAGCAAGTAACATCAGTTCGAACCGACGACGCCGGCCCAAGCGCCGTACCGAGCGACGTACTCCTGCCCCTGTCGAGGAAGAAGACGAGGGTGAAGAGGAGCCGCACATAAGTCGGCGAGATCGAGAACGTGGATCGCGGAGGAGATGAACTTGAAGTGAATTTGAACAGAATGGACTTTAACCCTCAGCATAAAAGAAAAAAGAAAATTTGAAGCAACAACCATGATTGATACCCATCTTTGACCGGCTCTTGGATCTGCATGTGGAGGGTTTGACTACGATAACGAAACGAATCTACTGACGAGGAATGGAATAAATGATCTATGAATTGAGACGAGACATATCTGCTATATGCGCTGCTTTGATGTATGTAGATGCTTCAATTCCACTGCCGTATCTTATTTCCTCTATTATTCTTGCACATCGGACATATGTAGCAGCAGTAGTAGTAGTAGGAATGTAGTAAATTACTTCTCCACATCGGATAATTGCCGGCAGTTATCATGTCGATCTCCACATTATGACTGTCATAAACTGCCAGACGGCAGATGAGCCCGTTCCTACTCTATACACAAGCAGCCACCCTTCAAAATGATAGAACCCTGGAAACAACGAGCAGAAGCCAAGCGCCGCACCATCCTTGAATCAATCCCCCAGAAATGGCGACTTTCCCCGGACTCAATCCCCACCGCAGACGAGCAGCCTGATATCACCGGCTCGTATATGCATCAATTCCTAGAGCAAAGAGAGAATGAGATTACGGAATGTGATGCAACAGTGATCGCCCAGAAGACGACGTCCGGGGAGTGGTCTGCGGTGGAAGTCACTGAGGCGTTTTGTCACCGGGCTGCGTTGGCGCATCAATATGTACGCTTCGCGGGTTATATAAGAGATATGCATTAAGACTAACTGATTTAAAGGTAAACTGTCTCCACGAGTTCTTCCCAGAAACAGCCCTAGAAGATGCACGCCGTCTCGATGCCCATTTCAAAACCCATCAAAAACCCACCGGCCCCCTCCACGGCCTCCCCATCAGCCTAAAAGACCAATTCAACATCAAAAACATTTCAACAACAATGGGCTACATCAGCCACATCGACCAAATTCCCACCACCGAAAGCGACCTAGTCCACCTCCTCCGCTCCCTCGGCGCAGTCCTCTACTGCAAAACCAGTGTCCCCACGGGCCTGATGTCCGGCGAAACAGCCAACAACATTATCGGGTATACCTGGAACCCCCGAAATCGACATCTATCGTCTGGTGGTAGTTCCGGTGGCGAGGGCGCGTTGCTTGCGCTGAAGGGCTCGCCGTTGGGTTTTGGGACGGACATCGGGGGCAGTATTCGTGTTCCTGCTGCGTTTAATGGGATTTATGGGTTGAGGACGTCTGTGGGTAGGATTCCGTATGAGGGGGCGAAGAATTCGATGGATGGGCAGAATACGGTTCCTTCTGTTGTTGGGCCTATGGCGGGGAGTGTTGGGGCGTTGCGGTTGGCGATGAAGAGTGTGTTGGGGATGGAGCCATGGGTGTATGATCCGGCTAGTTTGCCGATTCCGTGGAGGGAGAGTGTTGAGGAGAAGGTTAGGGGGTTGCTTTGTGGGGGTGGGGAGGGGAAGAAGATGGCGTTTGGCATGTTTGAGGATGATGGGATTATGAGGCCGCATCCGCCGGTTTTGAGGGCTGTTAGGTTGGCTAGGGAGGTTTTGGTTAAGCTTGGGCATGAGGTTGTTTTCCCCTAGCTTTGTATGGATGTTGCTTGATGGTTAAGCTAATGATGCAGGTTATCGATTGGAACCCCCCGTCCCACGCTGAAGGATGTTCCCTCGCGGTACGTATCCCGAACACCTCAGCAAGTCACTAAACTAACTCTACCACAGTATGACGCCTACACCCTCGACGCCGGCCACGACATAATCACCCAACTAACCGCCTCCGGTGAAACCCCAGTCCCGCAACTGGCCTGGACCCTCAACCCCCCCAGCAAATCCCAGAAAACCGCCTCCGAGATATTCGCCCTAAACGTCTCCAAACGCCGCTGGCAAAAAGCCTACATGGATTACTGGAACAGCACCGCTAGCCAAACAACGACAGGAAGACCAGTTGATGCGTTTATCTGTCCGACGACGATTATGGCGGCCGCATTGCCAGGGAAGCATGTGCATCCGGGGTCCACGATGTTTGTGAATATGCTGGATTATTCGACTGTTACGTTACCAGTTACGGATGTTGATTGGGAAGTTGATACAGTGGAGGCTGAGGGGTGTGGGTATTCATTTCCTTGTCTGATTGTTGGGGTTGTGCTGATTATGACAGATGATGTCCGGGACTATGAAGGTGCGCCTGTTGGGTTGCAGTTGATTGGACGGCAGTATGAGGAGGAGAAGATTCTTGTTCTTGCTGAGTATATTAGCGCGGCTTTACGAGGCGAGGATGCTAACAGCGGACATTGGTAAACTGAAGAAGGGACATGGTCCATAAGGCCCAGGGGATAGAGGAAACATGCACAAAGTGCTGAGAAAATCTTTAAACTGTGACCAATGTGCTTCAGGACGACACAGTGTAGGGCTGGGATTCCTCGAGAAACGAAGTTGCTCACTTGGGATTGTGAAGAGGACAAGTCTCTGATCATTGACGTTCCTTCCTAAGGCACAATCTCGTATGTCCTATACTTCCGCTATATATGAATTGTTGCTGTATATGCTTGTATCTGTGATGGATGCCTTATGTTGTAATCTGGCATGTACGCGACTACGACACATGACATCGCGGTCCGAGCTTCTTAAAGACGCGTCCATTCACCTTGCTCTGCGCGTGTCATCTTGAAATCTCTCAAGAAGCAGCGCGACACGATTGCTCTGGATATTCCTCACTCCGGACTTACTCTTACTAGTTGAATATTGAATACTGAATGATGCTGAACCCACCTGTACTTCTACAAGCGAAACCCCATCTGCCTGGAACAACGTGGCTGACATTGTGCATTGACAGATATCATTCCCTATTTTCCAGAATCCCACCAAGCGCAGACGCATAGCTTCAGCTTGCATAAATTGCAGAGAACGCAAAATCAAATGCGACGGTAACACACCAGTATGTGGCGCCTGTCAAAGGCGTGGTGGCAATGATACGCAGCCATGCGAGTACCGGGTTAATGCCGGGAGTAGTACTGCCAGCTATCAAACTGGAAGAGAGTGAGTTACTTGGCTCTTGCTAGGGAGGAGGGAATTAGCTAAGCTGATGGGAGTTTCTAGCTTAGGCTCTCCCCAGAGAAGAAGGGAAGAGTTTTGCAATCTGCAAAATGGGATGGTCGGAGATCAACACAGCAGACCCTTTGGGGACATGCGGTACACCCCAGCCAATATGCAGGATAGTCAGGAACCTGTGAATGAGATATCGCCTGTGTCGAACACACTTAACCCCAACCGCGCCATGGGAACTCTTGTGGACCCTTTCTCTATCTCGTCTTCGTCTAGTTCCACACCATCCGTTCTTTGGGATGAATTTCCGCTCCCAACACGAAGAGTAGCGGATGGGCTTCTGGAAACATATTTCAAAGATGTATATGTGTTCTACCCTTGGGTCCATAAGAAGAGTTTCATGGACATTTATGATTTACAGTGGTCCATTCATATTGACAAGACTTCATTTGACTCACCGGATGTCGGTCTAGGGGGCGGAGAATGTTCCCGGGCCATATTTAAGTGCGCATTGAATGCGATGTTCGGGCTGGCGTGTGAATTCTCGACTCTGGAGCTAGAGAAGAGACTATGGTTGTCTCAGGACTTCTACAACTGTATGAAGGGTCTGCTGGGAATCAATGTCTTTAACGGTGGAAGTCTCGCTCATGTACAGGCTTTGCTCCTCGTGGCTCTGTATCTGCAGTGCACGCTGGACCCCAAGAGATGCTGGAATGTGGTGGGCATGGCTTACCGCATGGCAGTTGGACTTGGGTTATATCTAAGCAACCAGCCTAATGATGGTTTGGCTCCGGTCGAGAAGGAGATGAGATGGCGTACCTGGTGTGCCTGTGTACAGATGGATATGTGAGTTCTCTCGGATCTAGACCTTTACCATATTCCATGCTAACCCATCAACAGTACCGCCAGTATGATCGTGGGTCGTCCACCAATGACCCCTTCTTCCCAAGATATCCCACTACCATCTCACCTGAGTGACGAACAATTACAAGAAATGGATGACCAAGGGGGCACGGAACATGCTAGATTGATGGCAGCGGATCAATTCTTTTACGAGAATATGAGGCTCACTGCAATACTGGTCAAGATTCTCTCCAAGATATACCGAAGTCCAGACCCCGGGTCACAGTCACATGTAGATATTCAGGCAATCTTGGATATCGAGTGTGCGTTGGAGGATTTCCAATCGACGCTTGATCAAGCGCTTCACTGGAAGATGTCTTATTCTGGAAAGAGCAAAGCATCTGAAAGGCACTGTACCATCATTCAATTTAGGTATGAATGGTGGATTCTGCCTATCCAAGAAGATTATCGATTCGATACTGACTTGATTAGATTTTCATATCTGAAACTCCTAGCATATCGTCCTGCGTTCAGCGAATATTGCTCAACTGTGAAAGCCAGAACCCGGAGATTAGAGGATGAGTGGATGGACGATGCAGGCCCTACAGCAGACTCTTGGAATACGCTGTTTCTGGAGAACTGCGCTACGAGATGCGTACGAGCTGCGTGCAATGTCGTTTGGGCATTCAATCTAAACATTATGGGAGATGCTTGGTGGTACGGCGTATATTGTAAGTCCTGGCTATCAGTCTAAAAAAAAAAAAAAAAAATCGCTTATGCTAACAGACAATCCGTTCCAGATTTGTTTACAGCTGGTATTATCCTCACACTTGCTGATGGGAGCGGAACTACTTTTACTTGGACCGGTAGTGAGGATGAAAAACCAAATATTTGGGAACCATGCTTGAGTTCGCTGTACAAAATGGCCCAGGACGTTCATCCATCGGCGAGCGATCTCGCTACTGCATTGACCGGACTCAGAGATCGTTATGTGCCATTGGAACACTACCAGGGTATATTTTCTTTCCTTCTCGCTTGATCCATTCGTATCACGCCCTGACGACCTATCTAGGCAATCAATCCTCAGCTCAGAGGCAGCGCCATTTAATCACACAATATGGAAATCAAGTCGACAATTCGGATGACCTTCGAGACTCCAATCAAATGAACTCGTTAGCTGAAAATAACGGGGGACTATGTAACGCATTGAGTCCATTAGTCTCGAACTGGGGCAATGCGCTTGGGGATATAATGCTTCCGGCGAGGCTACTGCAACGGGTGGATGATGGGATTATGGTGCCGAATCTATTTTGATCGTGCATACACGCGCATTGCGATGTGATGTCTGCATGGATGTGCAGGTTGCGTCAACCTATGTCAGCTACTGTATCTAACCCAGTGATAGAATATCATGTATCTATAATGACTCGTCTACAAATAGTCTAGACTGGATAACCGAGTCCGTTAATCATTCGAGTCACGTCATATATCTCAAGATCTTCAACGCATGCAAATATCATTTCCAGTAAGAGCCAACAACACCAGCCATCTATATACGTAACCCCATAATCTATCTCCATGATATACAAAGCACGGATCACAGAGTACCCTGGCCAAGACCTCCGTGGAGAAGTATACTCTACCATAGTACGGTAGTATACACATCCAGCGAAATTTGTCAATGAATCACACCATCTGGTTGGTCCATATACGGTGGCGTGGCCCATGAACAACTTCCTGAAGGGGTAAGAGGGTGAATCTGCAGCTCTACTTGTACGTAGTACTCCATATTATGTGCTCACGGAGCACGGTGTAACTAGTTAGTTACTCCGTTGTCGTGATTAATCAATTGTGAGAAATGACAGAGGCAAGAACACTACGACCACCATGCATATGGCTGCCTGGACATGCAGAATGGCGTGAGTTTATTTGGATGATGCTGCATAAGTGTTTTCTCTTCCCATCTGTATACATACTTGTAAGCGCAGCGGATAGCATCACCCCTATTTCCGCAATCTCCGCCGGGAGTGCCGAAAAGGGGCACCAAGCTTTCTGCAGGGCTAGATGTGTTCATACATATCACCAGTAGTTCATTAGTTAGTGTATGCGGAATACTCTGTACGAGTCTGTGCTTTTTGGAGAAGAGCTGAAAGGCAGCAATGATGTGACCAAAATGGGGAATACGAAGTACGCAGGTCTCATTTCGCGCATCGCCACCGCGTTTCAGATCGGCCATATCGCAGCGCTTTTTCGGTCAGTGGTTCATACCTTACACTACTCCGTGGCGCAGACATGGAAGTTACCGATAAACTCTTATTCACGGGAACGGGTCGAGGGTTTCCGTGGAACGGTCAGGTACGCAACAAGTACGCATCATAGACAAGTGCCGTGTGTACCAAAGTCAATACCGACATGATTTGTAAATTGACTTTGAAACCCAAGGAGACCAAGATATGAAAAGAAAAAGCAAATTCTGGATCTTGGCGGCAAGCACCGAACCAGATGAAGATATGACACAAATTCCGAGATCTCCTGAGTCAGCGGCCAGAGTCTATATCCAGACGGCATTTGAACATTTAAACTCAAAAAGAGGATTTGTTGGATCTTGTGAGCAATCAAACGTAAATCTCTGCGTCTAGAGAGTCATAGGGACAAGGGGTCCGTATTCCATACGTAGTAGGGAGCTGTGGGATTGATCCGATTTATCGGTTATCGCTTTCCGAAGGTCTGTCGGTGTGTTCCTGAGTTTTTGCAAACAATAGATTATCAACGTTAAGAGTCAATACTATCGAGAGAAGGTTTTGCTTTATTCAAGCTATGGCCAAGATGCATTATCACGGGAACAATTTCTTTTTCTCTCCATCCCCGCGGTTAGCAGCCCTGTAGCCCAGACGGAACGTGCAGAGACAAGACAATCGAAAAAGCAACCTTGCCGAACACGAGGCCTCTGCAAAAAGGATTCAATCCTTGTCATGGATCATCACGAGCCCTGTAGGGGAACAAGCATTCCGAATACATGCAGTAGCATTCAACGTGTTTCTCGTGGTCAATGGAATCTTAGTTTCTTGGTATAGCATGGCTTTCTAGGCATGGCCCACGCTGGCAAGAAGACGTTTGCAGCGATCATTATCAAAGCTCAGGAGAATGTCTCAGTTTCAGGAGCTATTGTATGCATGCTCCGTACGGAGTACTCCAGAATATGTAGTTTTCCATGAATCGTGAACGTCGGCACGAGCTCGCAACCGTTCTCCAAAGAACCGGGGTGATGGTTCATGGTCGGACTATATACTCAGTAGAGTAATACCAAGAATTTCCAAGAAAATAGACCCGGGATTTTAGTTTGCGTTGTTTAGTCTCAGAACAAGCAATGCCAATGATATGGTTCATCGCGAAGCAATCAAACAAGACTTGTCCGGTGTACATCGGGGCCTACCGATAATTGACAGCCAATTGATTGCCGATAGAGCTGCCGAAATAACCTGGAACTGATGTACTAGTCTGGCTAATAAAGAGGGGATAGACAATGATGATGACGATGGTGTACTTGTCGAAGGAATGCATCCGATTGACAATAATAACAAGAGGAACCGGCGATCCTTGGCTACACTCAATCCAAATTGGCAATAGTTATCGTAATCCGTATGCTTGTTTCGCATGTCGCATGTCTTTTTTTCAGAGTTCGCCTAGCTAGCTAGTTAGCAATAGAGTCGAATTTGTCAAGATTATTACATATGGGTGCAGGAACAGCAATTGCCCTCAATGTACCTCCGAGGGGACATGTATTCCGCAGTGGACCGGACGAGGAAGATCGTGGGAATGTAGGATCAAGATCTTCAACAGTTACTAGTCAGTTCGCTTGTTGACAGAAGCCAGAATACACGCATTCTGAACAGTGCTTTCAGATACGACTCGTTAAGGAGAATTTGAGCGGGACTCGGTTGGTGGTTCCAAGGATCAATAATGGAGCCGGGGCATTATCCGAGCGGTGTTTGTATGGATAACAGCATGTCACGGAGGACATTCCAGGTAGGGAAATGGTAGCAGATACCAGGTCATGGTACAGAATAGACAGAGATAGGAAAAGGAGAGAGTGATTTGTTATGGTAGGGAAGAATAAAAAAAGAGCAAAAAAGAGTGACCAGACTGGGGCTCGATCCCAGGACCTTATCGGAACCAGTTATTGAACTGTTAACGATACGTGATAACCAACTACACCATCCGGCCATTGTTGAATAAAATTTGCACTGAGTGTTATATTAGGATGACTCAAATATATCCATGTGAAAATACCTCAGCCTCGGACCTCCTGCTACCACCACTAATGCACACTCTCAAATCGATCTAAACGGCGTCCAGTCGGCTCTCTTGGAATGTGTTGATCTCACGCCATGTGGGTTCGCTTACATTCCGAGAACCATTGCACGGCAAGAAGAAACCGACGCTTCTGTGGGCAAGGGTGTTGCTTGTTACGGAGCGAGTCTCTTACCCTACAGGGTACGAGCAACGTTGGATGTCCCTATGATGCTCTGAATTGGCTTTGACAGCCGACTCTCGAGTCAACCCAGCTAACCTTGTGTCAGCTATGGAGCAGATCTTCAACAAATGAGGGACTTTGGCCACTGTGGCTGTCCCCTGAATCGTGACCGGGGTTGACAACGGTACAGTCCTAGCAGACCCAGTCTACGGAGTACCAGCTTAGGAGAAATGCATTTTTTCCTTTTTCTTTTTTTATCATGTTACGTAATTCCAACAGCAGAGTGCAGTACTCTGACAGTTACTCCGTACTCTGAAGGTATCCTTGCGGGTGTTGGATATATATTGCAGTTCGGATTTACAGCCATAGGATTCCACGACTTCCACGGAAATTGCCGTTAATATACTCTCGACCCTGGGTACATATTGAATGCAATAATACGTACTCAGTATATACATATGCACGATTAGAGATTCGGTGTACTCAATTCTGGTACCTTTGAACCTGACAATCGTCTGGCCGGCTCATATCCGACTGAACCTTCTCGGCTGCTGAACCTTCTCGGCTGCTGAACCGTGGTCGGAGAAGAAAGAACCTTAACGGCCAAGAAGCCGTACCACATGCCGACAATCGAACTGGAAAAAGCTTGTTCCCGTTTAATTTCTTTTTTCCCCCTTCTCCGGTTCACTGTTCACGGTGACGATTGGCAGGAGAAGCATTCCCGGGATCGTTCTAGCATAGCTGTTCGGGATAATATCAGCAAATTCCGGGGCACACGGTGCTACAAATATTTCCTCGGTACGGAGACACGGAGTCCCTGTGTGTTATGTACGGGATAGTTCAGACATCCCCATAATCATCGAGCACACACCAGAACGACTTGAATGGCAGCTCTATTATTCCTTCGATCGACCGTGTGGGCCATTGGGTCTTTCTGGAATTAAATCCCTTTGGTTGCCTCGACCACGCGTGATTATTCAAAATTCCCACACCCCCTACCATACAGAAGCCAGGAAGAAAAAAAAAAAAAAAAAACCTGCAGAATCTTGTTCGGTCTTGGGCCTCCACTTGGTGTCTCCGCGCGGCTTAGAATGGGCTGTTTACCATATGGTCGGTCTCGTTCTCTTTCTTTTTTTATTTACCCCTCATGCCATGCCGGTGGGATTGAAACGGGCAATTCATGATGGAAGAAAAATACTGTAATTAATGACTTTGTTTGCGATCGACTGCCATAGTCTCTCTGGGATCTACTTCGTGCAGCTGCAAGCCTCGCACTGTCCTTCACGACTGTCTCGGTGGTGGCGTTGAGCTTGTATCCAGGTCTGGCGTTTCTGGAAGATTGCCTCCCTTGTGGCCAATGTAGAAGTGAAACTCGACTTGTCAATCTCTTGCAGCGGAGACAGTCCAGCGGCATGTCTGTGCTCATTCTCTGCTGATGCATTATTCAGGGAGTGTTAGAGAGTAGAATAAGGATACATATGAGGAGTTGCATGCAGATACACAGGCCATATGGACAGGACCTCCTATATTTGCTTTGATACGGAATACACCTCCGCACTAGTAACTTACTACCACTCCTTTCCCCCCTCATCTCTCCCCATCTCACTTTCGGTTCTGTTTCCGTGAAAGATTATTTCGGCGTCAGCTAAACCATGGTTGGGAGCCCCTGTCTTGGACTCTTAACAAGAACCCGCTGTGGTCCCAGTGTGGAGAAGAATATTTCACAGCCTTTGGGCCGGCAACTCGAGTTAATATCCGGTGGATACGGGTGGTCTGCGCACGAATGCATCATTCGCCGCAGCCAATGCACAGCAGAAGACAATCTATACCAACTGCAGACTATCTCCACGTCGTCACCCACCATGGGCTGTCGGTACTAGTGCAGCTCCGACAACGCCGCTGCATAGGGACAGGGACAAAAGTTTTAGGGTTAAGTGTCCCCTCTCCTTTGGGATTCTTCCGCCTTGAATTTACTTTTTTTTTTTACTTTTTTCTATTCTCTCCGTTCCTGTTTTTGGGTCTTCCTCCCAATTTCTCTTTTTCATCTGGCAGCTGGACATAACTGCCTCTTTCGTGCGAACCTTTTCGAGTCAGTGTCACTGACAATTCCCCTGAAGAACAGACTTTCTCCAGTTCTTCAATAGGTTTGGACCGCAGGTTGGGTCAAAATAAGATCCGGTGACTTCCCCGGCCTGGGCAAAAAAAAAATAAAAATAAAAATCGAAAAAGAAAAGTGATCTATCCCATCATCGTCTGGGCGTCGACTTCATATCTATACATCCCGGAGAGTCTTTTATCGTCTCCCAGTCGCTCTTTCCCCCCCCGCTTTAATTCCTGTCGACCCCCGGAGGATGATCATAGTGTTTAAGGTGTTATCGGTACAAGATAGTTCACAATGAGTCTTGCAAAAGTATTGCTGATGTCGCTTGGCGACAGCGGCATCAGCGACCTCAGCGCCCACGGTGATATGTTACGACGCCGGGCGTTCACTAAGGAAGGGGAGCCCGTCATGGATATCGACCCTCTTCCTTACAAACACCATCAGGGACTTATCGCCGTCTCGGTGATGGCCATTCTCTCCTTCATAGCGTCCGTCATCCTCATTGGGTTCGTCACCTACCGAATGCTGTTCTGGCGCTCCAATTACGCTCGATACATCGGTTACAATCAGTATATCGTTCTTATCTACAACCTTGTCTTGGCCGATCTTCAGCAGTCCTTGGCTTTCTTGATTTGTATAAAATGGATCGCAGAGGACAGGATCGAAGCAGACACGGCAGCATGTTTTTTGCAGGGTCTCTGGCTGCAGATTGGAGACCCGGCTAGTGGTCTTTTCGTGCTTGCCATCGCTATCCACACCTTCCTTCTCGTGGCCATGGGCCGGAAATTGAGTCACCGTGTTTTCGTATCAGGAGTCGTCGGTATTTGGGCCTTTATTGCCATTTTGGTTATCGTTCCATTGGCCGTTCATGGCCGATATGTTTTGATCCCGTCAGGTGCTTGGGTGAGTAATTGCATTCTGTCGACCTTCAGTTCTTCTTCGAGATTAACCGAGTTTTAGTGCTGGATCAGTGAAAAATACGAAAACATGCGTCTAGCGACACACTATACCTGGATTTTCCTTGCCGAATTCGGTACCGTTGTCCTCTACGCCATTATGTGGTTCCAGCTCCGTCGAAGAATCGCCCAGTCAGCCATCCTGGGAAGCAGCCATACGGAGAGTCTGAAGCGTCTGCGTCGCGTTATCGGATACATGGTTATCTACCCGATTGCGTATATCGTCCTGTCTCTTCCGCTGGCCGCCGGACGTATGGCCACGGCCCAAGGTACCACACCGAATGTGGTCTACTTCTGTATTGCCGGTGCTATGATCACCAGCTCTGGTTTCGTTGATGTCCTCCTGTACACCCTGACTCGTCGCAACCTGATCATCGAATCCGAACCCAGCAACGACCGCAGTTACGGCAAGTTCGCAAGTAGCAAGGGCCGCAAGACGGACAACCACTTGACGACCATTACCGCCGACCCCAAGCGCCTCGATGCCAGCCAGATGGGCACCCGGATATACCACGAAGATCCGGATCACACTGTGCGCGATGGGTCGACCGACAACATCGTGCAGCCCCAGGGCATGGAGTTGACCCCCATTGGCAAGGTGTACCAGCAGACCACGATCGAGGTTACCTCAGAACCAGCATACCCATCGGGCGCGAATAGCGACCACTCCAGCAAGGATTCCATGGAGCATCATCATCAAGATGGATTTCACGAGCCTTCATCCCGGATGTGGGGAAGATGAGCTGCTTTCATTTCATTATCACCGTACTGTTTTTTTTTTTTATGGCTGGGACACTGGGATGTCATTTTTGGATTTTATGCCCACGCGGTTACGTTCTCTTCATACCCCTTCTCTGTATATTTCACAATACGTATTTCTTAATGTCTCCGTCCTTCTCCTTTTCCTTTCCCGTGTCCTTTTACCCCCTCTTCCATCGGTTTTTTTTTTTTTTTTTTTTTTTTTTCTCTTTTCGTGCAACGACTCTCAATATCTATACCCTTCTGGATTTGTATATATAACTATTTTGGACTACCTTGATAAGGAAAAACGATCCCTCAAGGAAAACCGCCTCGAATCAATAGGATCGTGGCAGAAATGGATACATCATTGGCAATAACGAACTCTACTGAATTGAATTGATAATATGATGCACAACTAACTTACCTAAAACACAATATGAAACACAATTGCCCGGCCCTAAACAGTCCACCTCCAACTCGGATCCTTCCATCCCCCCACAAGGCTCTCCGTCGGGACATCAGCAGCTGTAAGTCGAGCCCCCTGCAATTTATTTCTCCGATGATTATCGTACCGAAACCACATCCCCAGGCTCAGAATCACAACCACGCCGGTCACAAGGAACACGCAGTTGACGATCAACGCGGGCAAGTACTTTGGCGCCGTGCGATCATCGAATGCGAAACTTGACGGGATGCCAGCGCAATTCGCAGACCCAGCCATCAAACCCACAATCGCTGCTCGCGAACTCTCAACGGGCACGTTATTCGTATGCCAACTGTGAAACAGCGCTGTTGGCGCAAACGCACCACAGCATAGCAAAAAGCACCCGAAATACGCAACAGCTTGGTGTTTCTCCGCATCGATGGCGATGAGAATAACGTACCCGACGAACGTTATCATCAACGAACCGGCAAGATGACACGAGCGCTCCCGGAAACGGTCAGACGACCAGCAAAGCAACCACAAAACAACCGTCCCTACGGCGTATGGCGCCACAGTATACAAATTCGTCTTGACAGTCGAAAACCCCAACAACGCAACCATCTGCGGCAGAAAATTACTAACAGACGTCTGCCCAATCCCATAACAAAAACAAGCAACAGCCCAGACCGCAATCCGCCAGTCCAGCAGCGCGGACAGCGCATCACGAATATCCAACGCATCACCCGTCCGTACAGATCCATCCTGCAACAATCTCAGCTGTGCAGTCCGCGCCTCGAGTTCATTGAACCAGTGACACTGCGAGCCGCTTTTCGGGAGGTGCCAGATTGCAAACGAGGCGACGAGAAGCGTGCACCCGCCTTCGATGAGGAAGAGGTATTGCCAGCCGTGTAGGTGGTTGTGTTTTAGTTGGAAAACGCCGAAGGAGATGAGGCCGGAGAAGGCGCCGGCGATGGTGACGGTTCCGTAGAAGATGGAGAGGCGGAAGGCGATTTCGTTGCGTTTGTAGAATTGGGTTAGGTAGAAAATTGTTCCGGCTGGTGTGGTTGTGGTATTTAGTTGCTGATATGTGGGAGTGTAAGTTGGATGTGATGGATGGCTCACCCATGAAACCTGCTTCGAAACAGCCCATTAAGAGTCGACAGATTAGGAGACCGGCGAAGTTATGCACCGCGCATTGGATTAGTGTGATTGATCCCCTGTTCTGTTACCGGACGGATCTATACAGGCCCAGGGTTATGCTCGACATACCATCCCAACATCATCCCCGGAAGCATAACCTTCCCACTATACTTTTTCAGCAGGAGGTTTGATGGAAGATCAAAAAGGCAAAACGTGACATTGAAAACCGCGAGAATGATGCTATACTGGTTTCCGCGAAGATGCAAGTCCGTGTCTAGGCCGTCTGTTTTTGCGTTTCCTAGATTGCTCCGGTCGAGGGAGTTGAAGAAGTACATGAACGAGACGACTGGTAGCAACCTGAAGCGTGTCAATGGCTGTCATGGTTTGGAATAATTGGAAACTGAAGTGGTTGCATACTTGAAGTCTAGTTTTCGGAGAATGGATTTTTCGACCAACGGGTCGATTGCTAGGGAATCACCGACGTTGACGCCGGATTCCTCTGTTACGAGGACCGGCTGTTGCTTAGTATCTGCTTTTGCCATTTTGAATTTGATACTCTCTTGTTTCTATCTATATCCGTCGGGAGGTGGCATACCTCCATATATACCCCCCAACTTTGTGTACACACACAACACTCCAACCCTGCATCACCCTCATCTGCACTGACCTTCATGATAACCACGACGACAAGAAACGTTATCAACTTCTCGTTACCGAACATTGGCCCATCCACGGTCTATCGCACGTCAGAAGTAGTGGCGGTTGGTTCCGAATGCAGATAAGATGTGATATGATACCCCTCACGATGCATCTGGACTTTTGACAACATCAACGACACTGGACTGAGGAATGTCATGGCGAGTTTTTATTTACTTCTGATATTAACTGGGTGATAAGATATAAAAATTCTAGAGCCTGCGGGGATATCGATCGCAGTTAACATCGTTATAAAAAAAATTTGGGAGGAACGGAATCGGGACGCAATTACAGCATGGCTAGCGATACTCTGGCGCAAAAGGACTCTCCGATTATTATTGTTGGAGCAGGTGTATTTGGCCTTAGCAGCGCGATTCATCTAGCGCAGCGAGGATTCAGCAATGTGACTGTTTTCGACAAACAGCCGTACCATGAGACTCTGTATGACTTTGAGAATGGGTGCGATGCTGCGTCGGCTGGTAAGTCGTGTGCTCTTTGATATCTTGATGGGTAATTGACAAACGACAGACTGCAATAAAATCATCCGCGCTGCATACGGCGACGAAACCTGGTACCAGAATCTAACACTCAATGCGATCCAACAATGGAACACCTGGAATCAATCCCTAGCTCAAGGCCAAAAGCTACCCCCGGGAATGACCACAAACGATCGTATTTACGTGAACTGCGGCAATTACCACATTGGCGACGAGGGTCCTAATCCATTTGAGCAGCGCTCGATCGCGAACCTTACCAAGGCTGGACTGGGCCATACGCAGTACCTTTTCCATGATTCTGAGGAAGTGGGAAGAGCCAAATCAGACGGACGTGGGCATGCAGTTGACCCATTTCATCTATCGAAAGAGGGGGAGGGATATCAAGGCTACTTTGATGCCGTGGGCGGGTTTGTATACGCCGACAAGGCATGTCGCTATGCCTTGCATCTAGCGCAAGAACTGGGCGTCAAGTTCATCCTCGACAAACAAAAAGGCCTCTTTGGGCGCTTCTACGAACCCAGCGGAGCCGTCCAGGGGATAGTCACATCGGACGGCGCAATCCACAAAGCCGCCTTAACCATCATCGCCTGCGGCGGCTGGTCACCCAGCGTCCTACCCGAGCTCGATGGCCTCTGTGAGACCACAGCAGGATCAGTCGCAACGATCCAAATCCCAGCAAACAATCCGCGTCTCCGACAGCGCTTCTCACCTGAGAACTTTCCCGTGTGGCAATATAAAGTCCGCGCGGGAGCAAACGGTAACCTCTACGGCTTCCCTATCGACGAGAAGGGTGTGATGAAGCTCGGATATCGCGGAACGAAGTATACGAACCCGCAAGTCCAACCTACCGGTGCTGTCCGTAGCGTGCCTATTACCCGATGGACTGCACCAGAAACCATCACCGGTCTTCCTGAGAAATCTGTGCAAGTCATCCGCACGTTCTTGGATACGTATCTCCCAGAGCTGCGAGAGAATGGACTACATGTTACCGGAACCCGCTTGTGCTGGTACACTGACTCGTTTGATAACCAGTTCGTGGTGGACGCGGTGCCGGGAAAGGCCGGTGTTATGATAGCCACAGGAGGAAGTGGCCATGCGTTTAAGTTCCTCCCGGTGCTAGGAAGCTTCGTCGCTGATCGCATCGAAGGCGGTGCCAAGAGTGCCGTTGGAAAAGAAATGTTGCAACGGTGGCAATGGCGAAGTCTCCAGGGTGGCGAGAAGCCAACAAATGCCATTATGAAAGGATTAGATGATCCCAACGCACTACAGCGAGTGCATCTATTGTATGATCTGAGCGATAAAGCCAAGCTATAGCTAATTCTGTAGTATAGTCACCGATTGGGAATGGTGCCATAGATAGTAGTGATACCGGGATCTGCTCCCGGGATTTGCTATTTTCGTCGCGCCACCTTCTTTGTTTCCAGAATCATTTCAATTATTTTCTCTTCTTTCAATTGTGATTTATCCATAATGGAGTCATTGGCTACTATAGATTCCCGTCCTGCGCGTCGGAAGTTCAGCAAACCGCCTGTCAAGGTAGCTTGTCTATCCTGGTATGCCCACTTATCAACCCTATACCCGACGAGTTGACAGATTAACGGATCAACGCATAACAGTCGCACATTACGAATCCGCTGCGACGGCGAGAACCCATGCAAGAACTGCGTCGGCAAGGATGCGAGTTGCTCCTATGTTCCCAGTCGGCGTGGCGGACCACGAAATTGCCAGAATCGCAAGCGAAGACGGGAACCGGTGTCGATTCCGGTAGTAGCGAAAGTGCCAGGCGCCGATCCAACCGTACAGGAGAATGACAGGTCGGATACACATACCACGGATACGGAGGAGAGAAGAAGTCAGCAGTCGTCGTCGTTTGAGGCCAGTGTTGAACAGACGTCTCTGTCTGGGTCTGGCTTCAGTTCTGGCATTGGGTCCGATGATGCGGATTGGTTCCATCAGCTTATGGATTTGAGTGAGCCTGGGGCGGGTTTGAGGAATGTTGAGATGCCTATTGCGGAGATCGAATCGATCTTCGATTCGATATTTGCTGGGGAGCAGGGCGGTACTGATATACCCGATGCGAATGTGCATTTTCCCATGGCGGATCTTGTGCAGATATACGGGAGTTATGGGGATATGTATGTCGGGATACTCATTCGTTCGATGGTATGCGGTGCTAACGGTTTAGTCTCGACGCCTACTACATCTTCATCCACCCATACTATCCCATGCTTCCACAACCCGAACGCCTTCCCGTGTATAACCGTCCATTGCGCGAGAAATCGACGTTCCATCCATCCAGTCCACTAAGTCTCGCCATTGCATCCCTACTGGTTCTCATTCCGCACCCAGACGAGAAAGACCCCTCGCGTCCCGAGTACGTGAAACTCCGACGAGACACCGCGCATTCATTCGCACAGGCTGCTCTCGAGGCAATAGAGGTCGATTCAGAGCTCGTCGCTTCATCCAGCGACCCGTCAAGTGCTCTCTCCGAAGGCGTGCCGCAACTTGACCGTGATCCGTTCCATCCGTTCGTACCAGTTTGCCTAGAGAGTGTACTGGCATTGCTCCTGCTGAGCGTGTATGAGTATGCGCAGCGGGGGAATATCAATAAAATGCGAAACCGGGCTGGACAGGCATTGACAACTGCGATGAGTATTTCGTTGCACGAGACGGTTGAGGAGGATGAATTCGCGGAGGCGAAGCGGAGGGCTTGGTGGATGACGGTATGTCTCCCTGTGGTGCTGTATTGTCAAATTTACTGACAAGGATGTAGTATATGGCTGTATGTCAAGGGGCTATTGTCAGCAGTGTAGTATGTCTATCCCATATCAAAACATTGGACATAAACTAACATACGCAGCCGCCTGTCTTCAACGTATACGACCCACGCTTCGTCACGCCATATCCAGAGGTAAGTCCTCCACATCCCACCTTAAAAGCACTATGACTGACACATAGTATAGGGTTGGAAATTCCTCATCGAATCCCAACAAACAATCCTCGAAGCAACAACCTTCGTGCACGACCTTGACCAAGCAGCAAAGAACCCCTACAACACATCCTGGATCTCGCAACGAATGCAAGAACTCGACAGCCAGATTACCTCCATACTCCTTCTTTGCAAAGCGTCGTCGTCATCGTCGATGCCGCAGACGCCTGTCGTGGGGTTGGATTCGCCCGAGGTAGCAGCATCAAAGGCTATGGGGTATATAGCAGAGATCAAACTGCAGAGGTACGTCACTTTCCTACAAGTATAGCAATGGAATGAAGTTAACGAGACCAGCGCGCGGATAAAAACCCACCGCTTCAACGCCTTCAAAGACATCCCCATCTTCCGCCGTCGCCACTGCGACCTCGAACCCGTGCGAGGATCAGCCTCAGCCTCAAACCCAGCACCAGCACCAGCACCAGCACCAGCACCAGCACCAGCAACAGCATCAATAACCCCCTCCTGCTGCCGCATGACCATCCCGCCCATCTCCTCAATCCCATCCCCTGAGAACTCAACCTCAAACTCAACCTCCTCTTCCACCTCTATACCATCGATCAAATTCCCCTTCTCCTCGCACGCTTCGTCAAAGATCTGCCTCCACGCTGCACTAAGCATCGTCACATTATTAGATAACCTGCCCTACCCGAATCCCACTAACGAGATTCCATGGACGATACCACCGTATCTATCATGGAACTCGCGCGTCGAGATACCACGCACAATGCCGACGTTCGCATGCTGCGCTATGCAGTCTGGATATGCGTTGCTAATGCTATGTTTCAAGGCGAGGGCTTTCAACAGATATAATAGCAGCGGTGCCGTGGATGGTTCAAACACAAGTACAAGTAGCGGAAGTCCACCACTAAACGGATTCATGAACGAGTTACAGCAGAATCTGAGACTCGTGGTGAGGTGTTTGGGGAATTATTCGATTGCGTTTGAGGCGATGCAGGGGATGAGGGATGAGATTTTGGGGGCTGTGGAGAGGGGGTTTGGGGAGTTTGATTGATACCAGGTTTGTTGCTTTGCATCTGGGCGTTGGATAGCATTTGTTTGGGATTGAATGGACATCTCCACTGTATATATAGACATCGTACATGTTTCTTACGATTATCGTTGCAGCCAAATCAGTAAAGTACAAATATGTGCAGATCATCTATCCCATACCATTTTGAACATGTTTACCACGCTATGTTGAAAGCATTAATCTATATACAACCCCTACAAGTAAATTATTTCCCCAAAGCAGACTGAATACTCCCCCTCAACCCCCGGAATCCCTTCGCAATAGCATGCCGCCCATCGTACAATGGGAAAACAACAACACCCGCAAACGCAATAAACTGCCAGATAATTGCAACAGTAACCCAGCCTGCAAAGAACGGCTTGTTGAAGATCCAGTTGCGGTACAGCGGCAGTGGCCACAGCACCCATGTTAGCAGCAGGATGCTGATAAACGTGATCCATGCGATGCGGTACCAGCGGTGCAAGTGGCGGAGGGTTTCGGCGTCGAAGGGGGATGAGACGTTGTCGAGGTCTGTGGTGGGTGTTGTTGATGCTATGGGTTGTTTCTTGTCGTTTTCGGAGGACTCTCGTTCTGATTCGGTTTCGTTGGGTGATGAGGATGGAGGAGAAACGGATTGTTCGTTGAGTTCGATGCGGAGGAAATTGCGCCAGTCGAAGACGTAAGGTTTGTAGAACGAGATGAGGACAGAGTATAGCGCTGGAGAGAACAGCGCGGTTATAGCACCGTAAATAGCCGGCGCTTGCTCCTGCGTTGTATCCATGTTGAGGACGCCGTACATCGAATACGTCGCTCCTAGCCAGACTGCTATCCCGGAACCCATACCTAGAAGTGGAGCAACCACTGCGGCGAGCCGTGTCTGGCGGGACCAAGTCAGGGTAAAGATGAGCGGCATAATGCCAGGACATGTCAACATTGGGACAAAGTAATTAATCCAGTTCATGTTGGCACCGCCGTAGTTAAGCGCGAGGGAGAAGCCGGCGATGAAGACGCCGTGGAAGCACACGGCCAGATGGCTAACGCTAACCACTCGTTTATCGGTAGCTTTTGGACTGATGTATGTCTTGTACACGTCGAAGGAGAGAATACTGCTGACCGCAATCATCGACGAGGAAACAGTACTAGTCAGGGCCATGAACATCAACAGGAAAAAGCCCACCACACCGCCACTGCCCAGTAGAGCTTTGATGGTGTAGGGCATCACGAAGCCAGTGAGTACTTGGTCTTGCGTAAACGGATTGGGATAGGTCGGGAAGACGGGAAGAGTATGAATGACGCGGCAGGATAGGCCGATAACGGTGCCTAGGGCCCAGGGGACGCCGAAGATGCACAGTGCTGCCAAGTTATATCCGGGGACTGTAGCCTTGACTTCAGTTGCAAAGGACTTTTGCCAGAATGCGGTGTCCTGCGAGGATTAGCAACTAGTGAGTAGGAAAGTAAGAAAAAGGGGCATACCATGACGACAAGAGCAAGATTTCCGAATGCCAGATCAAGACCGAACATGATACCACCCTTGGATTTCATCGTCAACAGCGAGCCAGCATAATTGCCGCTCACGCGATCTTCAAGAGCCATCACTTTGTCGTAAAGTCCGTATAGTCCGCCAATCTGTTCATGAACAAGGACACCAAAGGTAAACCAGAGGATCAGGACAAGCGCGATAGCCGTGTGGAAGAAGTCTGTCAGGAAGGTGGCTTTCAGACCTCCAACGGCCGTATATAGCACCACTATTCAATTAGCTTCCGTTCGATTCTTTCTGATTTGGTGAATGGCGCTAACCTCCCAATGGCACGAGAATGGTTGCCGCCGCAAAGTGCATTCCCGAAATGCCATGGATCAATTGCGAGCCGGTCAGGATCATGCTGGAGCATCCAAAAATGTTCTGAATCAGGTTCAAGCATATAAAAGCAATATGCCCTATATGACCGTACCGCATGCGTACGATTTCGAGCGAAGTGTGTGCGTAGGGTACACGGATCTTGGACAGAACGCCCATTACGGCCATCAGGGCGATTTGGAAGCAGAGGGCTGATCCATACCACTATACGATCATCAGCATATGCTATACTTATGAGTCTCGGAGAAAGAAAGTACCATTGGGGCAGAAAGGCCAAACCGATAGCAATTGAGAGCCGAATTTACGGTCTCGTTAATCCACATCCACGACGAAAACACCGCCGACGCCGTTAAACCAGTTCCCACTGTACGATTGGCGACCATGAACATCTCTGATTTGCCCGAATCTTCCTCAAGGTAGACCTTTTGTAATTTGACCGCGATCAAGATAACAGCGCAGAAGAGCACGGCGAGGCCGATGAGTAGGCCATACGCTGTGCCCTGCGGTATGAGTATGACATTGCCGTAGTCGACCGCACCCATATTGACGATTTTTGCATAAAATTCCCCGGCGACATTTTAATGAGAGATGCGATCGCGGGTACTTTATCGATTTTGGCAGCTGCTCGCGCATGGCGGTGGGGGAATGGCGTTATGACAGGCGGTTTCGTCCAGGGCGATGGCGTGCAAATAGGGCCCGATTGCAATGAGATAAGCATTCCTGCCCACCAAAATAGTACAATTGAAGCATTTTTGGGCGGTTATATGCGATGCATGGCATTTACCAATCACTGCTGTCGTAACAACCTGTTTATTACATTCAATTGGGCAGCGCTCATTTCCAACTGATGTACTGTATCGGTGCAGTCCCCGTCACCACGCCGCGGTAAATGGGGTATGGAGAGTATTAGCGACGCGTTGTTCAACGAAGGCGACCATAAAAACTGATTCAAAAAAAAAAAAGGCCCGGCGCAGTCAAGCTGGATCGTGCTGAAGCATTATGACCTCTGAATGGCACAAAAGAATAGTATTGTGAGTGGCATCTCGTCAAGTCCTCTCATTCGTCGCGACCCTGATTGCAACAGATTATCCCTGTCAGTGCTTTTTCTCCGACACGTGCGCCAGGATCTAGACTTGCGTGTGTCAAATTGCCACATCAAGGCACCATGGTTATGGAGTTTAGCGCTTCCAAATCGAGTACTTCTCGACGAACACGGGCGGAAGTCCGGTATGAGGTGCGAGTCCACTGCGAAGGCCATTCTCCCAACGCCTTAGACTGTCGGACAGTCTCCAATACCTGTGCGCTCTCGACATATCCGGCAATCTCGTCTATATCACTGTGTTGGCTGAAAAGCAAAGGAGAACTAGGCCGATCCCGTCGCAGGCCCGGGCTTTCTCAGTCGCCACAGCTCTTGAAGTGCTTTTCATACTTGTCGCTCCAGCAATAAACCATCACGTCTGAGCATTGTCTCTACTATCGACACCAGGGTGAAAATGCGACTGAGGGAGCGTGGTGGGTGGCCGTCGCGACGACCTTGAGAGTTGCTTCGTCTAGCGTTGGGTTTGTGAGTCTTCTAAAGTGTAGTTTTTCTCGTCAGCTAATCGTCCTAAAGCAGATTATAGTCGAGAACTGATTAATACCTGATATCTGTGTCCAGCAAGGCGGTGGTGGTCATTACGTTGAAGAACGATGGTCAGAAGAAGCCGGTTCAGTCATGTGATTAGGGTCACCTGCTTCCTTCCTAAAGTGAATAACATATCGCTCAATAACACGAGTCTCTGCTTATTAAACATACGATGAATATCTGCTTCGCTACTTCGCCAGTCACTGTCCGCTGAAGCAACACAACACATATGACGTCTCTGGCCATCCCCCAGCAAGATCCCTCTTGAACCCTGCTTTCTTGTGCTACTGATGCCGTTGAATGTATCACTACCCCGCGTTATGATTCTCGGTTCACTGTGATATATACCCATTGATTCTGCCTGTTGGTATTCCCAGAATCTTAAACTTGATCTCCATCAGAGAACTGCGATCCTGCCTCCTAAACACGACCAAACACAAAACAGCAACTCATAGCAGCAAGATATTCAAGATGGTCATTGCACAGACTACTCAAGGCATCTCCTCTACAGGCCGCTGGGTTATACAAAACCGGAATAAGTGGTCTGCTCCTCTGGGTACGAGAAACCTCTCGCTTCCTTCCCGGCTCTCCTCTTTACGTGTTTTTCACCGGTCCTCGAAAGCTAACAGACGACAGACAAAGCAAAGCGCAAAACCGCCCTCCTCCGTCGCTCTCTCATAGCTCATCAGCCTGTTTGGTTTGCGGGTGGAGGTGCGGCGTACACAACTGTGGGTGCGGTCTATTTGACGTTACGGTATTTGCGGCGGATTCGGTGATGGTTTACGACGGATGAATAGGGAGGGTAACTTGGGAGGAATACTTGTCCACCGGAAGGGGGTACAATCACACTTGGGATCAGTTGATATGGCATGGGCGATATCAGAATTAGGGTCTGCGGAGATGGTCTCGTGTACATAGTGCCTACTGCGGAGAACTGGTGAAACCAAATGACACCACTCGTGGAACAGTTGCACTACTATGCCATGATGTGACCTACATCGTGCCATATTCTGAGGAAGACAGGCTGTTGTTACGCAGAATCAAGATGTTGGAAATACCCGGGTTTCGGTACCCTATAAAGCTGGTTCCATTTGCCTTTCAGAGCACAAGGTATGGTCGACTTGAGACATTGAATGATTGCACCCCCCGAAGCCACAAGACACACAAGACAACATCTACTAAGCGATATTTTGAGCCCCTAGGCCGAAAGTAGAGCCAGGATCCTCTTATGCATCACCCAGCAGCTCCACGACTCCAGACATGGGTCACAATCCGCACCAAACACCACTGCATATCGAATTGCTAGTTTGTTGATAGGATAATCGATATGAGATGCAAGTTGGAGGGAGCTGAACAAGAGAGTATTGAGTAGTCAACTGGGAGATGGATGAAGGCACCGTTGTCTATAGAACCTCTCTAGCCAATCAGATCGGATCCTTATCCACATAAAGAGAGCCAACCCTTTTTGAGGTATGCATTAGCATAATTACGACCGCGGCAGTGTGGATTTTCGAGAGGCTCTTCGCTACGCCAGGCACAGTTTGGTGGACCTTGTAGCATAAACGAGACGACTTGGATCGCGGGTAAACATGGAGCTAAGAATCGCTACGCGAATCGCACAATAACTACAATGCACAGAATGCAATCGCCAAAGGCGCAAGAGACAAGAATCCAAGAGTAAAACTCTGTATTACTATCGATTGAACTATCCACAACATCTATCGCGACTCGGTTGAGCTTTTTCCCTCCAACAACTCCGGGGACGACACGGGAGTCACTCCAAAAGACCGAAACTTCGCAGAGATTGACAAATCGTAAAAGGTCTGTACAAAAATTCGAATTAGCCATCAGCCAGACATGGATGTGAGGATGATTTGTAAATCGAGGTTTGAATAAGCAGCTCAGAGACCCGTCTTGAAATTGGCTCGTGGGTGAGTTTTCCGCATAGTAGATCGGTCCTATCATATAGCATCATGTGCTGCTTTGCGTGGTGTGTCGATGGTGTAGGTGGTGTAGGTGTTTGCAGGGATAACGACAATGAATAACATACCAATTGAGACGGGCTACGGAGCGTCCCTGTTGTGAATGCTAGTTAGTTAACTGGCAATTGTACCACAACTAGCATTGTTGTTGTAGAGAAGCCATCATGAAGGCTGTTGAGAGAAGAAGAAGAAAAGAAAAGGTTGTTCCTGATCGGAAGACTTTTTATAGGCCTGGTGGGGCAGGGTTTGCCCTGTTTGCAGTGTTTGATGATGACATAACCATTCTCGATTTCCTAATTGGGAGACATGTTCACGTGAGTTTCTACAGATGGACGACTCCGACTTCTTTCTATACTCTTTCTAAGCGATGATATCCAACATTCACATCATAACTGCTTTCTTGTCTATCATCCTAACCGAACTGGGATCGCCATGTTCGGCCCTACTAGCGTCCGCTTGTCAAATACGAGGAACCAATCCCAGCGATGCTCCTATTCCTACAAGGGTAATAATAGGCTGGTTTGTATGCAAGCCACGTTATACGGAAGACAATCTCGTATCAGTCCATTACAATGAGGGGCGGTCAGGAGCAGCCTGAAAAATCCTTTCAGGGGAGAGTATCCTGCTTCCTTCGGTCTTCTATTGTGGACAACCGTCGTCATGAAGTTCTGTCCCAGCATCACGGCCTTGCTGTTTAGCATTCCTCTCCAAGCAGACAGCGGCGTAGGTGCTGCTGACTCGTGTGTACATATCTCGTATTCTGCTATGATAGAGGGGCAAAAATAACTCAATTCATCCAGTGTGCGGCTTTATCAGCCAGCTCCGCGGGCCATCAGGTCGTCTATCCTAACCAGGAACCTTTTGTCGAATCTGTCGAGTCCTACTGGTCTAGCAGTGTACGCCTGTCACCGGCCTGTATTATTCAACCGGAATCTGTCGAAGATGTGTCGGTGGCCGTGTCGACATTGGTCCAAGAGGGTGGCTCATTGTCGTCCTGCAAATTCGCGGTTCGTAGCGGTGGTCATACGGTTTGGACCGGAGCTGCGAACATCGAGGACGGTGTAACGATTGATTTGTCAAAGATGAATAGCACAACTCACCATCATGAGAATAAGACGGCATCCATCTATCCCGGGGCTAGATGGGGATCCGTGTACAAGACGCTGGAAAAGGATAACGTGACTGTGGCGGGTGGTCGTGGTGGACCTGTGGGTGTTGGAGGATTCTTGCTTGGAGGTGAGAGAGATACGCAACATTAATAAGATTCTCTGTTCTGAAAGTGGACAGGTGGAAATTCCTTTCATTCCGCAAGAGTCGGTTTCGCATGTGACAACGTCGTCAACTACCAAGTCGTCCTGGCCAGCGGTGCCATCATCGACGCCAACAGCAACACCAACCCAGACCTATTCAAAGCCCTGAAAGGCGGCACAATCAACTTCGGCATCGTGACCCGCTTCGACATGAAGACCATACCTTCCGAGGGCATCTGGGGCGGCGTCGTCACATATGACTGGTCAACTGCGTATGAACAAATCCCAGCCTTTGTGAACTTTACGGACAACATACACAAGGACCCATATGCGTCATTGATTACCATGTGGCAGTATGACTCGAAGACAGACACGAACTCAGTCACCAACGCTATGCACTATACTAAGCCTGTGGCTTATCCCGCGGCCTACGATGAGTTCAAGCAGTTTGCTAATACGTCGGATGGGACTCGAATCGATAGCCAATACACTCTTGTGACAGAATTGTCTCAGGAAGGAGATTCTCGGTATGTTGCCCAATGGTAACTGATTTAATCCGAACTAATAAGATTGCAGCAACGTCTTTGTTACCGGCACACATGTCAACAACGCCCAAGTTATCCACAAAGCTGCAGAACTACACAAACAAGTCATCGAAGAGGCCAAGAAACACGCAAAAAGCAAATCATGGAACATAGTGACAATGATCCAGCCATGGTCCAAGTTGTTCACTGAGCGTGGCTCCGGAATGGGTGGGAACGTCCTGGGTTTGGAGCGTTTCGATGAGGATCTAATCCGTACGTTGTCTACACCTCCCCCTCCCCCAAAGTGACACCGCTAACTATGACTAGAAACTCTTTATGACTACTGGTGGGATGATAAAGCAGACGACGAGCTCTTCCACCGTCTGGCAAGATCTATCCACCAGCAATTGGACGGATATGCGAAGATGATCAATGCGGATAACGAGTATGTCTACTTGAACTACGCCGACAAAACCCAGGATCCGTTGAAGGGGTATGGAGAAGAGAACGTGAAGTATATTCGGCGCGTGGCGGAGAAGTATGATCCTCATGGTGTCTTTCAGCACCAGGTGCCTGGGGGGTTCAAGGTCTCGAACGTGAACTGATTTATCAGTGACTGCGATGTGGGGATTTCATACCCATGTCTTATTCTATGTCCTTTCCCATCCCAGGGAGAAATTCATGATGCAGTCAGCATAAAAATGTCAATATATAAGCTATGTTTTGGACATATGTAGGTTGAGACAGCTACCATAGTATGTTCTATCCTAAATATGGGATTACCCGATTCGGACACCCCACAATATCAAATCAACCGCTCCGATATCCCGACATCCCCCAACAACAACCATGACCTCCAACACCAATCCAGACCTCGACACCAACCAAATAGACCCCAATGTAGCCTCCAGTAAGCCCGCAACCCCCTCCCAACCCCTAAAACCAAAACTAATAACAGACCTCCCCCCCGCCCACGCAATCACAACAACCCGCCACGGCACCAGCTACTGGGACACCACCAACACAACCCGCATAACCCTCACCCTCCCCGACAAAACCACAAAATTCTACTTCCTCAAAACCCTCAAAAATGACCTAGGCAAAAACATCCTCTGCGGCGAATATGCATCCATGCAGGAAATCCACCGCGTAGTCCCGGATTTCGCGCCGAGGCCGATCACCTGGGGGACTTATAAAAATGACTCCGAGACGCATTTCTTTCTCTGCGAGTATCGTGATATGATACTGGCTAGGGATGAGATGCCTGATCCAGGAGTGTTTACGGGGAGATTGGCGGCGTTGCATCAGAGCCAGAGTCGGAGTCCGGAGGGGAAGTTTGGGTTCCATGTTCCTACGTATAGTGGGTATTTACCGCAGTATACAGGGTGGGAGGGGAGTTGGGAGGTGTTCTTTTCGAAGAGTTTGCGTGTTGCGATGGATTTGGAGATTAAGGCGAAGGGGTATGATGCTGAGTTTGATGTGCTTGTGCCGGTTATTTTCGAGAAGATTGTTCCGAAGTTGTTACGGCCGTTGGAGAGTGAGGGACGAAGCGTGAAACCGGCGCTGGTACATGGGGATCTGTGGTATGGGAATTCGGGGACGGATAGGGTATCCGGGGAATGTCTGGTTTTCGATGCGTGTTGTTTTTACGCGCATCATGAGTGTGCGCCACCCTACCCCTGTGGTATTTGGACGATGGCTAATAAACCGTGGTAGATGAATTCGGGCAATGGATGCCGGCTTGTAATCGGTTTGGAGAGGAGTATCGTGCGGCGTATCGGGGGTTTGTGAAGCCTTCGCCGCCGGAGGAGGATTATCCTGGGCGGTTGGATTTGTATAAGCTGTGAGTGTTATTTTTTTGTTTGGTGGGAGATGTGCTAATAGAGTAGACGGTTTAATACCCATGTTTCTGCGCTTTTTACGAATGATGCATCGTTGAGGAAACAGTACGTCTCTTCCCTTCTTGTTGAAGTCTACTAACTTGCGTAGGATGATAAACGACATGAAAGACCTCGTCAGCCGATATGGCTAGACCACACACATTTCAATCTATAGATACATTGACTAGAAAATAAAAATTAAACAACAACCCCATGCGTAAAATCAACCACCTGAACTTTCTGCACCAACTCAACCACACCCTTCACAAACGCCAAGTGCGAAGGGTCCTTGTGGCAATAATACTCCCTGTCAGCGTCATTCTCGAATTCAACTACAAAGGCGTGCGTGATGCCGTTCTTCTCCAGTTAGCAAACATCATCGATAGTGAGGTAGAATGAAGGAAGGATGGGGTGGGTACCTGAATTCCCTCAATCGAGTTATCCTTCCCGCCCGTAACAGACTTGAGATAGGGCTTCTGGGTCTCGGGATGGAGGCATGTGCGTTCCAATGCGAGCATTCGTTGGCAGTTCTGGCGTTGTCAGTAATGTGGAGTTGATATGCGGCGGGGAGGGGAGCGTACATCTTTTACCACGTCCGGGGAGACGTCGGATTTGAATTGGAATTGGACGATGTGTGTGATTCCCATTGTGCAGTGTGTATTTTTACAGGTATATGGTGTTGGTTTAGAGTGTCCTTTGGTAGAGATATGAAGTCAAATAACAGCTGCGGGGACGGCGGGGTATGTATGCAGAGAGAACGATTGCCAACGAATGGGTTAAGAGCATATACAGCAGATAAAAAGGTTATACCCCGACTTTTGACATCAATTGAAGATACTCTTGAGCTGTTTTAACCGGCGAAGTTTTGCCGGATACCTCAACCTTCCTAATTCAGCGACCCCGCAGTCACATGATTTATAACATCATTTTCGACTCTTTCTTCGCTCTATTAACTCAACCTCCGATTCTGCAAATGTCTCTATACAAAGAAATTGCACCAGCTGCAATCTTTGTTTCTATTCTAGACACTAGAGATGCACAGCTCAGACCCCCACTGAGGTGACTTTTGGCCTACCCTCCCGAGATCATGGTCAAGCCCACTCAAGCGTTTCGCATTTGACCTCGAAAACCCCGGTCTAGAATCTTCAATGGCTGATCCTCGTATATAAAAAACCACAGTTAGCGCCGGGATGGTGATCGTCGAACCCAAAAGGGTAAGAATTAAGCGCTGGGATAGGGTATACCATAGCGTTCGAGTATCCACCGGGTGTACTTTTGTCGTTTTATACAATGGACGAAAGCGAGAAGGGAAGCATAAATAGAGGAGGATTGAGGCAGGATGGGGGATTGACAACCCGGCATTTCGGAGAACAGAATATCTTCTCTACTGTCATTTTTTCATCCACTATGGCACTCCAATCTCTCGTTCCGAATCGGCATCATAAGGCCTTTACAAAGCCTACTAAGGCTCCCGCTTCCCCTGAGCTAGGCATTGGTGTCACCAACAATGGATTTGGTGACAATAACTTCTTGCACATTGGCAATGTTATCTCTCTTGGTTAGTACAGTCGACCCTTGCAAAACGACCAAGTCTAACGTGTCTGCCATACAGGAGGAGGCTGCTTAATTGACCTTCGATTGACGGACCCCCGCCTTGACATGATACGTCTCTTGGACACTAAGGGAGATGTCATGGTCAGGTCATGCAGCTGGGCATTGAAGACCCCCGAGTTTGCCTCGTGGAACAGCGGCCACCAACACGATCTGCTCTGGATAAACGGCGGTCCTGGAAAAGGAAAGACAATGCTTACTATGGGGATCATCGAGATGTTGGTCCCGCAATCCAAGGCTGGTTCTTCGCGAGCCGTGGCATACTTCTTTTGCCAACGTACCGATCCGCGGTTAAGAAGCGGGACTTCTGTCCTGCGAGGCTTGCTCTATCGCCTCGTGATGGAGTGTCCTGCAATAGTCAAGCGCATTCAGGGCAGATGGGATGCCGCTGGCCGTGCGTTGTTCGAGGATATCAACTCTTTCTACGCTCTGTCAGAAATCATTCACGAGGTTGACCAAGACTCGTCGCTTCCTGGGATTACCTTCATCATTGATGCGCTGGACGAATGCGAAGACGGGCTCCCGCAACTTCTTGACCTGATTGTCTCCATGGCGGCGTCATCTCGCATCAAGTGGCTGGTTTCCAGCCGCGCCCATCCGGAAATCGAAAACAGACTCAAACAAGCAAAAGGATCGAGTCTCGACCTTGAAATCAATGCAAAGCAGGTTGCCAGTGCCGCCGACAACTACATCGAGGAGAAAGCCGCGGCACTCGCCAGAGCAAAGAAGTATGACGAGAATCTCTATCTCACGGTACTCAAGCACCTAAAAACCAGAGCAGAAGGGTCCTTCCTTTGGGTATCACACCTTTGCGACACATTGGAGAAAGCACCGCGCCGCAAAACGATCTCCATTCTCGAGATATTCCCGACCAGCCTGCAAACTGCATACCACCAAGGATGGACACAAATGCAACACATGAACGACGGAGAAGATCTGAAACTATGCATCCGTATTCTGGGCTCTATGGTCGCCTCCCGCCAGCCACTACGGCTAGCCGATGTTGCTTCGCTCGCTAGACTCCCGGCGGGATTTGCGAAGGATACGGAGTCAACCAAGGAACTGGTCCAATTGTGTGGTTCGTTCTTGATTATTCGGGGTGATGTTGTTGATTTTGTTCATAGCTCTGCTAGAAGCTATCTCGGTGGTATCCCTGAGTTCCAGAATTGTGGCGCGTCGAAGAGACCGGGTTTTCTATGAGAGGAACTGATCACTGTCTGTACTGGCTTTGCTTTTCGGGGAGTTTGGTGTTTGACGGGGCTTCAGGGTTTTTGAAGTATTCTTATGGGGGTCTACTAGGGCTATTAATACCAGAAATTTTCAATCTCAGCTCAGATTCATCTACTTTCATGTTCAAAATGCTCGTAGCTGTGAGCGACAGTGGATAATGCGTAGACTCCGATCAATTACTTGCGTTGTTGCGAATGTCAAAGGTCACCTGATATCGAGTGTCGCTCCTTCCCTTTCCATCACAACCACCTTCCGTCGACCGCACCCCTCCAATTCCTTCCTGCTCTAGCTATGCTACTAACCTGATACCCTCCTCTTGACTTTCGGAGCAACGTTCTTCGACAAGTCTTCGAGTTCGAACCAATTTGTTCACCATGGCTACCTTTCTCGTGACCGATCCCCGATCCGACCGTGAACGCCTGAGAGCTACCAAAGAACATTCCGTGACTGGCTCGTGCATCTGGCTGTTCGGAACCGATGACTATCTTTCGTGGAAGGATGCTGGTCCCCAAACACTGTGGATCAACGGTGGCGCTGGAATTTTAAGCCTCTGCCTTCGAGCACATTGGCATACTTCTTCTGTGACCGCAATGTCCCACGATTGAGGATTGCGACGCCTGTTTTACGTGGTTTGTTCTTCAATCTCACGGCGCACGGAAGACATCAATTCTCTGGCACGATGAATGGCATGCTTCAACATACCCGTGGCTTTGCGGATCACTTTCGCTGTCGATGGCTTGGACGAGTGTGAAGAAGGACTACCGCAGCTTTTGGACTTCATTGGACATACAGTGACCTGATTCGGAGTCAAGCAGTTAATCTCCAACCAGCTTCGCTTGGATGTCAAGGACCGGCTGACGCGAGCGGGAAGACTGTGGGATCTCAGCCTTGAACACAACGCCAAATTTGTGTCCCTATAGTTGAGCTCTATATCGATACAACCGTCAAGGCGATCGCTGAGGCTAAGCGGCTCGACAAGAAGACTACCAGCTCGATCATTCGGTATCTGAAGTCTGGAGCAAACGGGACCTTCCTTTGGGTGTCACATGTCTGCAAAGCTCTCGAAAACGCCCCCCCCCCCCCCCCCGCTACAAGGTAGCGTCAATTTCCAATACCCTTCCTGATGGATTGCGAGCTACTTACCGGCACATGATGGATCAAGTGGACAAGAATGATGAAGAAACCATGGAACTGTGTAAGCGCATTCTGAACGGGATGAGTGCTACTGCTCTACCAGTGCGACTGGACCAGGTTGGTCATCTTGCAATGCTTCCTGACGAGATTGCAAACGACATAGAGTCGGTCAAGGACCTGGTCTATCGATGCGGCAACTTCCTGGTTATCTCGGACGAGAATGTCAGCCTTGTCCATCGCTCTTCTGTTAAGCAGTATTGTTTGAGTGATGACGGCGTGAGATTCGGTAGATTGGATTTGGTGGACAAGGAATCACTTTAAATTATTGAGAAGGGAGGCGAAGAAGAAAAGTTGCTTGATTACTGACGCCCTGTTATTCCTGTTCTGTACGTTACCCTTTGTCTCGTTTCGGATACGAAGCTGCAACCGCGACATCTCATGCAATGGGCCGTGTCATTCACCGGTATTAGTTAGAAGCAGCTAGAAAATCCATTCTTTCGCTTTATCTTCTTTAACTCCCTGGAGATATTTCGTACCCGCCATCTCCTACAATTTTTCTCTTCTACATCCATATATAGTCTCCCCGTTATATATACGAAGAAGTCCTGACTGACTTTATCATTCGCGTATAAAGCGCCATAAGTAAGTTTTTCACCTAAAATAGTGGTGGAAAGTCTACGAATAAACCCTTCCTCAACTAAGCATATAGCAAATGTTGACTTCTACATTTAGACCAGTATCTTAATACTCCACCGGAAGCATTAAGTCCCCTTATATTCTATATTCACTTACGACACTGCGATGAGAGTCCTTTCTGTATTCGACACCACTTCGGTACAGATTTGCTTGCATCGGTTCAGTACAAGGACATATGCAATTTAGCCCGTGTAATGTCCTCCTTGAGCAGACGATACGTTCTTGGTGTCCTCAACTTGTTCAACCAGAGAGAGTTGGTAGTAACATGTTTTCGAGTGTTACCTGACCGGTAGCATGATTTTCGCGATAACGAAGGGCATTAGCATCACACATGGTGTTTTCTCTAGGCAACACCACAAATCAACAAAAAGCATTGTCGGCAACATTCAACCTCTATCTCTACCTCTTTACAACAAAACGAACACTGTCTGGCGGCAGATTTCTGCAAAAACTGCGAGAATCAAGCAGCCGTCGCGGAACGTGGTTTTGACTACCAAGGGTATATCAACTGGTGTCTCTTTCGGTTTGAAGAAGGGGCAACGAGCCCGCAGGCCAGTGGGAAGGCGTCTGTCCCTGCGAAAAACGACGGGAGCCTCTACTTACTGCGTGGAGGGAGAGGTTTTGGTTCAGACTACGATCTTGTGCCGGTGGTCTCCTTTGAGGTAACTGGTTTCTGCTATCAAGCAACACTCTTAGTCCACTGCTCACAAGTGTTACTAGGCGAAGCGGCGATATGGTGCGGGTATCTACCTAAAGAGGAACGGCATTGCACCATTGTCCTCGGCCAAGAAGTGTCAGAGATGCTTCCAAGGACAAGCGATGACGAACAACAAGGAGCAGTACACAAGGATGAATAGTTGGACCGAGAGTCGTTTGGAATAGCATCAATGGGACGCGATTTATTACAACTGCTGCACACTTTACCCATGTCTGTCACCGAGCCTAAACTGTTCCTATATGCGAGAGATAGTACGGGTATATACCCCTTGTCCGTTCTATGGAGACCTTGCTGACATTGTTCAAGCTCGTAATGCGACGAATCTGATAGCTCAGCAAATGGTCCTATCACTTTTGTATAATGGCACGTAGTGTGCAATCACCGCTGTGCCGTCACCTCACGTGCCTCGAGCGCCTTTTCTTATCATGGGCTTTTACGGGAAAGATTCCTAAACACTGTCCATTTCGCTCAACATATATAAAGCGCCAATACGCTTTCGTCGACATGAATATGTCAACAATAACAGCGCGCAGAGGTGCTGTTCTTGAGGTTGGAAAGGGCCCAGATTTCCGCATTACCAACGTGGAGAGACTTTACCGTCTTTCAGTCAAAAAACCAATCGCGAGATGGTTGCCATTATGCGGCTGGTGTGATTATAGCCATAGAAGAGTACCCGGCTCAATCTACTGGTTGTGTCTGGCGTGCCAGATGTTATTGTCGAAAGAGCGAGGATTCAGAAAAATCGTGGGCGATATGAAGGATTTCTGGTAGCCTTGGCTTGCTGACAGGCAAGCTAACCAACCTGACAAATTGGTAGTGGCTTTGGGGAACGACGAGTTCATGGCAGCAAAACTCGGTATGTGACTATCGAATCCAATCATATAAGTGTCCTGCTTTGATCTGAAGTAACTAACTCTTTTAGGCCAGCTAGCAAGTATTTTCTATGTAGTTTGTTGCACGAGTTGGCCATGACCGATCTCCCTCAAACATAAGGATGAAGGTCCGAAGGGTAGACACAACACTACCATCGACAATCAGACAGTCTTCCTCCAACAGGACTCGACTAGTGGCGCACAGAGCTTTCAAGACACTGCCAATGACAAGGTACATGAAGCGATTTTGGACAGTGTTTGAGTTTGATCTGAGGCTGACTAGTGGTAACAGACTATGTACACGATACCGACACGAACGGATCATTTCTATGATTATTACCTTTTAACCATGACACTAGATACGATATGAGAGCTAGAACTCAGGTAAAGTAGCGGAACGATGCCGATAGATATTGGTCCCCAGACCCAGCTACATTACGGTAAACATGCTTTATCCATCTACAATCCGTGACATTATACCGGCGTGTGTAATGACGCTATCTCAAACAGAGTGGACCAAGCACCGTGACGAAAGGAAATCGGATCCTTAAATGCCCTCGCTGCTCCAAGCACTGGTTCAATATCAAACTCAAACGCCATAGTATGTAACATGCTGGATTTGCTAGCACTGTTATAGACGAAAAGAATCCGATATTCCACGAGCATGTTTTCGTTGGAGTCTGACAAATTCGTGGACATAGTTTTCAGTACAAGGGCTATGTATTAAGCCAGTCACTGCAATATCACTACAGACATTGCTAGAGCCAGATTGGCAGTATATCGTCTGGCTATCAGTCAATGAGCCGACAACACATCACCTACTACAGCTGATATATACGACGCGAGTAAGAATCTGCTTCCTTTGAAAATGCGGACGAACATAATCGCTAATATGGCTAGTATCTAGAACTAGAAGCCTAGTTTGATGTCTGGACGAACTATCAAGCTATTTCTCAAGGTCATTCGAGAAACTTGGATTACGGCTTAAATGTGGCTTGGTCCGAGAAAGGCCTTGATACACACCACTAGAGCCATTACCATCTTACAGCTAGTGACAGCACTTGGCATATGCATTATCGCGTCAGTGAAGTGAAGGACGCTATAGATATTGAATGTCCGACACCGAGCCGAACTCCGAACATCGATTTGACGGCGCTACAACGTACCTGCGCTGTTTGTACTAAGCTCCACGTGGGCGTGGTTTTGCGAAGACACCACAATCACAATTAGGAGGCAAATGTGTATAGGTTACGAACGCCTTAAAGCTAACGCGTCATTATATGGTTGACGTGTTGTGATACCCAAACTCGGAGACAGTTTCAACATCGCATTATTCGGGGCTGTATACAACAAGCATTCAAAGCGTAACAAGGCGATATAGGAATCCTCACGAGCCATCATTGGTGATAGGGCGGGATAGATATATACCCTGCATTTATCCTAGGCATCTTTCCTACAAAGACATCAAGCGCCATGGGTGCTTCTGCACTTCAGATGATGAATCGCAATCGACTCTAAAAAGAAGCGGTCCTCTCTTATTTATGTCACATGGAGAATGTGAGCGACGCATTTCTATCTTGCCTCAGATAATTCAGTCACGGTACTCCGTACGCGTCACTGCAACTGACAGACACCAGCGGAGTCCCCAAACGCTGCAATGCAGTATGTTATTCTATAGAACTTCCTCGCAAATCCGACGCAGTTGTCCTTTCGAATCTACCTTCTCTGAAAGCTGATCGAAGAGAATGACATGGCAAGCATACGCTGTTCGCCCCCCGGCGAGCCAAAACAAGGCCCTTGTAATGAGCTTTCACTAACTGGAACTCTCCAACCCATGTTCCAAAACTCGAAGTTGTCGCTCCATTATGCTTTGGAGTATATAGAAGAATTTGGTCCATATATCGGGGTCAAAATGAGCTTCTATAAATACAATTCTGAGCAAGATCTATGGTCGATTGAGAGAATATGGTTATTTGATGCCACCACAGAGAAGATACGTCGTTGCCTTGTTGTGGGATTTGGGTAACAACTCTGCCCAGGTGATACTTGCCTAGACCGACGAAGAATATATGAAAAGCCAGATGCTCTGACCAACTGGACGACGACTGCCTGCGGAACACATGTCCAGTCTCCTTACTTCAAGCGAGAAGCATGTTCTCCAATGTCTTCGCACGTCTGGTTGTTGACCACACCGGATCTATATGCGGGAAGCATACCAGATAAGGGCTATATGACTCTACCCGGTCATCGTTCAATGGATTTCTTTCTTTCCTTGCAATCCTCGTTCATCACAGGAACTTGAAAGTCGGAGTTGGAAGACGAACCCGCACGCAACTGAAGACGTCCCTAAGCAACAATTTCATTGTACCAAAGACGCCATGACAATAATTGACCCCAGGGATCCGATGCGTCCTTGGAATAGCTCAATCTATGAGTAGCCTTTGCGGCACATAACATAGAAAGCAAAGAGCCGGATGCTTGCACCACGGGCCCTGGAAAAACCACAGTTACTCGCATACTATCTGCAGTTGATTTGCGTTAGGACGATCTAATGCGTAACCTTGCTAACTATGAGAAAGCCGCAAACTGCACGCCCAGTGACTGCATTAGCGTTATCCACGGGGAAAAAGAGAGGATATTTGACATCGGTATTGTTCTGGATTATCGACTCTCATATAAGGCGGCATAGTCGTTATTTGTGCTTTATTCTCCGGGCACTGATGATCCTCTTAGCTATAGGCTTATCATACTTGGTCGGTTTACTGCGGCTTTTTCTCTCTTTGCTTCGATCGATTAAGTCTTTCTTTTCTTGTCACGCATACGCAGTCACTAGGAACGGATAGAGTGTTTTCTGCTGGTTCTTCATTTATATCCTAAAATGTAACTGTTGATTACCCTCGATATACTACAAGAGTAATCTTCTTATCAATAGATACGTTCTGATCCAATCTTCACCTTCTCCAACGAAATAACTATAGAAAACCAATGCTACCCACTAATAGCTGCTTGAGACAATATGCTTTGCGTCGAGTAGTAGATCCGCTCAGACAAAGGCCAAGGGCCCAATAAGTTTCACTAAAATCAACTCACGAAGTCCCTAATAATTCACCCGATTGTTATATGTGAAGAATTAGAGTCGTATTCGTCTTGATCGATCGGCGTGAGGTCATCCGAAATCTGAGGATCGAGGGTATGAGCGTACTGGCTAAAGCGGCACGGTTTGCCACCCTTGCACCCAGGCTTCTGACACATATGACCGTGATAGCATTTGCTAAGCCGGCAATCAGACCCATTCGGACACACATTCTGCCGCATAATATACCGCATGACCTCAATCAGACTGTCATCGACGTGACTGTGGTCGAATTGACAGTTCAGGTTGCTGCATTCGCCGCCCAGGTGGTACTGGTTGCAGAGCTTGTGTTGTTTGGCTCGACGGGCGTATGCGTTCCATTCTTCGTTTGTTGGTTGTGAGATGACAGTGTCGATGCGATCTCCGTTTCTGTTGACGTGGACTAGGGGTCCCCCGTCCTTAATCGAAGGAGATCGGAGTATTTTCGCATAATGCTTCATTTCTCGCACGGTGCTATGAGCGTCCGACTTATTGTCTTGGGGTTTAGAGATTTCGTGTTGTTGTGGTGTTATGTGTTGCCTAGCACAGTCGTTGCCGTATTTACAAATACCCTAAAGCCATTTAGTACTTGAATGAAAAGGACAACTCGTATATAAGTGGCAAGGCAAGTACCTTTTGGAAGAACCAGCAGACCGCCGATTTAGGTACCGCCGATTTAGATGTAATCGGTTCAGGGCTGCTGCCAAGCGGACTCGACATGAAAACAGAGGATATTTCAGAGATAGGTAGTCCCAAAGTTCTGAATTCAGGATGGAACGATGGTCCCTTAAGTAGGGTGATACGATCCGCCATACCTCGGTAGGGCATCAAGAATGAGAGATAGCCAACATCATGACAACCCGCGAAGAAGATATGTTTGCACTGATTAATATCAGAGAATAGGCGGAACATTTCTATCCATGTTAGTCAAGCCCAGCCAAATATGGAGAACCGACTATACCTCTAATCTTATGATCCGCTCCTTCTTTCTTATCACCCGCATCGATAAAATCCGCCAAATCCTGCGAGCGAGTAAAACTAGACGCAAATACTGCAAGCGAACGAGCCTCGTGTCCAACAAGCCCAGCGCGAGCCAGAGCCTTGGATAAACCCAAGAGATTGGCGTAGATGCGTATCATAACACGGCACTGCTCAGCTTGGTCCCCGAGCCGGTCATGAAGTAGTTCTTTGATACTGTCAGTCATACGCCGTGCAGCTGTTATTCCACCTTCATTGCGGCTTCTGACAAGGTCTTCTTGGAACTGCTGCCGTCAGCCACGACACCTCTCGTCGCTTATCAAAGATATACGCACCGGATATCCATCACCATCCACCAGCACCAGGACAAAGGGATTCCGTTCCTGCCCCCTAGCCATCTTCTTATACTTCTCCCGCGCCTCTTTCTCCTCTTCATAATCGCTCTTCAACAGGTTATAGCTCTCCAGCAACGAATTGAAATTCCCCAAGAGATTACTCAGATTCTCATGATGCTGCTGATTCTCCCGATCAACAGCATGTAACTGGCCAGCCAGTTTCTGGATATCATGGTCCCTGAGCATCGTTGATGGCAATCAGATGTGAGGCGCTATGCGGGGAATCTCTCTCTGTCTCATGGGGGAAAAGAACGATCTTCTATCGACCCATTCGCATACGTTTTATCACACGTTTTATCACAGGGTATAGGCCCCGTCTAGGAGACGGAGAAGAAGGTTTAAGAAGACAATCTATGCCAATTCGGCATTGTAGCCAGTGAATAGAGGTTCTTTTGGTTGTTTGTGTTTTTGTTGCTGTGCAGTGAAGGATTTGCTGTGTAGGGAAGGCGGTGTGAGGAGGCCCCGCATCACGTGGTGTCAGATGACGGCCGACACGACCACCTTCCTAATTGGGACTCTATGCGACAACCCTATGAATGACCCTGAAGGAATGTAAGTCACTCATCCAACTTAAGCTTGCATTCATACCGTTAGCCTTGATGAGCTGATATTGTCTATTCTTATTTTATTTCGCTCTATGCAATGAAACGAGTGAATCTAGACAATGTCGTACAGGGCCAGACCATGTAGCGGCAAGTGTAATGGATGTGACTGAGATTTGAGATCAGTTGGAGACTGTGCCAGCTTCCCACAATGTAACATGAAACTACATACTTGCTTTAGCTCAGCTGAAAAGGATACCATTACAAGGTTGCACGGACATCAATCACATCCAAATTCATCCATCATCCATCTCATCTCGTCAATGCGCAAATAGCTTAACCGTCGTAGTCCGGGTAATTCATCAAGTATCACAAGCCAATTAAGAAGACTTCTTAGCACCCGAAACCCTCGACTTCAATCCCCCAGTCTCATGAACAACCAACTCATCCCTCTCCCACATCAACTCCACAGCAGCACCGACCGGACTCGCAACAACGGATAACAGTACCACCTTAATCAACAATCCCAGACCACCGGCCTTGCCTAGGATCGCGCGGTGCGCATTACGATGCAAACTCAGCGCCCAAAGCAGTACACCCGTAGACCCGATGGTATAGTCCCATCGGAGAAAGACGTGCACCCCGGCGCCAATGTCGGAAATCTGCAATGGAGGCTGAGCCCATGGCAGGGGAAGTTGGAAGACATTGGAAGGGTGGAGAGCATGCGCGAAGTCCTTGTTGAAGAATTGAGGCTCCAAGATCGTGAAAAGGGAGATGGTCCAGGGGATCAAGTGGTTGATGGCAGTGTTGGCGAATGCGATGGCGTAAACCTTCCGGAGGGAGCTGAGGGTTACACGGCCGCCGTCGACGGTCTTGTCGTTACTCACGAATGGCGAGAAGAGGATGTGCGCGACGGTGGTCAGGATAGAAATGTACAACGGCCAGGGTTGCCATGCTGCGATGATAATTTGCTTCACGTCCGTAGTGATCGTTTCCGAAAGAGGGGCAATTAGTAGCAGGCTAGAGACTAAGTAGCCGATGACGAAGACGTAGGGGATCACGTTCAGGACGGCACGAGGAGCGCGGATGCTCTCTGCATTCGGTCTGCTAGCAGTGCTGGAGAAAATAAGGTGCAGGCCGGCGTAGAGAGGTGCCGCAAAAGCAAAGGTCAAAGTCTGAGCGAGGATGCCGAAAATGAACGGGCTGTTCAGTTCGATGCAGGTCAGCTACTGTCCCCATTTCACTCTGCAAATGGGAGTCCACTTACAACGCAGCAATGGTCCAAGCATTGCCTTTCCTCCACGACTCGACTGTCAGAAGCATCCAAGCAGAGCCGAATGTTCCGGAAAATCCCAGAGAATGCAGCGTCAAGGTAGGCGTGCTTCCGTCGGTCATCGGCCAAAAGAAGACCGTCAACACTGTGAGCAACCGGTCAATGGGCTCGACACCCGTGTAAACAGTGCGAAGAGGATCATCGCGTCCGGGCAATGTCTTCGATATAACGGATTGCAGTGCCAAATCATGCGAACCGTTAATATGGGCAAAATAAAACACAGCGTATAGCGTCGAAACGCTGAGGAGGGGAAGCACGAGTTTCATCATCTTGTCGCCTTTATTCTTGAGAAAAGCTCTGTTCAGTCCGGGGATCCTAGGTTATTTATATGTCGGCTGGAAGTATTCCCCGGTTGACCCGAAATGGAAAGTCTTGCGACATATGCAGATGCGGCGGAACACTGGATGATCGCCTGTGTAGAACCGAGCGCGATCGCAATTACCGTGGAGACACCCTACGTTACTATAAAAAAAAGTGTTGAGTATTGTACAGAGTAATCACAGTCAAAAGTTGTTTTCACATTGCCATTGCCGAGGTTGAGACACCGATCTGACATTGCTGGTTACCGTCGGACGATTGTTCGGTAGATCTTTCTCGGAACCGGGGATAGAATAAAGTGTGTTTGTTGCTTTCCTGCCAGAGCGTTCAGAATAGCCTGCTGAACATATTGAATGCTGACTTTCACTGTCGCAGTACCGCACAGCCCCAATGTCCCGTGCAAAATCGTATTGCTCTACGTTGGTCACATCGATCACCTAGTGATACACGACTGCCTTCTTTCCATTGACGTCGCGATAATTGGCACCAAAGCTAAACTTTTCTTGTTCTTCATCACGGCGCACGCAAGTATAGAAGCGGTTATAGCAGCCAAGAAGCTGCAATGGTTGAAAGTCCTTGGGCGTCAGCATTGAGCCTCGATTGATCATAAAGATGTCCTTCGCGCAACAAAAGAGTCGGTCTCGCTCGTTGCCCTGACATTCACGACAGTCCGTGTCACCCTCCATATCTTGTGAAATAAGAAACAGCCTTTTCAGGTTAGGCATGACAGGCAGGACATGGTCTTTTGAGGTATCGATGAGAGGCTTTTGTGACCGAGATCAACAACTCTTGCAGCTGGGGTATATCGACGACGACTTCGGATAAGATATCAATAGCCTCTGTTGGAACCAATCCAGCGTACCCGCCCAGACGAAGCTTCTTCCAATTTGGCCCAATATCCCGCAGTGGGTAGGTGGTCCTTTCCTCTTGGTCATTAAAGTCAAGCGGGTTTCATGTTGTTTGAAAGTAGTTTTCGATCTCAAAGTTTGTCAGGCTTTCCCTCAGTCCCGGAAGCTTGATCAATACTTGCATATCTGGCGAGAAATCATCAATGCTCAAGTGACGGAGGTTTTTCGCGCGGTCACCTTTGGCTCTATCAAATCCGTGCCATTGAATGAATTATCAAGAATCAAGGTACGCAGACTCTCCAGTTCAGTCACTCGGGATAGATAGTCCCATCCGTAGCGCTCCGACATGCCATTGATTTTGTATGGCATTTCCGATCCTCCTAGATGCAAGTGGACCAATCGCAACAGAGGCAGATTGTGCTGCTGTCTCTGCTTGTCATATTCAATGGCTGTATAGATCAAACCTGGGGTCAGATCCTCACTCGAACCAAAATACAAGCGGGACAAGTGGAGAGAAGACAGCTCCGGCGAGGCCAGGAGTGTTTCAACCAAGCCGGTGAGAGGAGGCGTCACTTCACACGGCCACAAAGAGACCATGAAAACTAGGGAGTACCCAAGGAACGTAAGACATCGGCGCCGTCTCAATCGTCAATTCGCTAAGCGTCCCCAGTTGTACAAGTGCCTGCATCAGCTCCGTTCCCCCGGCACGGAGATCGTCACGGATAGAACCACCATACAAGAGTACAGGGATGGCTACTTCCCCTATGAGCGAGAGGATATTTCCGGTAAGCCCGTCGACAGATCATTAGCCACGAACGCGTATAGCCGGAGTGGGACAGATACCCAAATGAACGCAATGGATTTAATTTAGGTACGATCTTCATAATACTCGATGTCGCTACACCTGCAGCTACACGTGCACCCAAATATAGCCTGACGGTGGAGATCCCTAGGACCAGACGCTTTACGAACCGCAGATGAGAATTCTCCGGGAGGTTGCTGAGATTCACCAGGCTCCTCTCCGTTATGTTATCCAAGCAAATCTCGCGATACAGCACAGGTGTGAATATTTTCTGGAACCGTTTGGATACACGACACAGGGAAGCTTGAGTGGGCTTGTGAAAGATGTTTTCTCCAACGGGCACAAGCAATTCATCGGGGAAAGACTGTAGTGAAGGAGACGCGTGCCTGGACGGAGCCCGAGACTTCTTATTGCCGGCATCTTTCTGTCGATTGCCTGTACGCTTCCTCTTCATGTTAGAACGAGCCATGGAGTCGTAGCATTTGTAAATAGAGAGGAAAGAATGAAGAGCCTCAGGGGTTCAGACGGTGGATTTTGAATCAATGACTTTTAAAAGGCCTGGAGCCCTAAGTGGTCAATTCCTCTGGTGTTTAATTTGGCAGAGATAGAATAGCTGTGAGCCAGACTTAGAATGCGAGCTGTCGTCGATATGCAATGTGTTTTCATGTTGATACTGCACCGCCACGTCAAACTATATGCGCCACAGAAAGCCACATTACCTTGTACTATTCAACATCTGTATAGACACGCGCAATCAAACATGTAAATCTCAGAGTGCTGCTTTCGGAAGCTGACCCAACACCGCATAAATCTCCCTAATATACGCCCCAGACCGATCATTCCCGATTGTCCCACCACCCATCCGATTCATCGTATACGTGATAGTCGTCTTGCGATCTAGATCCATAATCACCATTGAACCACCCCATCCACCCCAGAAACACACTCTCCCATCAGGAATCCAATCCGCCGTCTGTCGGTGGGGCAATGCGTACCCTATTCCGAACCGCACATGTACTTGGAGCACGAGATCGGGGCCGTTCGATTGTTCGCGGAAGATGAGGTTGACAGTCTCAGGGGAGATGATGCGCTTGCCGTCGACTTCGCCATTGAGGGTGACTATTGAGAGGATGCGGTTCAGTGCGCGCGCATTCGAGATGCCGTTTGCGCCGCCGAGTTCTGCGTTACGGAAGGCTGGGGTCGTGACGTGTTCAGCGAGGACGGGGGTTCCCTTCATCGCGCGGAGAGGGAGACTGTTCGGGTCAGATTGGAATTCGACAGGAGGCGCTTCGGGCTTAGTGAGGTTTGCGATGCGCGGATAGTCCTTTTCCTCCGCTCCCAGGCGGAAATCCGCGTTCAGGGGCGTCGCGAGTTCATCGCGGATGAACTGGCCCAGGGACTTTCCTGATACTCGGCGAACGAGTTCGCCAACCAAATGGCCCTGGCTGATGACGTGGTACCCCGATGCAGTACCGGGTTTCCACCATGGTGCTTGGCCAGCCAGTCGCTCCGTAGCCATGGGTACATCGTACATGTACGGGTACGGTTTCTCCCATGCCGGCACTCCCGCCATGTGGCTTAGGAAATGCCGGACCTCGACGTCTTCCTTGCCATTGGCAGCGAATTCGGGCCAGTATTGCGACACGCGAGCGTAGGGGTCGAGAAGTCCGCGATCGACGAGGAGGAGTGCGGCGAGATTGGTGACGCACTTTGAACTCGACCAGACGGGCACGATTGTGTTTTCGGTCCAGGGCTCAGTTCGCGGTTCGTCGGTGTAGCCTCCCCAGAGATCAATGACATTAGTACCGGCGATATTGACGCAGATTGAAGCGCCGAGTTCACTGCCGGAGGAGATGTGGCGCTCAAAAAGCTGCCGGACGGACTCGAAGCGCGGGTCGCAATGGCCGTTGACAGTCATGTCTGCTATATGAATTATGATAAGAAGTGAAGGAAGAATATCCAAACGTGGATGCGAATGTTGTAAAGTAGTACCTGTTCAGAGGTCATGGTCATTAATAAGGTTGCCTCGTATCACTAGTTACATCCGGAGCTCTGTGTTTCAACTGGTATGCGGGGCTGTGCAACGGGGCCGAGGCTCGCGACCATCTATAAGATCGCCGGTGCATAGTACGGAGTATTATACTAGCAATCGGCACCCAAAAATTGAAATCTGAACATCCGGAGTAGTCTTTCAATTGCAGTGGTGCCTGACTCCCGTGGATCACTCCCGGGCTTAATTCAATGACACCATCACTATCCGGTTGTGCCTTCGGACCCTTCCGGTTATGCTATCATGGCATCATAGCCAGACGGAGGCATACGGATGCTGCTAACCAAGCACCTGGTATATAAACATAATGGCAATTAGTTCACAAAACTTTCTCGGGCCCGATAGACTACGAGGACATCATGGATCAACAACTTCAGAATCCCACAATCAGGGACAATTACTCTCCTTCATCTTCGAGCTCACTCCAGGAAGTTCCTGAGCCTACGCCCACCAGCCGGCGTCCAACGCAGGTCGAGCTTTCGCGTACCGAGACCTCCCATCTACATCACCAGTCGACCGTCGGATCGAGGAAATCTCGTGCGCCTAGGGACGAATGGCTGCCGTTCGGAGGAGACAAGGAATTTCCGCCAGACCTGCCGGATCCCGAGAAGTACGTCGTGGAATTCGCTGGCGAGTTTGATCCGCTGCATCCGCATAACTGGCCGACATGGAGAAAGTGAGTTCTGTCGCATGCGTATACCAGGAATACGGCTGACCATAATGGCATAGAATCATGCAATCTGCCATCCTGACCTACTCGACCATCACCTCCACCTTCTGCAGCGCAATCTTCTCCTCTGCCATCGGCTCCATTAGCGCTCAATTCGGTGTCAGTACCGAAGTTGCGACCTTGGGTATCATGCTCTATGTCATGGGCTTCGCATCAGGCCCTGTACTTTGGGCACCGGCTTCAGACCTGTATGGCCGTCGGTGGCCTATGGTAATAGGCTTATTCGGGTTCAGCGTTTTCACCATAGCTACTGCCACCGCCAAAGACATGCAAACAGTCATGCTGACACGCTTTTTTGCCGGCTTCTTCGGCGCCTGTCCATTGGCGATTGTTCCTGCGGTGTTCGCAGACTTGTTCAATAACAAGTATCGGGGAGCGGCAATTGCTGTGTTCGCTATGGGTGTTTTTGTAGGTCCTTTTGTGTCTCCTTTTGTTGGTGGCTTTATCACGATGAGTTACCTGGGATGGCGGTGGACCATGTATTTATCATCCATCATGGGCTTCTTTGCAACGGTATTGCTGTTGCTACTTTTCAGGGAGACCTATGCGCCCATTGTGTTAATGGGAAAAGCATCCACTTTGCGCCGACAGACCCGAAACTGGGGTATTCATGCGAAACAAGAGGAGGTCGAAGTGGACTTTAAAGAACTGCTCACGAACAACTTCAGTCGGCCATTTATGATGCTCATCACCGAGCCAATTGTGTTTTTGGTGACGCTGTACACATCCTTCATCTACGGGCTCATGTATGCCTTGCTGGGCGCATATCCGGTGGTGTTCCAGGGTATTCACGGAATGAACTTGGGTGTTGGCAGTTTGTCCTTTGTCGGCCTAATCATAGGCGAACTTTTGGGAGGAGCATTTACCCTCCTTGGACATGCAGCCTACGTCAAGAAACTCGAGGCAAATAACAACACGCCGGTTCCAGAATGGCGACTTCCAGCGGCCACTTTAGGTGGTACTGTCTTCACGATCGGTTTATTCTGGTTAGTCCTCAGTCCCAAGTGGAAAAGATATCGAACTAATGAGTGTCGCAGGTTTGGCTGGACCGGATTCACAAAGGACATTCACTGGATGGCCCCAATAGCCTCGGGAGTCTTTGTCGGATTTGGCATCTATGTCATTTTCCTCCAATGCTTCAACTACCTCATCGACTCCTACCTTCATCTGTCAGTCACCCTTCCTCTCAGTTATCCATCATCACTGACAAAAGCAGGGCGGCATCTGTCTTCGCAGCCAACACCATCCTCCGGTCCGCAATCGGTGCATGTTTCCCTCTATTTTCCCGGCAGATGTTCCAGAACTTAGGAGTCCAGTGGGCAGGCACGCTACTGGGATGCCTGGCGGCCATTATGATTCCGATTCCCTTGGGATTCCTCTTTTATGGACCGGCTCTGCGGAAGAAGAGTCGTTTCCAGCCGTCTCAAGCGGTATATCATGAGAAGGAGTGATTGTATAGTCATAGTATATATTCCATTAGCATATGCATCTTGTTTGATATCCTGTTGTGCGGTCTGTTTTTACCAAAAGGTCGTTCGACAGAACCATGAATGAAGTTCATGGCTATGTCAGCCTATACCATAAGTTCAACTTGTAATCACTCAGAATGTCCATCTGATTTCTGTTATCCGAAGTGAAGTCGTCAAAGTCGTTAGATGGAAGCAGAGGACAAACATGCAGACAATGTAAACAATGCCAACTATTCTGCAAATAAAGCAAACGAATCAAACTCGTATGAACCAATCACATTCGTTGCCCGATGTAGATCTAAACGAGGCTATGAAGATGTATAAAGAGAGGACGAATCCCAGATCTTCGCCCTTCCATTTACTCTTTTCTAAGGGGAGACATCATAATGGCAGCCTCCAAACTCTCGTCTATCCTCCAATATCTCCTCGCAGAGAACCAATACCAACACCTTTCCCACCACATCGCCCACCAAGACATCTGGATCCAACTCCAAACCCTCCAACGACTCCTATGCATCCGACCACCACACCCCCCTCTCCCCGAGAGTATCCAAACCGGCATTAACACAATCCTACAATACCAACAAAGCCACAAACTCCTAACCCCATCCGAAACAATTCGCCCGATCCTATCCATCCCAGATACCCCAACCTCTCTCACTCTCTGGAAAGGCGACATCACAACCCTAACCAACATCACCGCCATTGTCAACGCCGCCAACTCGCAGCTCCTCGGCTGCTTCCAGCCCTCGCACCGCTGCATCGACAATGTCATTCATTCCGCCGCGGGCCCGCGACTCCGCGAGACTTGCGATGCAATCATGCAGGAACAGGGCGATCCAGAGCCCGTGGGTAGTGTGAAAGCCACGCCTGGGTTTAATCTTCCCGCCGAGTATGTCTTGCATACTGTTGGGCCGCAGATGCGTGGGAAAGAGGGTGAACCGACCGCGGAGCAGAAGGAGCGGTTGGCGAGTTGTTATAGATCCTGCTTGGATGCGATGGAGGGATTGCCGCCGTTAGTGGATGGAAGGAAGGTGATTGCGTTTTGTTGTATTTCGACCGGGTTGTTTGCGTTTCCGCCGAGTGTGGCTGTTGATATTGCTCTGGATACGGTGGTGGAGTGGTGTCGGGGGCACCCACAGACAACTGTGACGGATGTGATATTCGATGTGTTTGCTGAGGGGGATGCTACGATATACAGGAAGAAGTTCAGGAGCTTGAGGTCTCGGTATCCGTTTGCTCAAAAATCTCTGCCGTCCAGTCTGCAAGACATCCATTCTCAACATCCATCTCTCCTCAAAGCGCAACGGTGGATCAAAGAGGCAGACACCCTTATCATCAGCGCTGGGGCTGGACTGTCCGCAGCCACAGGACTGGACTATACCTCACCAGCCCTATTCGCAAAATATTTCCCGGCATTCCTTCCCCTCGGTTTGAAACGCTTATACGACGTCTTCGGGTTCCAAGAATGGGACTCCCCGGCGCAGAAATGGGGATACTATTTCAATCATCTAAACATGGTGAAGACTTGGCCGACGTCGCTGATGTATTCCGCATTGCGACGATTGACCCAACGCTTCGAATCGCGCTACTTCGTCCGCACCTCCAATGCAGATGGTTTCTTCGCTGTCAATGAATTCGACGAGGACCGGATTACCACGCCGCAGGGCCAGTATCGATATCTGCAATGCTTCGCAAAATGTCGCCGGGATGCTGTATTTCTCTCTGAACCGTTCCTCATAGCCGCTTTGCCCTTCCTCAATTCTGAAACCCAGTGTATAACAGACACCTCCAAGATACCCAGATGCGAGTATTGCGGAGGCGAATTAACCCTTTGCGTCCGCGGAGGAGATTACTTTAACCCTGTCCGGTTTTTGGCACAGGAGAAGCGCTATAAGGCATTCATTGAGGATACAGCGCGGTCGTCGAACACGGTTATTCTGGAGTTGGGAGCTGGTATGAACACGCCGGTTGTGCTGCGGTGGCATGATGAGGACCTCGTCCGTGAGTCAGGGGGAAATGTCCGAATGATAAGAGCTGGAATCGGTGCTGCTGGATGTGCGCCATGGGATATGCAAGAGAGAGATGAAGCTATTGGAATTGAAGGAGGCCTGGGCCATGTGTTGGATGTGTTGATAGATTCGCCAGGTATTCGGCCATGAGTAGTGATGCTGGCTACCCTTTCAAAGTATGGCATCTTGATGCTAGAAGTGAATGTGTGACAGTTTGTCAATTCACTGTCACTATTTTAAAAAGAAAACCTTTCCCTTATTGGATTCTCCTTAATCTTCTCTCCTATTCTGTTCCGATTCCTCAGCTGCACGGCGCAGTATCGGTGGCTCAGATTCCGGCAAACGGAGGACTGATGAAAGTGAATGGTTTTTATAAAGTGCCGTAGAAGAAGTAGTAGCCTTTCTCGAATGCTAGGGGGCTCTTGTTTCGTGTCTTGGGCTTTGGGGTGTAAGGTGTTTTCCCTTTTTGTGCTCTTCTTCCTGCTGTATTTCTTGCTGCCATTTGCGGACTATGATAGGGATTTCTTTTCGTTTGAGCTCCTTGAGCTCTTGGATTGACCGTAGCATCTCGAAATAGGATCTGTCTTTGAGAAGGATCTTTCTGTAAGGGCTATGACTGCACGTGCTCGTCATCCATTTTTGGAAATACACGTGACTTATATAAAACGACCGAAGTATGTCCGGGCAGTAAACCCGTAGGCGTTATCTATCCTTGTACCCCTGTAATAACTCATATGTAATCTTCCACTTTACAGATAAGCTAGCATACCCTATATATCGGTCTATCTACTTGTACAAAAAACAATGGCGGCCTCCGAGCTGACAGCCCTGATAGACTCTTGAAGCGCACAATGACAGCCGGGATAGCCGGCCACTTCCGTCGGCGAGTTTCCCATATAGAGATATCCGATCGCTTATCCCGCAGTATTATTGGCCGGAGTATACATGCCAAGCAGGGCTGCAATTGGTGTGAGATATCGGGGGTCTCATGCCCGTGACTGTGGGGTGAAATTTTTCTACGCGCGGTGGCGTCGTGATTCAGTTCTTACAAGAATGTGTCCGCGGACTACTGTTCTTCGCTGCTCAGCGCTTGTATAGCACACCATTTATCCGCCATGGGCTTCGCTGCCGTTACTGAATGGGTGCACCGAGTCAACCTGTCGGTTGCTCGGAGCCCGGTTGGGAGGCATTTTCGTCTTGAGGGTTCTGGTCATGTATGTCTACAACGGCAGTGGCAGCAGAAAGCCAAACTAATGGAGGGGTGAATAGCCCAAAGAACGCAAAGGCAGTTACTTCTTTACCGAAATCCGCGCCGGTCTGGCTACCTTCTTCGCCATGGCCTACATTATCAGCGTCAATGCCAACATCACCTCCGAGTCTGGCGGTACCTGCTTTTGCCCTCCTGAAAGTATGGCGGACCGCTGTAACACGAACACCGAATACCTCCTCTGCGTCCAGGAAGTGCACCGCGATGCCGTGACGGCGACTGCTGCGATCGCCGCCTTGGCTACTTTCTTCATGGGTCTGCTGGCAAATCTGCCCGTGGCGCTGGCGCCGGGAATGGGTTTGAATGCCTACTTCGCGTATACGGTTGTTGGTCATCACGGAAACGGTCTCATCCCTTACGAAATCGCCGTGACAGCAGTGTTTGTCGAAGGATGGGTGTTTTTGGCGATGACACTGTTGGGTATTCGACAATGGCTTGCGCGGGCGCTGCCAGCATCGATTAAACTAGCGACCGGTGCTGGTATCGGGTTATATCTTACGCTCATCGGATTATCATACAGCGCCGGTATTGGCTTGGTGACGGGCGCGACCGACCAGCCCATGGAGCTGGCCGGTTGCTCGGATGCGCAGCGCGATGCGACCACCGGGTTATGTCCCAGTGCCGACAAGATGCGTAGTCCGACCATGTGGATCGGTATCTTCTGCGGTGGTGTCATCACGGCATTGCTCATGATGTACCGTGTGCGCGGTGCGGTGATTGCGGGCATTCTGCTGGTATCGATTATCTCGTGGCCTCGTCCTACGCCTGTGACCTACTTCCCGCACACTGAGGTCGGAAACAGCAACTTCGATTTCTTCAAGCAGGTGGTCACGTTCCACCCGATCCAGAAGATTCTGGTTGCGCAGGAATGGGATCTCTCTGGACATGGGGCGCAGTTTGGCCTGGCGTTTATTACTTTCTTGGTAAGTATCGCCATTCTTCCGACTTAGTGCTGTCGACTGACCGAGATAGTATGTCGATATTCTCGATACCACCGGTACTCTGTACTCGATGGCGCGATTTGCTGGAACCATCGATGAGGAGACCCAGGACTTCGAGGGTAGCTCCATGGCTTATGTACGTTCTTGACCTTCTGCCAAGTATGACATTCTCTAACAATTGCAGATGGTCGACGCAATCTGCGTCTCGATTGGCGCCCTCTTCGGCGTCTCCCCCGTCACAGCGTTCGTAGAAAGCGGCGCCGGCATTTCAGAAGGCGGAAAAACCGGCCTCACGTCCTGCGTAACAGGCTTCTGTTTCTTCATCGCCGTCTTCTTCGCACCAATCTTCGCCTCCATCCCACCCTGGGCCACCGGCTGCACACTCGTCATCGTCGGCGCGCTAATGACCAAAGCCACGACCGAGATCAACTGGAAGTACCACGGCGACGCGATTCCGGCTTTCCTGACCATCGCCGTCATGCCGTTCACGTATAGTATCGCATACGGTCTGATCGCGGGTATCCTGAGCTATGTCACACTGAACGTGATTGTGTGGATGATCGAGAAGGGATCGGGCGGACGCATCAAGCCGCCGAACAAGGAAGAGGATCATGAGGACTGGACATATAAGTTGCCTGGAGGGTTTATTCCGCCGTGGTTGAAGCGTGCTGCTCACGGGAAGAAGGACTTCTGGCGCGATGAGGAGAGTTCGGCGTATGCTTCGGGGGTGATTGATACGGAGGGATCGCTCTCATCGCGAGAGCACCATCATCACGACACGCAGGAGATGGGGGAGAAGACGACTCCTGTGGTAGCTGGGAAACCGGCGCAGGAATGATTTGATATACATAATTATGTCCCCCTTGGTACGGAGTAGACATATTTGAATTAATTGAGTTGATATTCAATGCTACTACAGAGTACTCTGTATAATCACTTTTTTTTTTTTTTTTTTACCCATCTCCCCGGGCCACCCCGGGCCACCTCGTCATGGTACCTATCACAAACCCCCAGCGCATAATCGCATAGTTCATCTGTACTCTGTAGTCCAGCCCATTATGCCCCCTTCAAATGCTTCCTTTTTGCGGCGCTGCACTCTGGAGTTCCGACGCACCTATGCCGGCCCTGTGATTGGCGCTCTCGGAATTCCTTCTATATTATTAGTTATTGAAGGAGCCCGACCGCGTCTGCCTTTGGTCGGGGCTGGGCGTCACTTTAAGCGGGGCCTTTGCTCTCATTTCTCCGTTTTCATTTATATACTGACGCTCGCTCCCTGTTTCCCGCTCGCTCGCTCGCTCGCTCGCTTTTTCTTTTCTTGGAAAGTCGACATGCCGCATCATCACCATGACTGATATCCACCGTCCTTTGGTCCCGGTGTCTAGTGGGACTCGTCGGGAGAGTAACGGCGATGATGCCTGCCAGCAGTCTAGGAAGAGGACTAATATCGGTGTTGCTTGTACGGCGTGCAAGGCTCGGAAGTTAAAGGTACCCTCCATAATAAAAAATATATCCTTGCAAAGAGGTTAGTGGGACGAGGGGGGAAAAACTGACCATTTACGGAACAGTGCTCCGGCGCACCTCCCTGCCAAAATTGCCTAAAGAACCACGTCGAATGCACCGTCGACAACACCAGCGATAAACGCCGCAAGTCCGGGATCAAGCGCAAACTCGAGACCCTTGAAGATCGCAATGATTTATTATTAAGTCTTGTCCGGACACTTCGTGATTCCGCCGACCGTCGCGTGCTCCAGCTGCTCGACCTTATTCGCAGTGATGCCTCCCTGGCTGAGATACAATTCTACCTTGATGAGGAGCGGCCGTGCGGGGATTCAGAGAGGAAGAAGGTGACGCCTAAGAGTTTGGAGTGGGAGCTTAGGAATGGAAATGGGCCACAGTCGGAGTCAGAGTCGCCTGCGACAAGGACCGTGTTCTCGCCGGAGCAGTTGGCGGATGTTCCGTTGTTTGATGTACCGGCGGCGCCGTGGACGAATATCACCCAGGATGCGAGGTTCGTCTCGCAGCTGGTGTCGTTGTGGTTTACTTGGTTCCATCCATTTTTCAACTGGTTGGATCGAGACTTGTTTATACGGGATATGAGGTCGGGAGAGTTGAGGGTGCGGTGTTGTTCGCCGTTGTTGGTTAATGCTATGCTAGCTCTGGCTTGTGTAAGTATTTGATCTTTTACGTCCGCGTCCGTCGAACGCTGAAGCCGATAACATATGCTAGACGCATTCGAATTCGGCCCAGGCATATGCAATCCCCGGGGACACGGCTTCCAGAGGCGCGCATTTCTACAGCGAAGCGAAACGGCTATTTGTCGAAGAAGAAGGCAGAATCACCCTTGCTACAACACAAGCTCTGGGCTTATTATCGGTATAGTACGTCCGTCCACCCACCTTCAAATCACGCGCCATCATTTACAAAAAGAACAGTGCCAGCCTAACCTGCAAAGGCCGCTCCGGCTGGATCTACCGAAACAACTTCGCTTTCGCTGTCGACGAACTCTCAAAACAACAACCCCTTTCTCGCCCCACGGCCCACCACCGGGTAATAGACCACACAATATGGGGCCTATTTAACATTGCGACGTAGGGACCTTTCCCAGAAATCGGCGAGGTGCCGGGTAAAAACCGACTGACTCTTCCTTGGCTCAGGCTCAAAGCCCTCGCATTATGTAAGATTCCCACGATTAAGACCCCCAATCGGCCTTTGCCGTCGCCGGTGTGCTCGGCGGAGGATGTATGGCATCCGTACCCGTTGCAATTGGAGGGGTCGCAGGCGCATACGAGCTGTGTGTTTCATGCGTTGTGCGGATTGAATCGCATCGTGCATGATCTTGCCTGGGTTTACTTTGGTGGGAGCAATCCACCACTGGCCGATTTGGAGGCTAAAACAGAGAAGTTCTGTGCTCGATTACGAGATTGGAAAGATCGGTTACCCATCTGTTTGAGAGAATCAGAGGAGACTCAAGTTCCTCATGTATTATGTTTCCAGTACGTTTCCCTATACCTCAGCCTTGAGTGCTAGCTAACATAACTACAGTATGTACTACTACTGCATCTGCATAACCCTTTCCCAACATGCCCCGTCCATAAAACCCGACCTCGACAATACCTCCCTCTCCCCCTTCCCCAACACCTCCAGCTACCACGACACCCTCGACCTGTTCTACGCCCGCAAAATCTCCACCCTAACGCGCATCCACCGCACCGCATGGGGAACAGACCGCACCCCCGTCCCAAACACGCTCTGGGTGACAACCGCTCTTCTTCCTCTCCTCCCCAACCTCTCCAACCCGCAAAACCGCGACGCGTTTATCAGCCTCGCTGTGTCAGCGAAAGCTTTCGCAAGACGGTCGGTTGTCGGAAAGGCAAAGCTGGAGTTAGTACAGCGACGGGCAAGGGAGATGGGCGTTGAATGGCCGGTTGAAATTGGGGCTTTGTTTGCGGATGAGGAGGAGGTTCAGGTTGGGGGTCGGATTGGTGTTGCGTCGGCGTCGTCGGGACCGGGGAGGAAGAGGGCAAAGGTGGGATTATGAGTTTGCTTTTCTTTTTCTTGTTTATTGGCTTCTTTCGGGGCTTGCATAATCACCACATTTGCATGGCATGTTGGCGTAGTTTTTTTTTTTTTTGGGATGGGATTACATGGCGCTACGGGTAGGGAATACTAGTAATACATGGATTGGTTTGATTTAGAATGTGTTGCAGCTATCATATTCCCTTCTACCGGATCCACCGGTCCCCTCAGTACAGCCAATGTACATCCTCGGATCCTACTTCAGCTGTCAATATCAAGCCACAGAAAAACCCTGACACCACCACTGACAAATAAATGACATCTACAACCTTAAAAACACCCATCGATAGCCAATCCAATCCCGAGACCCTGAAACCGTGGATAGGGGGGGGGGGGGGGTTACGGAATGTAGCTGGATGCGGCAAGACCAGGTATGGAACGAGACCATGACCACAACAACAGCATACAACGTATACAACTCGGGGATCTCATCATCCTTGCAACCTTTTGGATAGGAATTTGCAATTTCGGAGGGATTTGACAAGGGCTGTCAGAGTGGGGTGTTGTGTTTGTGTGCCGTGGTTGGGGATGGAGTGTTGGATGTGGGTGACATGTTGGACTTCGTTTTGGATTTGAAAATTGGATTGTATGTTGTTTTTTGATTCTGGGCATTATGGTGGAAAAGGTTGGTGGTTATTATTATTTTTTCTTGTTGATGTGTGGTTTACTGTGCTGTGAGGGTTGTATATATTTCGGCTTCGGGGTTAAATCGCTACAAGTAATACTTAAGAGCCATATGTACAAAATAGTGCCGAAGAACAATTAGATATACTATTCACACTAATCTAACATTCAGCATTTAGTATAGAAATAACAACATCAATCACCATGTACATGCCGGCTGGGCTATACTTCCTTTCCCAACCAGGCTAGTCCCTCTGTTCGCAGAGTCTTGTCTCAACCTCACTTCACCTTCTCACCTCATCTTCTCTAACTTTCGTCTTCCAGCGTTCCAATGGCCTAGATCGCCAAATACACATCTTTCCTCATCCGTGCGTTCCTTCTCGCGTCATCGTCTATCTACTACCTCAGCAGGTGCCTCGGGTCGCCATGTTGCAATTCGGGTTCCATCCAGTTCACTATTGTGCCTGAATCTATGTGGATTACTAAGATGACCATAGTCGATGGAAGATAATGTGCTGTTCCAGGGCAGCGAGCAAATGCTATTTCTACCTAGAAGATCCCGGTTGTTCGTTCATCATCCCAACAAGAAGAAACAGTCTCTCCTCTATCCTCTATCTACAAGAGCCAAAGCGAGAACAAAGCACAATTCCTTTGAAAGTGTGAGTTGAGCCTACTTTTGCTATCAAAACTCCAAACTGATCTTTCAATCCAGCTCGATTACCTTCAATCTACGTCAAAATGAAGCTCAGTCTCGCTACTCTCATGGCCCTCATGGTGGCTGTTGCCCGTACCGCCCCGGTTCCCGGTGACAACACCCTCGTCGACGCCGAGATTCTGAACGACTCCGTGAAGAACGTCGGCAACAACGCTGCTAGTGGCTTGCTCAAGGAGGTGGACGGCCTGGTTAAGGAGCTTACTAGCACTTTGGGCGGCCTTCTCAAGCGCGGCGACGACGCTCTCATCGAAGCCGATGTTTTGAACGATTCCGTGAAGAACGTTGGCAACAACGCTCTCAGCGGTCTGGTTGACGAGCTGTCTGGCCTGCTTGGGCAGCTGACTGACGCCCTGGGTGGGCTTCTCAAGCGAGGCGTCGACACCGAAACCACCGACAATGCTCTGATCAAGGCCGGGGTGGCTAATGATGCCGTCAAGGATGTCCTTAACAACGCTGCCAAACGGGATGAGGATCTCCTTGGCGGTCTCCTGGATCCCCTTGGCGGTCTCCTTGACAAGCGCGACGAGGACTTGGGCATCGGCACTCTCCTCAAGCGGGATGAGAACCTCCTTGGCCTCGAGGGCGACCACGGCCACCACGACGACAATGCTCTGATCAAGGCCGGGGTGGCTAACGACGCCGTTAAGGACGTCCTCAACAACGCTGCCAAACGGGATGAGGACCTCCTTGGTGGTATCCTTGCCAAGCGTGACGAGGCCATCGATGACAATGCCATTGTCAACGCCAAGGTGGCTAACAATGCTGTGAAAGACGTCCTAAACGACTTGGCCAAGCGAGGCGACAACACAGAGGCCAAGAATAACACCCTGATCAAGCTGAGCATCCTCAACAACGCCCTGAAAAACCTCCTCAATAACCTCTTATAAACTACGATTAGTGATAGAGGGGTTTCTTTTCACAGAGAAAAATGTACTTACTTTACCTTGTTCATTGCTTGATGTTGGTCCTCAGACTGTCTCGACATAGGACTTTGGAATATGTTTAACTTAATAGTAATAACAACAATTATAATGATTTGAATCGATTTTGGTTCTTTCGAACATAGGAAGCCGCAATATGCAAAAGCCTCATAGTTCATGAATATCGGTGAGTCGCCCCGAGATTTCCCAGAGACATACTGACACGCCTGCTAGCACAATGCTAGGAACTCGACAGATTCGGAGCAACAATGGCAGATCTCAGATGTCTCCCTTTTTTCTTACGGACAATGCGCCGTTGATGGTGCGATGGATGCAGAACCCTGCAGCGGTGCCTACATGAAATTATTGTTTTGAGATCACACCTGCATTAGATATGTGCGAATGAACGGTCCCCGAACTGATTCTTATTTCGGAAACTTTCAATAACACCGCCAGTTATAGTTCAGACCGACCTCCCCCCCCCCTCCACCCCCCCTCGCGGCGAGTGCGTCTGATATCTCACATCCCGGGGGGCGGGTTCGTCTCGCTCGGCGGGCTTCTAGAAAGTCACCGCTGCAGGCTGCATATGACCGGGCAGATAGACAGTATACAGGGCAGTTGACTTTATGAGATCGTTTTAATTATAGGCTCCCTTACTTGACACTTACGCGATCACAACAATGCCATTTTGAGAAATGTCGTTGAGGAAGAAAAGGTATATAAGGGCCTGTGTCGGTGGTCGATATCGGTTTCTCATCATCATCAAAAACCATCTCTCTTATATATATTTCACTTTCAGCTCTTGCATATTTTTCCACTCCGTCATTCGTTTCAACTGTATATTGTGCACTTTCGGTACTTAATTCTTAATTAGGTATGTTCCGCCAGCACCCTCAGTTAGATCAAAGGAGCTAACAACCACAGAACAAAATGCAACTCTCCATCGCTACCCTCACTGCCATCGTGGTCACCCTGGCCAACGCCGCCCCCATCTCCCCGGCTGACCAAATCGCTGCCATCGTCGACGGCAAGCCTCTCCCCCAGCACCCCGCTCACCACGAGGTCAACAAGGACAACTCCAAGGACGTTGTCGACCTCCTCGGTCACGCCCAGCTCGTCAACGGCGATGGTCTCAACGTCCTCGGCGGCAAGGCCAACGGCGGCATTTCCAAGCGTCAGGAGCTCGAGCGCCTCTACCCCGAGCACTACGGCAGCGTCGAGTCGAGCAAGGACAACAGTGAGGACATCCTTGATGTTCTTGGCCACGCTAAGCTCCTGAACGGCAACGCCATCAACCTCCTTGGTGGCAAGGCTAATGGCGGTATCTCGAAGCGTCAGCTTGGTGCTCTGGATGGTTTGCTCGGCGGTGGATCGCGCAAGCGCCAGGTGAGCAGCGACAACAGCAAGGATGTCGTCGATGCTCTTGGTCACGTTCAGGCTCTGAACAATGATGGTATCAACGTTCTCGGTCACTCCGCCAACGGCGGCATCGGCAAGCGTCAGGTCAGCAGTGACAACAGCAAGGACGTTGTTGACGCCCTCGGCCACGTTCAGGCTTTGAACAACGATGGCATCAACATCCTTGGCGGCAAGGCCAACGGTGGCATCGGCCGACGCCAGGTCAATAGTGACAACAGTGCTGACGTCGTCGATGCTCTCGGTCACGTCCAGGCCCTGAACAACGATGGTATCAACGTTCTCGGTCACTCCGCCAACGGCGGCATCGGCAAGCGTGGC